GTGAGGTAATGCGGTAATTTCGCAATGAGCGTTCTAATGAGAGCCTCGTTAGAAGGCGGTGTTGAGACATTGGACCCCAACATGAACGTTATAATGAGGCTGTAGTGTAGTAATATCTGGACATGCCAACGAGATGTAAATTGCCTTTGTGTATCCATGGTTGCCATAAAGTTTTGTTGAAATCAATACAGCAGTTGCAAAGAAATAGCAATATTGCACTATATGCATACTACATAACTAATCAAGGGCCATAACTCTGTGATGAAGGGTCTGGTCTGAACAACTTCAACAAGGCAACAATATGGGCATCTCCTCTTGGTATTAATGGTTCCCATAATGTTTAATTGAATTGACATTACGCCAGAGTAGGGATCGCTCCGCCCACTGATTCACGTGACCCGGTCAGTAAGAACCTTAGACAAAATACGCTACCGATGTATTCGCAAAACTGTAATGGCACTCATTTTACCAATGAATTAATCTTATATGAATTTTGTATATAAAATTTTGATGCTTTTAATGGTTTTATTGAATAGTTCATCTATTATTCCATGTATAAACGTATTATGGTATTTTACAAAAAGTAAAATAAATTATCTGCATTCACTTATTAATTACGCATGAAGCGTTTTACAAAGATCGTCTTAATTCTCGTTTACTTTCATGAAAATTTAAAACTGACATGCACGAGTATCATTCTGTCTTTAAAATTCAAAGAGGGACTATATGTAGAAAAGTATATAATTATGTTATGATCGTTTCATTTTGAAATTGAAGTAGCGAAACAAAAACAGTAGAATTATATTAGTGACACAACTAAAATTTAAAATCATTTTTCGGGTTTTATGTGCGAAATTCATTTTAGATAATAAAATAATTTGTTCATGAATTGTTAAAATTGATTCAGAATATTGCATGCCCTTGTTATCTTTTTATGGTATGTGATTATGTATTGTTAAAATAGAGCTCTACATTTGATATGATTCACGACAAAGCACAACGTTATTCTCTTTAAAATTTAGCTTCACGTACATAAGACATGATGCTATTGGTATTAGTTTCGTATTAAGCAGATCAATTTAAATGTTTAATATTAATTTATTGAACTTTAATAGAAATATTCAGGTAAAATAATTTCATCCAATTTTTTACTGTATTAACTCATTATATTTGCATTTTACGGCTACGTTTTTATTGACGCTACACGTTATAAACAAAAAAATGTCATATCTTCTGGATATTCTGGGACCTTATACTGTGATTATGAATAGATAGAATGGAAATAAAAAAGTGGATTTGTTTAAACCCTTTCCTTTTTCAATGCATTGTGTTATAGCCAGGATAAATGTTTCGTACTAATTATTTCCATATGTAGGAAATTATTGACATTTTGTATGAAAAAGTAACTTACTCGATCTGTCAATATGTCAGTATACTTAATAATTATACAGATAAAAAACTTTAAATTGACAGAAACTTAAAATAATTTCAATTTAAAATACTTCTATACCATTGTCTTAGACAAATAGCTTGTCTAAGGAAAATGGTGGACTTCGCAGGCATCTCAGCGTGGAACTGATAACGATCGCTGATTGGCTAATCTCTGTGACCCCTGACAGTTTGATTGACAGGCGGCGTAATGTCAATTCCAGCCAGTAGTTGCAGAGAAGTCACGAGGAAAAAATTATTGCTCTATATGCATACTGCATAACTAATCAAGGGCCATTACTATGAGTTAAAGTATCTGATGGGAACAAGGCAATGATATGCGCATCTCCTCTTTGTATTGAAGGTTCCCATAAAGTTCGCTCTATATGCATACTGCATAACTAATCAAGGGCCATAAGTTAAAGTGTCTGACCAGAACAAGCCAACTATATGCACATCTCCTCTTGGTATTGATGATTCCCATAAACTTTTGTTGAATTCCAGCCAGTAGTTGCATAGAAGTAGCGCGGAAATGTATATTGTTCTATATACATACTGCATAACTAATCAAGGGCCATAAATCTGAGTTAAAGTGTCTGACCGGAACAAGGCGACGATATGCACATTTCCTCTTGATATTTATGATTCCCATAAAGTTTCGTTGAATTCCAGCCAGTAGTTGCAGAGAACTAGTCAGGAAACGAAATTCGGATGAAAGGATGGACTGACGGACAACGCCAAAACAATATCCCCCTCCCGATTCCATCGCGGGGGATAATTAGTTCATTTTACAGCTGCATGCCTCCAGATGAGCAAAACTATTTCAAGTAAATAAACCTTGAGAAAATGTACTAGGATTTTTAGAAAAGTAAAAATATTCAGAAATAATTAACATGTTTTATTTGTTGTATTTATCACAATAATTTTACTAGGTGACTACCATAGTAAGGGCAAATTTTGAATATTCAGACCTATTTTTGGTAATTTTTGTAGATTTTTTTGTTCCTGTGACAATATTTTACTTTTTGAAACATTTTTAAAAATTACATGAAAATTGGCATGAATCTGTTATTAATCTTCTATTATTCTTTTAAAACATGCAGTGTAACAACATAATAAAAACCTTGTTGTTTTACTCTTTATTTTTTAAATCTCATCTTTTACTTCCTTTAATTTTTCATGCATACATGAACATAATAAAACAAAATAATTTCAAACAAGTTGTAGCAGTTTGGTTTCACTAGCTGTGTCAGTGTTGCTGACACTGCCATAGACGGTATAAAATTAAACAAGAGTAGAAAAGCAGCGCAGTACAAAAAAAAATTGAAGTAGGTGGCCTCGAGTCTTTTGTGTGTGAACGCTGCACTTTATCACTGAGCTATTCCGCCTTGTGATGTGTCCCTGGTAACCGGCACCTCAATGCTTTTAATCTAAGCAATGGATTTCCCTATGGATTTTCGTATGGTTTAATGATGATTTACACACTTTGTGGTGATTAAGCTAAAATTGCCACAACAAACCACCAGATAATGTTTACAAAATGGGCAGGTAAATATTTTTGGACAATAGAAACCCACAAGATGTAATATCAATCAATCAATACCTCTGAATAAGTATGAAAGTTTGACTGTTACTACTATTTAATGGAATTAGAGGTATTTCAATAATAATGTTGGTTTATACAAATTTATTTTAGTTCGATTGTGCTGGAAGCTTTAAGCTTATCTAAGCACTCTCGAATCCAATCCTGGAACCAACCAGTACTATGCAATGAATGTAAAGTTTCTTGCCCAAGGAGACAACGGTTTGCCCCTGACAGGGTTTGAACCCACACAGTCAGCAATCCTTAGATTACTAGTCTGACGCGTTAACCACTCGGCTACGCCGCCATTCAATAATGTTCAAGCAAACATGGAAATTAACATACATTAAGCATGAAATTTTGAAACAGTCCTTTTTCAGACAACTTCTTCTCATTCATCCCATGAAGATAGAATAGATAAAATGTCCACATTTCATGTTGTTTCCTCCTCATAATTATAGTAAAGCAATATTTAATGTCTTTGTTCACAACAGGATGACCTCAATTTTTTTTTCATAAACACAAAAAAAACAGCAGCTGCATACAATTTTTAACAGATCAATATTTGTTACATTACACAGGTATAATAATATTTATGTATACAAAGATAATTCCTGCAAAACTTTTCCAATTTTTACAGATAACCATTTATTAGATAAATTATTCACAGGTAACTGAATCTTGTTTTACTGAGATAGCTATCCCAGTTAGGCCACTTGAATAAAATAATTTGCTTCTTAACATTTTTAACTATAAATTGTTATGTCACCAGAATAGAACTCTAAACTGATATTATACTGTTTAAACGACATAATACTTCAAATGACAGTTGCATACTCAAAGAGGTCTGGTAGCTCAGTGATAAAGGTCTCAGTCTCTCAACCAAGGGATTGTGGGTATGAGTCCAACTGGAGTAATTAAAATCATGTTTTCTGATAATTATGTTGGACACCAGTACTGGCGAAACTAGAAAGAGTGGTTCAGATAAGAAACAAGCTTTCTTCACAAGTGAGCACAAATAAATAATGTTTTAACTAAAGTGGGGCTTAGTTTCCTACTAAGTTTTTTGGGACACCTTAAGTTAAATTAAAAGTTATTCAAAGAGTTAACAGAGAACATTGTTAGGTTAAGGGTCAGCATCTCTTAAAATGCCTCCCAATTCATGCTATTTTTCATAAAAATGTATTTAAAAGTAAAACATTGTAGAGTGAACAAAGAAAGTAGATTTACACATTGTTAACACCACTTACAATCCAAATAAACTACCAAAAAAGAGGTCAAAATATGCAAAATTAGCCCTTAAACTGCAATATCAGTCATTAATCGCACATAACATGTAAATTATTACTTGAATCTCGATTGTGTTTACTTTTCTAAAATCTTAGTACACTTTTCTAGATTTTTTTTTGCTATCTGGAGGCATGCAGCTTTAAACCATTCCCTACAGAATATATCATTTAGTTTATGATACTTGTTCTTCTTATTACCTTGAGAAATGAATAAGTGATGGATATTTGTTTATATTTACTTATTTATTATTGTTAGTTCTGTATCATCAAGCAGAAAGATATCAAAATATATCATTTGTTTTTGAGGAAAAAATATTAAATAATATTGAAATAGTGAAGCAACACTTAAACCACATAATTTATATAGACTCTCCCTTTTTTTCTCATTTAACATAAATTTATTATGTATCAATTTGAGAAATATTCAGTAAATCAATTAAGAAATACCACTGGTACAGACACACAGTAGACCAAATTAAAGCACTTAAACTGAATAAACACCTGTATTAAAGATCATTCTATGCACAGGTTTAAGTGTTTAACATATATCTTTTAACTTTACCTAAGTTAAAATATTTAAAACCGTCTTAATCCCCTACCTAAATGTGTTTGATGTATATGGTTCAAACATTTAATAGCACAAACAATACTCTACAGCATATTTTCTCCCCTTTAGCATAATCTGTACATTTGTGTGGAGTCACTAAGTGTGAACTGCTCTCCATTAGAACAACCTAAGTGGTTTACACGATTGATCCACTCAGATGAGATTTTTCCCTACTTTATACTGCATTTTATAGGCAGTATGAATGTAGGTCACCGTATAATATTGGTGAATATCATAACAGTGAAAACTTAGCTTAGCAATGGAGGAAAATTCTTAGATTTAAGATTAAAGTTTATGAGATTTATGCAAGTAATGTTTTGTTTTTCTTTAAAGAATCTGAGTGAGCTTTGTCTATATACAGAAATACTGACTTTGTGATGGAATCATTTGGACCTAGAAGGCCAAGATGCCCTAACTGGACTGAACAGGATAAGATTATTTTGGTGAAGAATATAAGAGCCAGAAAAGAGATACTGTTAGCTAAGAATAAAGGGGATGCCAACATGAAGGATGCTATAGGAATAGCCTGGCAGGAAGTTCTTACTGCCCTTAATGCGTAAGTTTAACTTGTAAACCAAATATTATACAGTATGGATATAATGTATGTGGAGATTTTTTATAACAGGGGTATTAATTGCCACTGTTAAATGGTAACATAATTTTAAACTGATGTAATTGTTATAAACAGGGAATTTGCTTGTTGTAAACATAGATCAAATTTAAGGTATTCAAATACCATATTAATTCAAATAAATGTGGTGATAACTCTGAAATGGATTATTTTTACATGTTTTAAATTGATTTTAAGTGGACTAAATAGAAATACATTATGGGGCTGTCTAAAAATAAATAGAAAACTTTTCACCATCACACTGCTAAATATAGAACAACAAGTTGGATAATATTTGTAACTGTAATATTGATTAAGCAGTTTGCCAGTGTGGTATCTATTGATGTATATTGTGATATCACATCCAGAAAGGAGAGTTATTGTGCAATATGAAGCATTATTTTTGCTGTTGATGCTGTTATAGATATTGGTAAATTGTATTCTTGCTATTTCAACATTTAACATATTTATACGCTGTGGGTATAATTATTTTCTTTCAGGGAAACCCATTTTCCAAGAACTCTTGAGCAAGTCAAAAAACAGCATGAGAATCTCAAGCTAAGAGGTAATTTTATCTTAAATACCAGTTGTTTTCTGTTTTTGCCAAATGATTAAAAATGTTCAAGACATTCAGCTTAGTGCTTTTGTCACATGTATAAGACACTGACCCCTTTCACTAGCCAAGTAAAGTATTTGTGTGTGTGTGGGGGGGGTGTGGGGGGGGGGGGTAGTATGGGAAAAAGGTATCTTACTTGTTAATACTAGTCCCATGGTCTTTGGCTTGCAAAAAGGTTATGCTATGTTTGGTAAACTTTTTTGTCATGACAACATTGTTCAGTTTATACAACAACTTTTCAACTGGTGGGAGAAAATCACAGACACACCTCTACACAGATTAGAATTTATGTACACTGGATGTTATCTCCCACATATCAAATCATCTATTGGGATACAAGCTTACAATGGTTAGAGTTAATTTTTAGTCACTCAGTCTGCCAGTCTGATTACATTATACTATCCCAACAAAACATACAGCAAGGACTACAACTGTTTACTATCTCAAATTAATTACATTCATATAAGGAATTCATATTTAAATCATAACATTTTTTCTTTCAGCTAAACAGCTGTATATGGATATGTTAAACTGTCCTGCTACTGTAAAACCTCATATAGTATCTCCAGCCATGAAGTTAATGATGGAAGACTTCGCTGAGGGGGATGAGGAATTCCTAAACCCAACACCCATAGCCAACAGAGTACTGCTGCCTAAACTGCCAACTACAATACCTATTACATTGTCCCCTTTAAATCTGCCACCAGTACAGAGTGTATCAGCTCCGTCCACAGTGAAATATGAAAGTAACTATCATTTACTTCATTTTGTTATGTTAATATGTTATACAAGTATAATGGTCAAATACCTGAAGGCAGCAGTTACCACATTCAGTATTGATACCAAGCTCTTAGTCACTACCAACTATTACAAAGTCACATGTATCAGTAATGTTAAACAAATAGTTTCTTTGTATCTTTTATCAAGATGTGACACAAAACATTTGCTGGGAACAGGGCTCAAACTCAGAAATGTGACTTTCATGGATCCAACCTTTTAATCTTATCAATGCTCGATATAAGTTGTGCTTCATATATGTTTACAAAAACTATTATTATATCAGTCCATAGCAAGCGTAAGAGCCTTCAATACCAACTTCATTCATGATACTATTTTCAAAATGCTGTTATAGCAGCAAGCATACAAGTACATTTATTTGTATATTATTTCAGGTGATGACTCTAGCACCAACACATCAATGACAGATGATGCTGTACAGAACCACAGTATCAGTATTCAAGGAAATAATGCAAAATTTAGTTCTTTCAAAGGTGCAACCTCGGACAATCTTGGTAACCCAAATCCTAAGAAAAGAAAACTTGAGAGCCAGTCTGATACGTTACTAGAAACTACTGAACTTGAAAAAATGAGAGCAGAAACAGAAAAGTTTAAAGCTGAAACAGAACTTATTTACCAAAGAAAAGAATACGAGTTTGCTATATTTGAATTAAAGAGGCAAGTCCTAGAAGCAAAGTTGGAATATTATACCAAAGCAAATGAGAAAAGAGCAATATCGGAAGAAGCAATAAATGTGAATGCTACAGACAAAAATATCAAATCTCCTTATACATCTGAAAAAGATGAAAGTGATAAAGATAAAGAATAAATAACTTATATTTTTCAGCAGTTTCTGTTTGCTTTGTAATCTAATGTCATAAAATAATGATACAAAATTATGAGAGTGTCTAGTTTATAATATTAATTTATTTTAGTTTGATTCTATTGGAAGCTTTACGCTTATTGAAACACTCTCAAACCTGTTCCTGGAACCTTTGTTTGTTTGTTTGATTTGGGTTTTACGTCACACCGACACATTATAGGTCATTTGACGACGTTCCAGCTTTACTGGTGGAGGAAGACCTCAGGTGCCCCTCCATGCATTTTTTCAGGCATGAATGGGCACCTGAGTATAACCAGCGAAGTTCAGTTAGCTAGCTGGATAGCTTCCTCACATGAAAGAATCCAAAGTTTCTGTCGGGATTCGAACCCACAGTGGTGAGGGGCAAGTGGTTTGAAGTCAACGACCTGAACCACTCGACCACAGACGCCTCTTCCTGGAAACAACCAGTACAAAGCAATGAGTGTAAAGTTTCTTGCTCACAGAAACAGCGGCTTGCCCATGATGGGGTTTTAACCCAGGCAACCAGCAATCCTTCGATTACTAGTCTGACGCGTTATCCATGCTGCCACACCACATCTCTATGAAAGTGTCTGAACAGCTCATTCTAAGACTTATATTTAAATATACATGTAATTCACAAGTTAACTAGGTTACTAGATTAGGTTCAGAGTACAGTTTTAATGTGGCACCATATCAAATTAAATGTTAAAATCTTATGCACATTTAACATGTTGTATTGTATTATGCTTCATAATTCATAGACAGTACAAAGTGTATTTAGGTAATAATACACATAAATTTGGATCTGTCTTTAGTTCACTGATATAGAATTTTGATACAGAAATGTTAAGTTAACCAGGAAAAATCATACAGGTCAGCTGGCACCATTGTGCCAGATGGTCTAACTTAGATTTATACTGCTGGAATACCTCCATTATCGTTATTGCTAGCATTCTAAGGGTTTATCAATTCCTTACCAGCTGAATTTGTGTTTTGAATGTAGTACAGTCTATTCATAGTATATGGGATAAGATACAAGACCCATCTGCTAACAGCGCACTACATTTTTCTCAGCGTTGGTAGGGTTTTTACTTCACGCTAACATTTACTCTGAATACTGACAACAGTACTCACTAAACATCATTTAAATCTAAATCTGTTTAAGTTGGACATAGTAACTCAGCTTTTTCTAGAACATGGTACAACTTTCAACATAATTTACATAATAAATAGTGCAGCATTAACTTACTACTGTATGTAATACTATGTTTTAAATAAATTACAAGAGCAGTGGCAGAAACTGTATTCCTATAACTGTATATGTTACAGAGCCTGCATCATATAGTGATATTGTATGTTACCAAGACAATTACACTTCACTTTCCTTTACTGGTAATATGGCAAGACCAATCAAAACAGATAATATTTATCTCAAGCATGAAATGTTTTAATAAATCACTCAACAATGTCTTTTGATCTGCCCTTTATCACCTTTTGGATCCTTCTGCAATAAAGGACTACAAATAAAACACAAAGAGATTGAAGTTCATTGAACTATTGATATATCTATTGGAATCACTGCATATAATAGATTGTTGCACTTGTTACACCTGCAATTTGTGTTTATGGTTCAGCAACCAAACAAAGCTGATTTGTACCACCAAAGAATTTGACTAATGGAAATGACATAATGGTGAAAATCTTTAAAAGAACATTGAAAATTTTGTGTTTTTATACAATTTGTTTGGATTTTCTGTTCATTTGAACTTTTATATTTGTAGAATTTAGGAAATTAAATATGGGCATGAGAAATGTTATTTACTTTTTCCCATATCTAACTAAGTAGTCATTTTCTGTCAAAAACCTCAATAGTACATTTTACAGCATTATTGCAGTAATAGGTTCACTCCTATTAACTATAATAGGAGTGAAACTTTTACTGCACTAAGGTGATGAAATCTGCTAAGAAGTACTGACTACACAATAACATATAACAATTATATAAAATGTATGAAGTTATTATTATCCCCACATTGCTGTAATATGTCGTTATACTTGACCTACCTAAAGATTCTACGGAGAAATCGAAATGTAGTTCTGATGCTTGCCGTCTACTGGACTTCAATTTTCCAGACATGCTCACTGCCTTCACAAACTCTGAAACCAAGGCCAAAAATACATTAATAATATAATTATACATGTATATTACCATCTAACTGTGACATCATATCATCAGGTATAATACTTTTATGCCTTACAGGGGATAAGGTCACAAAATCTTATGTAATTGCATTACAACTCCGTATCAATAAATGGAATGATATGGCTGTTGAAAAATCCAAAATCTGTATTTTTGGCAAAATGGTTAGCAAATAAATGAGGAGCTAGTAACTTTCTCATTCTAAAGATTTTTCTTTATCAATGTATAACATTTTTGAAAATAATGTTTTTTTTCTTGACAAAACCTTGAAAACGCTCATAATATATATATAAATTGATCATAAGTCTGCAAGAAACTCAAATACATTATAGGTAAACAATCAATACCATTTCTTATCTTGATTTTTTACCCAATCAAATTAACAAATACAATCCCCTTGCAAAAACTTAATGTTTTCTCATTTTCACAAGTGCACCATTCCTTATGGCTTCTAAATTGTTAAACTCCCCACTTCAAAGCACTTACCAGAAAATCTAAGTTGTTTTTTTTAATCTGATAAATAAATTGTACATGATTTACAAAAAAATAATTAGTTGTTTATTGGATGAATGAATAAATCTTAGAAAATTGAGTAACAAAAAATATTTCTATGAAATGTATTATGTCTTTAATACACTTGATAGATCTAACAGTAGCACTATTTTTAATTACTTTAATATTTCTATCATTGAAATTTCTGTCACTGTACTGTACTAAAACTGATACAGAGTTGCTTCCCTTGGCTTATGTGTATAAAAATCACGAAGCAAGTTTTTATTTATCCCAGAATGAAATAGTTGTATTTTTTCTTCTTCATTAAAACTGTGTTTGTACAAAATATGATTATTAAATCAAGGTGTCCCTGCTTAAAACCTACTTCACTTTACAGCTAGCTGTTTAAATGACGTAAAATGTGATGTCATTGTTTCAATTTCTACACGTACTCGTGTTCAGCGGGCTGATTATAATTATGACTTTTCGGCCCCAGGCCACAAACTCATAAACAGTCATGTGACACCTATAATCAGTTAAAATCAAAGGCAATTTTGTTACTATATTTAGTAACAAGTGAATTAAATAGCAAGTTTCGACTTCACATATGTGCAGGCCACCACTTCTGGCTTAGGTTGGTTATAAGAACTCAATTCTAGAACAGTATATTAGTTCAAGTCTAAGCTATATATAGCATTTACATTCATTATTCATTTGACAGATTTAAGACTAACTTTAAAACTTAGAAACCATAATTTCTACTAGGGAGTTCCCTCATAATTTGTTAAACAATTCAGGTCATCCATTTATCACTTAAAACAATTAATGAATTTTATCACAAACAGTCAGAAACAAGACTACAATATTTTTATAAACATATTACATTATATGAAAATAGGTTAAATATGAAAGGAAAGTGGAAGAGATGGGGTGGAAGTTTCAGCTTACATTTTTGCAAAAACACTGCATGATGAACAAATGAAATGATGATGAATTTAAAGCTTGGATGAATGAGGAGTGGTGTAAGATCACATGTTAATATTACATAAATGTATTTTTGGTTATAGTATATTGGTACAAATACCCTCTCTGCAATCTAATCTAAATCACCGTGTGTACATGTGTACAATATCATTTGTATAAGTGTGTTACTAGAACTATCTTAGTGTATCTATATGTTAACTCGTCTTTTACCAAATGGTCACTAAATTGCCAATACAGGAAACATATGTACATAGTGATATACATCTCCCTTTCTATTTTTTACATATACCATGATTCTATTATACATTTTCTGTTTTATCAATTAACAATTTAAGTGGATTTAAAGTCAACATAAAGAGTATCTTCAAAATTATTGTTGTTTTGTTTGTCTCATTTGACAAATTATTAACAGTAATTATACTGTAAGCATTTCAAGTATGCAGTATATAGAAATAATCATGGTAAATATAACATGTAAAGCAACAGTATGTATATACCACTCTAGTTTTGCATAACACCAAGTTTTTGTTAACACACCCTTGTTAAGTTTGTCTGTTGTAATACAGTAAAACACCACCTTATAACCATCCCATAAATAGGACCATGCCACTATTAAGGTCATTGAGAAAATAGATTAGTATCTAATTCGGCATTGTGACCACCTCTGTCAGACTTTTACATGTATTTTTTATCAAGACATTAACCTGTATTATAACCTTGCAACATAATGACCAAACAACACCATGAGTTTATTGTCCCCATTGTCAGAATCTTTCTTTTGGTGTAAACAAATACATCAGGTGGGTCAAATGAGGTCATTATCTGTCTTGGTATGGTTGAACAAGGGCTACCAATCATTAAGGGTTCTAAATGTGAATGATAATCACAAAAGCATATTAAGTTAGGTTTAAGAGTAAGGCACAATAGTCAGACAGCATTGTCATACAGAACAGACAAACATGAAAAAAGTATTTTGTTACACTAAACTCATACAATCTATTGTTTCACAACAACTTTAGAAATGTATCTTAGGTCAGAAGATAGGTGTCTTTGATACAAACATACAAATTATGCTGCCATAAACATGCATATGGTATCAGTGGGCCATAAGTCATGTTCAAATTAGCCAACTGTGCTCTTTAATATGAGTCCCATTGACTTCCCATATATCATTTGTATCATGCTAAGGTATAGCAAATGCCTGGGGAGATATTTCAAGCAGTTAACATTGTCGAGCATGCCTGCTATAGACAGCTCTACCATAGACTTGGGACTGTATCAGCTGGGATGGATATTCCTATCTCACTGTCCTTCACTAGAGCACACCGTTAACACTCACAAAAGGGGTTGGCAGTACTCAAGAGAGATATAGTATGAAGTTGAGGTTCTTAATACACTTAATAATAATTTTAATCCATCTCTTCACCTTCCATTGTAAATATTGCAATTGCAAATCTGCACTGATCACATGACCCTTATTAACCCTATCAAGCAAATTTGGGATGAGATGAATATTTGAATTTCTATTCCAAACAATAACTATCATTACTAGCTTTGTCAAAATCATCAAAGAAATCAGTAAATGAAAAGTGCAAATCATTTTCCAAACATTTTCTTGGTGTTAAGCAACTTTTGAGTAGTATATTATACAAAGCTAGTATTATGTATATGCATGAATATATTGCGAAAATCTGATTTCCTTAAGAAATTCACTTTTAACATAAAAAGTTACCTGTAAACGTATGTACTTTAAGTAATCCTGCAATTTATTGTTTTTCTTCATATAATTCCTTATGATTCTACATCAAAGCAGACTTTTATAGACTTTTAAAGATATTACAAATTTTGCTTTTTTTAATCAGTGTTATAACTGCCAGCTTCACATAGTAAAACTTCTCAATATGGATGAAATAATATGAATACAAAATTTCCATTAAAATACTCTAAATAAACCTTATATTTTTTCATAACAGAATGAGGACTATATTACAGTATTTATTTCATGCTTTCCTTGCTATATAATACTAGCAAACAAACCAGCTGTATGGAAAAGTTAATACAACAGGTCATGTAAAATAAAACCCATCAATTTCAGTCCCAAATGACCAAAACACTGCAAAAGATAGCTGATTTGCATCAAGTAATAGAGGTCGCCATTTTTTCTTGAATAATATTTTCGTACTGCACGTTACAGTTATGAAAATTAAACAATTGGTTAATATGGTCGGTTTTTTTTTGCTATATCTTGTGTAAAAATAGTTTGAATGTAGCAAACTGTGTCATATATTACTGATGCACTATTATACCTGTATAGTATTAAATGAATTATTAACAAATAATCGTGATAATGATAATGATTATGTTTTTCATATTCAATAATTAATTCCTACATCCATTATTGATCTATAAATGATAAATTGAGTCACTCATGTCTAAACGTTGGAATCTTCTAAGAGTTTTCAAAGCTGCCAACACATGGCAAAGAATGCAAGAAGTATTATGCTTCTTTCAAAATAATTAAGTCTTATCCTTTACCCATCAATTTGTTACCGGAAGAATTAACGTCTGCATATTTGGTCTGGCTGAAGATCACCAGGTCCTATTAGATTTAAAATGTTACTGGCCTGCATGTCCAAAGCTTTTTTTAAGTTTTTCGTGAAGACTGATTAATTGTGTAAACACTTGTTAATACTCCTAGAGATTAGAAATAGTCTGCACTTACTTTCATAACAAATGAGAACTGTATCTTTTTCTAATTGTGTTACATTCACCACAGGTACCTGTTCTCCTGTAAAGATATGGATTTGATATAATTTTTCATTGTCAAAAAAACAACAACAACAAAGTGGCTAATATACACATAAGTACATGTATTGTCTGTATGTATCATCCTCTGATACAATATTCTAAATCAATGTATTAAAGGCACATTACGCCTCAGAAATCAGTAAAAATTTCAAATCTTTAAGGAGTTGTTTAATAATGCTTTAATAATAGATTAAGATCATGATAGATGAAAGTAGAACTGGCTTGCAGTAATGTGTTGTAAAGGTAGTAAAATATGAACAAAGCAATATTTTGATTTCTTTACTGACTTACAAATTGCCAAAGTGCTAAATAAGCAAAACATATAGCTCATCTATAATTATGGCCATTGAGTAACTTTTTGGAAACTGTAATAAGATGCCAAGAATACAAAGTTTTTGAGAAATGAAAAGTATAGAATTTTGGAAGCTAAATTTGTGTTTGAAGCACAAACTTTGTATTAACTGCATCCATAGAAATGAGGCTGATTTCTTTTATTAACCCCCAGATTTGAGTTTTTTTTTGTTTTTTTTTGGAACTAATGAGTAAACATTGTCAAGCATTAAAATTGTATTATTTAACCCACTATCCACAGAAATTACCTATAACTAATGCCTAAATTTTTCTAACTCACAAAGTAGTAAGATTTTAGTTAATACCAGAATTTATTTTAAGTTTGTGTAGAAAGCAACTCTCGAGCTATTCCTAGAACCAGCTAGTACTGAGCAATCAGTGTTAAGGTTCTTGCAGAAGAAAACTGTGAATACATATTTTATTGATTAACTGTTGCTTAGATGGATTCTTAAAAGCTTTTATTCATCCAAAAGCATGCAGCTTTAATTCCTCGTGCAAAAACCATTATCCTAGACTAATCAAATGTGTGTCACAGCAGCTTATAACTTACCTTCATTCTGTTCTAAGTCAAGGAACCAGTTTGATGTGGAGTTCAGATTTATAACATCAAAACTAAGAGGGACTTTGTCTGATCTGCAAATATATATGAAATACAAAAATATTTACTATGTTGAATTTGTCTCATGGACTTTCCATATTTTACATTTACTGATAATTACGACTTATACAATAAAGAAAGCTGGCTTTCCTCGCTCTATTCTACTGGCATATGTTTCTTAGTATAACTTAAACATAAGCATTTTGAGGGTTTTAAAGTACTGTTCTTGTGCTTTCAGTGTAGATGCAGTGTAGATGATACTACACACTTTACAATTTATCTTTCATAAGAAGATATCCTAAATATCTGTTCAGCAACTAATTCTGTAAAATTTCAAATAAGGTAATATATTTTACAACTTTTTTAAAAAATGTTACTAAGCATCCAGGCATAAAGAATGAATGCAAAACATTGCAATACTTACCTAACTCTAACTCCTAAACATATCAAGGGATATTCTAATTCTGGAGATATAAACATTTCAAATATTGGTGGTGAGGTTGGCAAAGTATCACACTCGTATATCTACAAACAAAAACAATATTTATTTATGTATGTACATTCAAATTTCACATTCATATATGTTATCAATCATTGATAAATAATCTTAAAAGTTTAACAATAAACTTTGTAAGATCAACTATTTTCTATTACGAGCATAATTGTTATATCTAATAAAAATTTTATCTCTATGGAAAACTTTGAAACAAAAAACTGTCTTGCTATCTTAGTGTGACAAGAATTATCTTAAAAGGACTTTTGTTAAGGAATAGTGGTCAAGAAAAGGTCTGTGGTTACACAGGTTAAATTCTGTACCTTAATACATCTTAAGACACAAAAATAAATTTCTTTCATTGTGGATAAAATGTTGCACAAGTTAAAAGAAGAGACCTTGGGACACCCAAATATTTTATTTCACATAATCATAGTATTGCAAAATATTCACAACTTTCCTTTGTATAATGTTCCAAGCAAAATATGGTAGTAATTACTTATATCACACAAAATTACTAAAATTACTATAATAAAAGTACAATCAGTATAATATGAGCCGCGTCATGACAAAACCAACATAATGGGTTTGCGACCAGCATGGATCCAGACCAGCCTGCGTATCTGCGCAGTCTGATCAGGATCCATGCTGTTCGCTTACAAACCCTATAACAAGTAGAGAAACTGATAGCGAACAGCATGGATCCTGATCAGACTGCGAGGATGCGCAGGCTGGTCTGGATCCATGCTGGTCGCAAACGCATTATGTTGGTTTTGTCATTACGCGGCTCATATATTATCATGTAACACTAACCTTGAGCTGCATAAATTTGTTGAGAGGATCATACCACTGCATAAGAATGATCCCTGTTGGTAAAGCCCCGCATAAATATTTATAGCCATTGTACGGATTTCTACCTACACAACATCTCATACACCCCTTAGTATCTGGTACCTTTGATGTTGCTGTATATTTCCTAAGTAATATAATATAATATAATAGTTAATTTGGTATCATTAGTTTCAGTGAAGGCAGGTAAATTTATGTCATGATTGTAATTGCCGGTCATCATGTGTAACTGATACGCTGGTAAAACTGCTTTGTAAATTACACTAAGACATTTGAGTAATGCCAGTCGGACATGTGTAAGATCAATATTCAATAGAAATATAAATGTATGACATACTTATAGGAACTTCCAGGGCACGACACAAACTACTTTTGGTTTATACAAAATTTATTTTAGTTTAATTTTGTTGGAAGCTATAAGCTTTTAGACACATTTTCGAATCCGTTCCTGGAACCAAACAGTACTGAGCAACGGGTGTAAAGTTTCTTGCTTAAAGAAACAACTTCTTGCCACTGACAGGGTTTGAACCCATGCAACTAGTGATCATTAGATTAATAGTCTGACACATTAACCACTTGGCCATGAGGCCATGCTACTTTTGTTTTCAGATTTTGACATTCACACTCACAGGTGTGTTGGATATTTTAATGTATGTTTTAGTTCTTCCTGTTAAACAAATAATGAGTGCTAATTGTGAACATGAACTAGATTTATGTCCTTCATACGAATGTTTGTGTTTTGTTTAATACTGTGTATACATAAATGTATCAAAACACATCTTTCTGTTCAGTTAAGTTTTATAAAATTTAACCATCATTTTAATGGTAATTCAGTATTTAAGACACTATTGAAATTCGAAATGGTGAGAGTCAGTTTTATTTCTAACATGAAAAAATGCATAGTAGTTTTCAAAATCTAAAATTAATGTAAAAATTGGAAATGTTGACACATACACACAAAAATTCCAATTGCTTTCTTAATAAAGGTATGAAATAGCAACTGCTTAAATTGAATGCCAAAACAATAGCAACCTTTGTAAAATGTACTCAAGAAACTGTAAAAAAAGTGTTTATTTGAGTTACCTACCTTGGCACAAGTTTTTCAGGTATTTTAGTTTTCATGGGTAGGGAAAACCGGTTTGTTTGTTTACTATGTAACATCAACAAATCATGTCTATACAAATGTGGAGTCTTCCCTGAAACAACAAATACATCTATTACATGTACTGGCATATCAACTATCAATTAAAGCAATGAGAGTATTGTTTTATTTTATGCTTGTTTAAATCAAATTACACAAACTTCATATTGCACAGTCACAGGACTCTTTATCTTTACCCCATAAACCTGCTGAAACTGGAACTGATAAGCCTTTATAGCCAGGCCAGTCTGTACATTCATGTAGTCTGACCAGACTGTATACTGACAGTAGGTCACTTCTTGTATTTTAATATTAAAATCCCTTAAAATTGATTTTAACAGTATAGGTCATATGGTGACTTTCCAGCCTGGTAGAGGAAGACCTCAGATGCCCTTCCCTACATTACTTCAGGCACAAGTGGGCACAACAGTAGAACCACTGGCGTTCTGTAAGCTAGCTGGATAGTTTCCTCACATGAAGAATCCAAAGTCCCTGCTGGGTTTCAAACCCAAAGAAGTGAGGGGCACAAGGTCCATAGTCAATGACCTTAACCAATCGGTCATGATTGCCCCTTAACATTTAAATGAACTGTTCTAAATTCAAAGCCAGAAAATCCATTAGCTAAATTTAACTGGTTATGGGTTGAATGTGGTTAAAATCAATTCTACTGTGATATCTACAAAGACAGCAATTTGATTGAAACTGTGTTCAGCTAAAGTCTGTCATTTTAAGAAATTTAACATTAAAGGCTCATTAATTTATAAATTATATATGAAATTTGTGTTCAAAGTACATACCAGATATTGACATGAGAACATTATTGACTACATATAGCCATGAACACTGTCTTGCATGAAGCTGAAATACATAAAATGACAAATATTAGACTAGCAACATATTGAAACACCATACAAATATATATAACAAGAGCTGTCGGTAGGACAGCAACGCTCGACTATTCTTAATGCTTGATAGTAAAAAAAATGCTTGATACAGTTACCTCCTCCTGTTTACAGGTTGGGGTCATGATGGTGAACAAGTGTGCAAAGTTTCAAAGCCATATGTCAATGGACTTTGAAAATATTTGAACTATTACAAAAACTTTAATGTAAATTCTAAGTCGAAAAAGGGGCATAATTCTGTCAAAATGCTTGATAGAGTTACCTCCTCCTGTCTACAGGTTGGGGTCATGATGGTGAACAAGTGTGCAAAGTTTCAAAGCCATAAGTCAATGGACTTTGAAAATATTTGAACTATTACAAAAACTTTAACGTAAATTCTAAGTCGAAAAAGGGGCATAATTCTGTCAAAATGCTTGATAGAGTTACCTCCTCCTGTCTACAGGTTGAGGTCATGATGGTGAACAAGTGTGCAAAGTTTCAAAGCCATATGTCAATGGACTTTGAAAATATTTGAACTATTACAAAAACTTTAACGTAAATTCTAAGTCGAAAAAGGGGCATAATTCTGTCAAAATGCTTGATAGAGTTACCTCCTCCTGTCTACAGGTTGAGGTCATGATGGTGAACAAGTGTGCAAAGTTTCAAAGCCATATGTCAATGGACTTTGAAAATATTTGAACTATTACAAAAACTTTAACATAAGTGGTTACGCCGACGCCGACGCTCGGGTGACTGCAATAGCTCTACTTATTCTTATCGAATAGTCGAGCTAAAAATACAATTATTTTGTTGTTGTAGCTGCTCATTTTAAGGTAAATATCTTAATATTCATTAATGTATAGAAACGATTCACCATTTTGACATAATAAATGAATCTGTTTTTATGCCCCCACATAAGGGTGGTGGGGTTATAGATTTGCCCTTATCAGTATATCTTACTGTCCATCAAGAGACTGACATACCAGCAGAATGTCGAGGTATCCGTGTCCAATGGACACATTTCTTGTTTTATTTATATTCAATTTCATCCTTAGTCATGATTTGTATTCAATTACTAGCATGATCAAAAGAACTTATTAACAATCGATAATTGCAATACTTATTAAGCATAATCAATACCTTCAAACACTTGTAAGGTCCAAATATGACTAAAAAGTCAAAATACTTTTTTGTTTATATAATGCTTCTTTTATGATAAATTATTTCACATTCAGCCTCACTTTCTTCAGGTATCAAGTATCTTACATGTTCTAAAACCATTATTTAAATGTTATAAAATTTATGTTTGCTCCTTCTAAGTAAAGATTTATTCATTTCTAAGGCATAATGTGCCTTTAATAAATACTTACCAATTCTAATGAAGCTTCATGGATTTCATTTAAATTAAGGGTATAAAGTCCTTCACTTGCACCAATTAAAATATGTTCATCTGAAGAAAAAAATATATAATTATCACATACAATGTACATATAAGTTCTATTTCTTCATGCAATTAAAAATGTGCTTTACAATACATGTATTGATTTATGTATCAGAATAGGTAAAGCTATTCCATAATTATGTCTTATATGAGGCACATCAACCCATCTACATTGCAGTGTGAACAAAATATATCATAAATATATATCATTTTGTTACACCTAACAAATGACATATTCATACATTTACTTAGAAATCTGCATAATTGTATTTTTAAATTAATTCAAATGGCGAACTTTAACAATCTCCATGTTTTTTTTATTTTGTTTTACGTCACACCGACACAGTATAGGTCATATGGCGACGTCAAACTTTACTGGTGGAGGAAGACCTCAGGTGCCCTTCCGTGCATTATTTCAGGCACGAACGGGCACCAGAGTAGAACCACCGACGTTCCGTAAGCTAGCTGGATAGCTTCCTCACATGAAAGAATCCAAAGTCCCTGTCTGGAATCGAACCCACAACGGTGAGGGGCAAGTGGTTTGAAGGCATCTACCTTAACCACTTGGCCACGGAGGCCCCCTCCATATATGTAATGCATTACTGTTTACAAGGTTTACAAGTATTTTAAAAGGTAAAGAAGCTATTCATTCATACCTCTAGTATCTGGATTTATCCAGCTGGCTGTACATTTGATTTTTAATGGACAACCATTGAACACTTTTGAAAAACAAGCACCCATCTGAAATATATAATATATTCAATACCTTGTCAAAACAATAACAACTCTCTTTATGTTTTTCTTTTCATTCTTAAGATATTCTTCATAATGCCCTGTGTTTTAGAAAGTAATGTTTAAAGAAAAGTTCAAAACTAAAATTAAATATGTAAAAGAATTTATTTCTCTCATCAGATAACAAAAACAGCTTGCAAAGCCATCAGCTGATTGATTTGTTGTGTTTTTAAGTATTATTATTAATATTATCCAGCTTTACTGGTGAAGAAAGACTTCAGATGCCCATCAGTGCATTATATCAAGCACAAAGTCAGTGCCAGAGTAGAACCACCAACTTTATGTAAACTTGTTGGATAGCTTCCTCACATGAAAGAATCCAAAGCCTAACAAAGGGTTAAAACCCACAGTGGTAAAGGTTAAGTGACTTATAATCAGTTGCACAGAAAAGAATTATAAGATCCAAGGCACTTTCTTTATTTTAAATTAGGCCATTATTTTTTGATATTTCGGTTACTGACCCGCCGACTCCGTATTTTGGGAAAATGAAAAAAAAAAAAAAAAATCTGCCCCCCAAAAATTTTGTGTTGTCTTGAAATACGCCTCTAATAAAGTTAAGATGTTAGTTAATATTCTATCGGGATATATATATCTCATCTTACGACTTTTCAAACAAACGTCAAGAAAAATTTTCACAGTAATAATTATGAAAGAATGTCTGTTAAATGGGTCAAGCCATTCTCACAGAATTATAATGAGGCTTTGATCATATTTCATCAATACAATTAAGGTGTCCAAATGCGTAAAAATGTCAAAGTAAACAACTTCAAAAAAAAAAAAAAAAAAAAAGCACGCCAAAATTACGTAAGCAGTTACATTCAAGGACAGAGCGAGAGAAATCTGATGCAATTGACAAGATCAGTATTTTCAGATTTAACAAAAAAAAATAGTCTTTAAAAGCAGATTGAATACAGGTTTTCAAACAAACAAAATTTAAAAATGCACTTACTATTAATAGATTTTTATGTCAATAATTGACCTGCTAATTATCCGATAAAAAATATTTTCACATCGGGCAATAACATAGCTTAATTGAAAAACAGTTAGAGCATGAGAAAAACAGCTACCGTGAGATAAAATCCGGCTATGATAAGCTTAAGTCGGACTACGCTCGTGTATCAGAGGATTTGATTGATGTCCAAAGTAGATCAATGAGAGACAATTTATTATTCTTTGATTTTACGGAATGTGAGACAGTTACTGAAAGAAAGGGAGAGAACTGTGAAAAGAAAATTTTAGATTTTTGTACTGATGCACTAGGTTTTGCAGACGCACACAACACCTTGAAAATAGACAGAGCGCATAGAGTCGGAAAATTTATGGCCAACAAAAAACGTCCAATTGTTGTGAAATTTAACTATCATAAAGACAAGCTTGAAATAAAACAGAGAGTACTAGACAAGAAAGGATCAATAAATTATAGTGTGAGCGATCAGTTTCCGGTTCCGGTCCAGCAGCGACGGAGACTGCTCTACCCGTCTCTGAAGAAAGCGCGTGAAGCTGGGTTACGAGCAAGTCTACATATGGACAAACTTTTAACTTTAACTTATTAACTTTTCGTCAATAATAAAATGTACACGGTAGACTCTCTCCCAATACAAGAAATAGAAAATTTGCCTACAATTCCAAGTGCCCAGCAACAGAATTCTGCCCGCAACATTACTAAATAGGAAATAAAATGGGAATACTTAAATATCTTATCTTGGAATATTAATGGATTAAAGTCTAAGTTGAATGATATTGACTTTTTAAATCTCATCTCTTCATATGATATTGTGCTGTTAACAGAGACATGGACTTCAAAACTTACAAATTTAAAAATTAATGGTTTTGATTATGTACATGGTCCTAGACCTAACAGTAAGTCAAAAGCGAAACGTAGTAGTGGAGGGATTGTTATTTATTATAAAGATAGTTTGGTAAATAAGCTTGAGATTGTGAATATAAACTTAAAAGGTATCGTTTGGATTAAATTAAAAAAAGAGCATTTTGGATGTGAAACAGATATTTACTTAGGTACATGTTACATTCCACCTGAGGATTCAAATGTTTATAAAGATGTAAATTCCAAACTTTTCGAGTATGACTTTTTTGAGCAATTAAATGAGGATATTCGTAAATATAGTGACCTTGGTCAAGTCTTCTGCATGGGCGATTTCAACGCTCGAACGGGTGAGAGGCTGGACCATGTAGAGAACATTCACTTAGATCGTTTCACTGCGCTTCCGACGAACGAGATCCAGGATATTCCGAAGCGATCAAACAACGATACACACGTTAATTCTTTTGGTTACAAATTATTAACTTTGTGCAAAAAAAATAAAATTATCATAGCTAATGGGCGTTTAGAACCAGGTTTTTGTACTTTTCATTCAAAATTTAGAAACAGAGCTGTTATGAGTACAGTGGACTATCTTTTAACGGATTTCGAAAATTTTTCCTCTTTGAACGATGTATGTGTTATGGATATGACAGAATTTTCAGATCACTGTCCTATTTCATTTTCATTAAGTTATAGTCAAAGTAATAGCAAAATATACAAGGTACCACCAATAAATAAAATTGTATGGAATACTGAAAATAATAATAATTTTTGCAACTTGCTGGAAGAAAATAGACATGTGTTTGAAAATATATGTGATAAACTTATGTCAGGTGAAAATGATATTGACTATTGTATAAACACTTTATCTCAAATGATTTATGATATATCTTATAAATGTCATGGTAAAACATTTCATAAAAATAAGCAAAAAAATAATAGAAAATCGCCATGGTTTAATCATGAATGCAGAAATGCTAAATCAGATTTTCCAAACAAAAAACGAAATTTTGCTTTGAACAGTTCTAATGAAAATATGTTGTTATTTTTGACAAGCAGAACTAAGTATGCAAGGGTTAAGAGACATGCAAAATATTTATATTATTCTAAGGAGAAATCAAATCTTTCAGATATGTGTAAAACGTCTCCCCGCAAATTTTGGAAATATAAAAATAAGTATAAAAGTAAATCGAAAGCCAATAATTGTCAAAATTTAAATGCTTTTGTTGATCATTTTTCGCGTATTTGCAATACGCAACACAGCCGCTTTAATGCAGACGATTTTTCACAGTCACGTGATTCACCTGTACACGTCGAGCAGCTAGATACCCAAATAACAATAGATGAGATCTCTAAAACAATTTCATCGTTGAATAGAAATAAAAGTGCCGATTATCAAAATATAGTGGCGGATTTTTTCATTGATGCTAATTATTGTGTCGCCTTGAAAAGGTGACATATAGGGGTTACTTTTGTCGGCGGTGTCGGCGGCGTCTGTGTCGTTGTCGGCGTCCCCTAAAGCTTGTCCGGAGCATAACTTAGTCACTATAAGTCTGATTGACTTCAAACTTGGTATGCATGCTTCTTTCAATAACGCGAAGTGCAGTGCACAAGGACCGGTACCCTGCAGTTCTTATTTTTTGAGTTATTGCCCTTTGTTAATTTTCATACTTTAATTTTGTCCGGGCCATTTCTCTTCAACTAAAAAAGCTATGGACTTGAAACTTCATGGGATGATAGATCTCATTATTAAGAAGTGCAGTGCACAAGAATCGGTACTCTACACTTCCTAATTTTTGAGTTATTGCCCTTTGTTAATTTTCATACTTTATTTTTGTCCGGGCCATTTCTCCTAATGTATAAAAGCCATGGACTTGAAACTTCATAGGATGATAGGTCTCATTAAGAAGAAGTGCAGTGCACAAGAACTGGTACTCTGCATTTCTTATTTTTTGAGTTATTGCCCTTTGTTTATTTACATACTTTAATTTTGTCCGGGCCATTTCTACTTAAGTGTATAGCTATGGACTTGAAACTTCATAGGATGATAGATCTCATTATTAAGAAGTGCAGTGCACAAGAATCGGTACTCTGCATTTCTTAATTTTTGAGTTATGGCCCTTTGTTAATTTTCATACTTAATTTTTGTCCAGGCCATTTCTCCGAAAGTATAAAAGTTATGGACTTGAAACTTGATAGGATGATAGATCTCATTAAAAAGAAGTGCAGTGCATAAGAACTGATACTCTGCATTTCTTATTTTTGAGTTATTGCCCTTTGTTGATTTTCTTACTTTATTTTTGTCCTGGTCATTTCTCCTCAAGTATGAAAGCTATGGACTTGAAACATCATAGAATGATAGATCTTATTGATAAGAAGTGCAGTGTACAGAAACTGCTGCTCTGCACTTATTATTTTTTTAGTTATTGCCCTTTGTTAATTTTCATATTTCATTTTTGTCCTGGCCATTTCCCCTAAACTACATTGTTCACAAGGCGACACATCCGACTCGCGGAGTTCTAGTTTTATAAGTAAATATCTGTGTGTTATCTTTAATAAAATATTTGAAACAGGTGTTTATCCCGATTCATGGTGTAAGGGGATAATTGTCCCAATACATAAGAAAGGTGATCATGATAATCCCTCGAACTACAGGGGCATCACTTTGGTAAATTGTATGGCCAAAATTTTTTCGTTGATATTGCGCAATAGAATTAATAAATGGTGTGAGTCAGAAAGAATTTTCAGCGATATTCAGTTTGGTTTTAGAGATTCGAGATCAACCTCTGATGCTATTTTTATTCTTCATTCCATAATTCAGAAAGTTTTAGCAAAAAATTCTAAACTCTATTGTATTTTCATTGATTATGAAAAGGCCTTTAACACAGTTATAAGAGATGCGTTATGGATTAAGCTGTTAGATACTGGTATTAGTTGTAAAATGATAAATATGTTAAAGGCAATTTATTCGTCTGTAGTGTCATGTGTAAAAATTAATGCTTTTATGAATATGTCAGATTTTTTCTACGTAACTCTTGGATTAAAGCAAGGAGAGCCATTATCTCCCCTGCTATTTATTCTTTTTTTAAATGATATTGAAAAATGTATAGATCTTAACAAAATGTCGAATAGCGACCTTGAACTCTTGTCTAAATATTTGCTACTTTTTGCAGACGATATCGTGCTTTTCACTACAAGTCCAGAGAGCTTGCAAGCTCAAGTTGATAATGTATATAGTTATTCGTCAAAATGGGGGCTTAAAATAAATGTTAATAAAACTAAAGTTTGTGTTTTTGAAAGAAGGAAATCTGTACATAATTTTAGTATAAACATTGATGGTCAGTTTGTAGATATTGTTGATAATTTTTCATATTTAGGTGTAAAATTTTCTTATACGGGTAGCTTTTCTGAAGCAACTAAGACTCTTGCAGAGCAAGGCCTTAGAGCATATAACAGTCTATTGGGTATTTTTGACAGAATAAAGCTAGATGTAAAAACTAAACTGCACCTTTTTGATAGTCTGATAACTCCAATTCTGTTATATGGTTCAGATGTATGGGGAATTTACAAATATAAAGATATTGATAAACTGCAAATAAAATTTTATAAATATGTACTTGGTGTTAAAAAACAAACTCCTAATTGTGCTGTCTATGGAGAACTTGGTAAAAATTTCCTTTGTCAATTTTATGTAAAGAAAGATCTTTAAAGTTTTGGAATAAAATTGTTAATAATCAGCATTCGCCTATATATAGCATGTATTTAGATCAATGTGTTAATGGAAATAATAAATGCTGGGCTAGGCAAGCTCATACTATTATTAATGAGTTAGGATTTTCATATTTGTTAGATAACTATAATGTTATTTCTGATTTTAGCTTAATTTTTAAACAACGCCTTAGAGATCAATTTATACAAAATTGGCATGAGCAAATAAATAACATGCCAAAACTCTTTTATTTTAGGAATTTCAAATCAAATTTTTGTTTTGAGGAATATCTAAATGTAATACAAAATGACAAGTTAAGAAAACGTTTGACATGTTTCAGACTTGGTTCCCATTCTCTAGAAATTGAAACTGGCAGATATATAGGTTTAAACAGAAGTGAGAGAATATGTAAACTTTGTACTCAAAACATGATAGAATCCGAATATCACTTCCTGCTTTGTTGTCCATTTTATTCAGAATTAAGAAAACTTTTTATTCGTAATGCATCTTTTCCCACACTGAATAAGTTTTATTATATCATGTCATCTAATAATAAACATAGATTATTACTGATAAGTAAGTACTTGGACAAAGCTTTTGATTTACGATCTAATACCATGGAACAAATGATAAATAGACGAAATTAATGATATATTATTAACACTACTTTGTTATTTGTTAATTTCAAAACGAATACTGATATTTGAAATGTTTATATATGTATCTTGTAGTTATGTGTGCTATATTTCAAGATCTATGTATGTATATGTTTTGTATGTATTGCCAAAGGCAAGGATTTGCCGATTTGCAAATAAAATTTGAACTTGAACTTATTAAAATTGAACATGTGTAATCTTTTCTTGACAGTTTTTTTTTAACTGAGTGCAAGTCAGCTGAGTTTCGGCACCTTTGATGATTCAGATTACACAGCAGTGTGTAAACATCAAAGAATGACAGATTCTTTTGAAGGGCTGGCTTGCCACTTGTCATTAGTCATCGTGTGTAGATTTCATGTGTGTTTTTTAAACAATGGCAATGTGAGCAAAGTTTTTTTTTGTGTATTTAGACAATCTTTGGAATAGACAATCGGCGATCGATGTATTTAATTTCATTGCTCTGGTAAGTACTATGTATATGTATGCACCACATTTAAAGTTATGAAAACCTTTTTTTTTTTTTTTTTTTTTCCCGCCGCCGACCCTACCTTTTTTTGGAAAAAATCAGTAAACCAAAATATAAAAAAAAAATGGCCTTATTAACTATTTAAACAAATATATCTGTTTCACTGCACACAGACTTCAAACTGATTATTGGTTAATGGTGAAATTTAGAACTAGTCTCCAAACTTCTGATTACAACATTTATGTAGTTAAGTTTTTACCAGTTGAACAGTAAGGACCAGTAAGTAAGTAAAGAACCAGTAAGGTTCTGTAACTGTAAAAACTTACATGAACTTTTGGTGTAGGAGGCAAGCCATTGCTCACTGGTCGTAACTGAAGACATAAAAATATATATTCATTATTACATGTATACATAAAACATACGCCAGACATGTTTTTGTACCAACAATCTTATACCAGTATGAATATATCTATTTCTACAAGATATTCATTACTTTTTTGTTCTATTTGTACATATATATGGTCAGTTTGAAAACATATTAATGGATGTGTAAAATAATTAAAATAGAATCACAGATAAAATTCATATGCATTTTTGCAAATATTTAGCTTTCTTAAATGAGACTCTATGACATAACTATTTACAACTCAACTTTTTGTAACGAACATAAAACTTAAGTCAAGAATCATATCTCATTAACCAAATTAAAAATCACAAAAAAATTAAAGGTTTTTTAATAGAAAAAAATTTTGAATTTACCTTCACTTAAGTTTTTTTCCGCGTCGGGAGGTATTCGGGGGACTAACCTTTTGTGTGTCTTTTTCCTCTTTTGGTAGTGGCCCAAAAATTTTTTTTCCGCTCATTTAGGGGGTAGAGGGCGGTTTTTCTCCAAAAAATTCTTTTGGGGGGATGTGTGTCAGGGGTCAATGTAAGCATACGATCAAGAATATTGTCAAGGTCAGGTCCCTGATCAACATCACCCTCGTCAATGTCATCAGGCAGGTGATACGTATTTTCTGATGTTTCCTCTGATGATGGCTGAATAAAAGAATCAAACTTATGAATTATAGGGAAAACTCATTTGCTAACTTGCTGCCTTTTTTCTTCTATTCTTGTAAGGTACTTAACCTGTTGAGTTTCTTAACTTGATTTGTCCAGATTTGACCACTATAAATTTCGAAAATTTGAAGTTGGTTTTTGATTTGTTTTTGTTTGGTTTAACGGTGCACCAACACAATTTAGGTCAAATGAAAACCACTTCACCTGCTGGAGCTAAGAGATGCATAGATTCCAGTAATTCAAATCTATTTAGTCGCCTCATACAATCATGCAGGTTTAAATGGTTGCTGCAATTCTGACGCCTCAACCTATAAAGGCAAACCCACAGCCACAAGGAGCAGAGCCTGGTAAGTGAAAGTGCAGGCCTGTCTGGCTCTATCCAGTCAAAGGCTAATCACTTTTAGTTCCAGCAGGTTAATGGTTAAACATACAATTAAAACTATTTTTGAGATATCAATAAGAACTAAATCAGATTTTTTTTTTCCAGGATTACTTGAAATTGAAACGTTCACTAATTACAATATGGTATGATAATTCATTTCATGTATAAATACATGTTTATTTCATATCAATGAGCCTATAAAACTTTTTATAAAACTGCGATCTTAGTAAAGTCGCTTTTCATCAGAAAATATGTTTTTAATATAAACTATATATCACATAAACGCGGCGCAGGAGTGTAATAAAGCCATTTAATAAAAACGATATTACACTAGACGGTATTACACTAGTGTAATACGATTGACGTCACGTCATTTTGCGCTATAAACATAGCGTTAAAGCGCGCTTTTCTTGCATATCAGACAGGATTATCTACCGTTTACCTTTTATGAATGAATCGCGTTCTTAGGATGACGTCATTTTTCCGTTATGAATGAAGTTGTATGTTCATACGCTACTATAAGAAAAACGTGCGTAATGAGAATCAGTTTTCATGATTTCAGTTCCGAAAATAATTGACATGTAATATGCAAGAAAAAGAATCAAACACCGGCTGTTGGTACAGACGAGAATATCTAGCTCTCGGGTAACTGTTTAGCGGAAACTCGGCAGAGCCTCGTTACCGCTGTAAACAGTTACCCTCGAGCTAGATATTCCGGTCTGTACCGGCAGCCGGTGTAAGATTCTTATAATGTTAACGTTACCATTATAGGCGCGTCAAATAAAACTGACTCTTGTTAACAGTTTACCGTTCTTATTTTATATATGTGATTTGTAAATAGAATATTATATTCGTGTAGATTCAATACTAAATTTATTGAACTCGTTGAATAAAACAATATTATGCTCGCCAGAGGCTCGCATAATATGATTTTATTCAACTCGTTCAATAAATTTAGTATCAAACCTACACTCATTCAGTTTCCTCTATATACACATGTACTTGGCTGCTGTTTTTTTTTTTCAAATAAAGGAGCATGCTGAGAATAAATTTGTTTTAAAGTTCTTGACATGGCCCTATACACGGGGGAGGAAGTGTTACACGAAGGATGGAGTTCTTATGATAACTTGTTTGGAGTTCTTATGATAACTGTCACGGAGTTCCTGGAAAACGTTACGGATTTCTGTGGAAAACTTTTCTATATACCTGGAAAACTCGCGTAAAAAATGGTTATTTTTAACTTTAAATGGGGAGTTTGAGGTGCTAAATTTAACTTTGATAATTAAGCTTGCCCTACATATTGTATTTTGTTTCAGAAAAAATCTTTTAATCCATACTTTGTCGCCTTTTTAAAAAAATCTGGTAGTTTTGAGAAAAATTACCAAATTACTTGCTAATTCGTACATATTGACGTTTTCATTTGTGATCTTCTTCGTTGCTATACTTAATTACCTAATTATAGCGGAGAGTTGCAAACATAAAGCCCGGGCTAATAAATTTATACCAGATTTTTCAAATGTTACAGAGTTCTTGCGATAACTCAAAATATGTCCTGGAGTTCTTATGATAACTTTTGTTACTGCCAGTGTGTTTTTGTGCTTAATAACGGCACGTTTAAGCGTATTTTATAAGTCAATAAGTGTAAATCATTATGAAGCATAGTACGCTTATCATTTGCACAAAAATTTGGTTATATAACGTTGGTTTTGATCTTGTTTTCCAGTTCAAGAGATATTTTTCTTACTTCTGTTTCTTGTGTTTTTTGTGTTTGTTTTGGTCTTTTTGTGTGTTTGTTTTTATTATTTTTTTTTTTTGGAATGACTGTAAACATACTTGATGTAGAGCATTTACTTACAGGATAAAAATACGCTTTGAATTTAATACTCGAGCATGATTTCGTCATATATACATTATTTCTGGCAGTTTTAGAGAACATTAAGTAACTATGCTATCGGTATATATGCATGTAAATGGTTTTCAGCAAAATAGGAGGTAGTATGCACCACCTTTTCTAAATGTAATGAGGTGGGTGTCGTCTTTATGTATTCAACGGGTATTTCAATTTCTAAAAGGTATCAGTTTTTGTCATAGAAACGTATAATGTTCTATGACAATGATATGACGATAGAAAGTAAGTCTTCAATAAGATAAGTGAGTCACCGTAAGTTTCATGCCGTTTATCGACCTTGTTCCTTTCTCTATAAAATCCAATGTAGCATCACGTGACGTACAGCAATTTCCATATTTTGAAAAATTACTGCATACATTTTTCTTATCAAAGTTGGAGTCCTAGTGGCAATTTTGCAACAACTTTTGCTGTAATTGATTACAAAAATATACTGTCGAGCTTCTTTCGCTCGAACCCGTAGGGCACGTGCAAATCTGTCGAAGAGATCGGTAGTAATCGGTTGATTTTTTATGCATAAAAAGATCATACATTTCGGGTGCATGGGTGTGAAGGATATCCCGGTTATATACGATACATGGTACATAATGATACAATTTACTTAGCCGCTTCTTGAGGGAAGCCCAACTACTTATTGTCTGCTTTAGAAAGGCGGTTGCTTAAAACATGTAACTGAGAAAAAAGTGTAAGTTTTAAACAATTTTTCCTTGGCGGTTTCAGCCATGTTACTGCTGAATACAGGTGACCGTTGATTCAGGTTTTCCTGAAAATTTTTGTTTGCTTGTTTGTTTCATTTTACGCCTTTTCCCAACAGTATTTCAGTCGTATGGGCGGATAGTTTCCTAACCATCGTTCCTGGAGAGTTACACCAGTACTAGACTACCTTCCTCCGTACTAAACTACCAAATCATCTCCTGAGGATCGAACCCACGCCAGAGAGGTAACTGTATTAGAAGTCATCGACTCAAACCCCTCGACCACGGAGGTGGTCGTTCCTGAAGATAGCTTAGCACCTGTTTATCCTTTGTAGACTGTACACCAAAGCAGTTTCATGTCTTCTCCAGATATATTGAATGATCGTGTTTTAATTTTGCCACATGGCCTCAATGTTGCATTTGCGGAAACTTATGACATAAAATTTTTGTTGACAAACAGTATACACAGAAACATTTAGTGCAATTGTTGGGTTTTATAATGTCAATATGATTTCGCACAAATTTAATTAGGAACTAAAACACGATCAAAACCAACGTTATATAACCATTTTTTGTGCAAATGATAATTAAGCGTACTATGCTTTATAATGATTAACACACTTATTGACTAATAAAATACGCTTAAACGTGCCGTAATTAAGCACAAGAAACACACTGGCAGTAACAAAAGTTATCATAAGAACTTCAGGACATATTTTGAGTTATCACAAGAACTCCGTAACATTTGAAAAATCGGGTATACATTTATTCGCCCGGGCTTTATGTTTGCAACTCTCCGCTATAATTAGGTGATTATGTATAGCAACGAAGAAGATCACAAATGAAAACGTCAATATGTACGAATTAGCAAGTAATTTGGAAATTTTTCTCAAAACTACCAGATTTTTTTTAAACGGCGACGAAATTTGGACTAAAAGATTTTTTCTGAAACATAATACAATATGTAGGGCAAGCTTAATTATCAAAGTTTAATTTAGCACCTCAAACGCCCCATTTAAAGTTAAAAATAATCATTTTTTACGCGAGTTCTCCAAGTATATAGAAAAGTTTTCCACAGAAATCCGTAACGTTTTCCAGGAACTCCGTGACAGTTATCATAAGAACTCCAAACAAGTTATCATAAGAACTCCATCCTTCGTGTAACACTTTCTCCCCCGTGCTATATATATAGAGTTTATTTTGCAATATAAGGTAAGATGTATGCAAGCGACTGTTTATGTAGGGCCATGTATCTTGTCAAAAAATCTTTATAACTAAAAATATTAACTTACCTTAGGTGGTACAGGTGGGGGATTCAATGGTAGTGTTTCTCTGAAACATTTACAACATAAAATGATAAATATAGCAATAGTATGAACAACAGTTTCTGACCTATTACTTTTAAAATCATTCACAGAAATCACAGTATAAGCCAATCTACTCACTCATAAATATGGTTTACTCATTCAAAAATATGGTTATATTGTTTATCTATATTCCAAACTTTGTCTATTATCCATTATCAGTGAAGTTTATTAAAAGCCATGAACTACAAAGCTTTAAATTATGAAATGTCTTTTTTTCTTAGATTTAAAAATAGACTTGTAAAATGAAATATCCAGTGTTTTTCTTTCATTCTTTCCTTCATCATGTATTTATCTATATTTAAGACTATTTTCAACACACAGACAACATCTATTATTTTTGCTATGAACAGTAAGCCTTACTTAATTAGAAACAGATTCATTTTAAACACATCTAAATGCAAATAAAAAATAGCATGGCTATTGTACAACAAAGCTTTTGAGATTATATATGTGAATTAATAACAAAAGATCATCTCATGAAATAAATGAATACACTCAATATTACAATTCATTAATATTTGACAAAAATCCTTCAGTAATTAAAATTTAAACAACTAAACACTGATAGTCTGTAACTTAACATTGAATAACAATATAACAAGAAACTTTACTAACATTTTAACATGCAAAATATTTTACAAAATGTACAAAAAATGAGCCACTGGTAAAGTACTATTATTTTCTTATTTATTTCACATATTTTTTTTAAATAACTTCCTATTTTGATTTTTTCTTTAATCTTATATCAATCTGGTTTCTCGTCAGTCACTTTTGAATGTATTACAACAAAGTTTTTCGCATATTTTTTTTTTGTAATTAAAACTGGGCCATCAATGGACTTTGGTCCAAATGTTTAACTTAATATTTTAATCTGCTCCAGGTTTGTTAAAAAATTGTCATGTTTTTACTTAAGATCTATCATAATCTACAGTTAGTTAAAGAAATGATTTCCACATCAAATCATCTTAAATTAAGCAACAATGTAACAAGTGTTTGACTATACTGCTAGAATGTAGCAGTATGACCACACTGCTAGAATGTAGCAGTGGATGTGTCTATATACTAGTGACATAGTCAGCCAGTTGGCAGCAAACACAAGCCATGTATACTGACCACAAAGACTTCATCATAATTTGGACTATTAGAGGATTGTACCTCAAACATTAGAATGTTAGTTACTAATCTCTAAAGGACGCACTGCAAATCAATTAAGATTGTTAATTAGTACAGCAGAATGAAAGCAATCATGCAAGCCTTATAAATGAAACTATTAGACGATTACAATAAAATAAATGACACAACTATTTCCTGTCTAAATGTCATATCTACAATATTATTTGACAAACTAATGTTTACAATACTGACTGATGAAATTTGAACATATAAATTTTGTTAACAGTTATTATAAAATGATGACCAGTTTTTAATATGTTTGTGTATCTCCCATATTAAAGTCATTTTCATTAAACCAAAATGCCCATGGAGTCATGTTGCATTTTTAAGCAGAACAAATTAGTATTTACCCTAACCATTATTATTATACAGATAAATTATCATAATGGTTGATCTATGCAACATTTTTTATCTAGGAACTCAAGAATTTATTTCTCTGCAAAATTCTAATTAATCTGGTGAACCTACCTTTGTAGTACATATAGTTTGTTATTATAGCCTATATGATAACTCTTTAGATTCAGATAACATAGTAGTTTTTATTTAATTACAAAGTTTTTTTATCAGGTAAGGGGAAGAAAGGACAATAGAAGGTTTTTATCTTACATATTTTTTAGAAAAAGCTACTATATAAGAATGAATAAAACTGACACAGAGTTCCAAGTATTTTAGAGATTTTCATGACTGTACAACATCAAAATGATAATAAGGCTGTCTACAGTGACTTTGTACTCTTTGACCTGATTGTTATTGTTAACTGAAATTATTTTATTCCTTAACTTTTTTATTTTAGAGTAAGTCTTTCACTAAAACCATTTAGAAAGGCTGCATCAAGATTATAAAAGTTTTTCAAAATGTTACTTCCACTGGTCAATGTTTCTATGAACTCATATGCCCATCTGACTTGTTTTATATGAGCTAAATGTTTAAGCTTTAACTACATATATTTTAGTGTAAGTCATTAATTGGACCATTTAATAAAAGCATTTAAGAAAACAACAATGAGTTACTGCCCCTTTTAATGGAAAGTGACGCATGTATGACTGACTAATGTTAAAACTTACAATGATTTCAGTAGATGAGGGATGATTAACGATCAAACAATATTACATGCAATGCGAAATATTAAAGGACTAAAACCACGCTTACTTATTGGCGAGATCAAAGTTATTTGTGTCATCGTCCAAAATTAGACTATCACGATGACCTCTGAAAATAGTCATTCATTTTGTCGTCAAGTTAATTTATATGTTATATTTGTTTAATCATGCACAACTCATATCTCAAATATAAATAAATGTTTTCAGAACAAAATACAATGTACAAATTTGAAAAATCACTGCAATTAACACATCAATTACATAACACTATTCCTGTATTCTGAAAAATTTACTGGAAACAAAAAACTGAATAAAAATTACCATTTACCATAATTCCTACAATTCAGCGTTCCTTAAGCAATTTTTAAAATTTTCAGCAAACTTGTAAATTTCATACTTTCAAATAACTCCATGTCTATTTTTGTTATTTATCAAGACTTAGTATCCTATACAGAATTGTGATAAGTTCTGTGATAAGTTACAATAAGTTAAAATGATATAAATGTCAATTGATTTACAGTCTTAAATTACTAAGGCTGTAATAAAAACAATTATTGAGTCAAAAAACTCAACAAATATGACTGAGAGATTAAGATAAATGTGATATTTATAATAAACGACTTGTTTTGGTAAAAATTATCATCTTATCAGAAAAGTCCAAGTTATCACAAGTAAATTAGGTTTAATTTTTGGTAAAAATTAAAAATACCCTCCATATTTTCTATTTGTAAACTCAGTAGATATTGTAAAGAAGCAATATGTTTTATAATGTTCCCATCACCTTGAAAAAGCTAAGCAAAATAAAGCCTTTATAAAATCACAAAATAAAAGGTTATAAACCGTTATATAGACCTATCTTACATGTTAATATTATATTAACTTATGCTCTAACAAATTTTACTTTACTACATGTTGTTTCCCAATTTACATTGTTTTTTTTTAAATTCTAGTTCTTGCATTGCCATAATTTTCCGGTGTACCCCCCAGTTTTTGTATAACCATAATTTTGCAGTGTTTTTAACCCCTGTAAACACTGGCAGACAGTAACCGAATGCATGTTCCTGCATTCTGTACAAGTGTTAACTTAATTATCAGCTCCATGTTTCTTTTAACTAGAGATAGTACATTGGCAACCTTTTTAATGAGTCCGAACCAACAGATTGGATAAATAATAAGATTAAATATCCAATACAGAGTATCTTTCTATAACTTTAATATTATCATCAATTTTTATCCTCAACTAATGAAACGGAATTGACCAATCACCCACCAAGCCAATTTTCCAAACATATTACTTTAAAGGAACTGATATATATAATTACAACACATAAAGCAAATAGACCTAATGTCTATAGCAAGTATTTCTATGGTTCTCTGCTTGTATAATATAAAATTGTCTTATATTTTTGTGGAGAAATTTACCCAGTTTTTGCTAGAATGTAGTGTTCGAATGAAATTCTGAAATAAGATTATAAAACAAATCACACATCATTATGGCATGATCTAAGAGAAATATCATTTCAAACATGACAGGATATACCAAGTTAATTTCTACTTTAGAAATAAATGTAACTTTACCTAAAAAATAATAAAATAAATAAACAACTAAGGGTTTAAATGAATAGAAATAAATTGATGAAGAATCATATTATAATAAATCTATGATGATCTACACTGTATTATAAATTTCAAGAAATGATAGCTTCAAATTAACCTGGGCATCTACATATGTGCATGTATGTTGTTACAGTGTGAACAAATAATGCCTATACTGAACAATACACTGCCTACATCTAAGTTATTATCCCATGTATCTTTTCATATAATCTATCAATACATACATTGTATATTTACCAAATCTAATGTTTCTGTACATGACATTGTATTAGATAAAGTATGACAGAACAAAGAAGATTTATCCACACCCACAAAAATTAAAACCCATTCACATCAAAGCCGAGTGAAGAAGAACATGAAAATTAGATCACAAGTATACATAGAAACAATGTGTTTATTCTGAAAAATAAACACTACCGGTACCCAGAGCCTTTCAGTTCATTTGAAATAAGAGATTCACAGCCTTTTACCAACAATTTCTCCTCTAGCAAAGAAGAAAATTACCAGCTTTTGAAGACTCATCATTAAACTGATCTGAAAACTTAATAAATTGAAAAAGTGGCAGGGAATTGTAAAAAAAAAGAAGAAAAAATAAGAGGTTTTCTAACATATTTGTGAGAAAAATATATATCAAATGGCCATATCTGCAAATTGCAAAACAATGTCCAAATCACAAAATCTTAATAATGTTTGCTTGTTTGTTTTTTAAATAATTAAAATTTAAGTTTACAGTCAATTCAAAAGAAAAGTAGCTGATATTAGGCTGTGAATCAACTGTTCTCAACTATCCATGGATATGTGAATTATCTGCCCATGGATGTTTAAATCAAATATCCATGGATATGTGAATCAACTGCCCATGGATGTTTAAATAAACTGATCAACGAATATGTGATACCACTGTCCATGAATGTAATCTAATGTACTAGGATTTGTGAATCAACTGTCCGTGGATGTTTGAATTATCTGCCCATAAACAGGTCATACCAGCTGCCCATAATCAACTGTCAGCTGTCCGCGGATATGTAAATCCACTGTCCATGGATGTGTAAATCCACTGTCCATGGATGTGTGAATCAACTGTCCATGGATGTGTTAACCAATCATCCATGGAAGTATTAAAAGTTAAAATAACAAAAAGAAAATATAAACCAAAGAGTTAAATAATGATATACATGTATATTAATTATCTATCTAGGGATATTATCTTTTTAAACATGAATGCAAATATCTATGATATAAATCATTATAATAATGATAATTTACAATAAGCTAGTATGTCATACAAGATGTTTAGATGTTTTAGATTTTCTACATGTCATAATGAGCGCCATGCAGAGTAATAAAGGGGAGGTAATTGTTATTTCACAAGCTTCATTAGCCTACCTTTGTATAAGTTCCTCATTTACCGACTCTAACAAGCCCCTGAGAAAACAAATAGTTTACACAATGCAATATAATGTATGTACACACAGAAGAGAGCACTTGATTATATGAAACATATATTTGAAGTAAAAGGAGGATAGGCAGTCTAGTGGTTATGGTGCTTGCCTCTCAACCCAGAAATAAAGGGTTCAAGCCCTACTTAGGTAATAATCATAATTCCTCACATGACACCGGCACTGGTTAGTTTCAAGAGACAGACTTAGGAGTGGTTCTTATAAATTAGCTCCTTACATTAAACACAAAATTTTCTAAATTAAATATAAGAAAAACTTGTGTATTTATCTCATTTTCATGTTGCTGTTTTTTTTAATGAAAAGTCAAATTCCTGGTTAAAAGCAACTTGCCATTTGTTAATTATTTTTGGGGAATCCTTATTTCTGTAACAGAAAATTTACAGATTTTTTTTTGGAAATAATTATTTAAAAAATCTACAATGTTTATAAAAGCAAAAAACTATTGAACTATTGAAGCATTTATAATGTCTGGAAAATCGGTATGATTTATTACATGTCAAATAGCAGTCATAACATTGGAGAAACCACAAAATTACATCTGATTTTCTACGCTTTGATTAAAACAGAATTCTAAAATTTTCAATTCAAGATGCATAATGTAAATTTTTTAATATCGCTACAAATTAGCTAATATAAGCAGTAAACTATTTTAGTAATAATTATGCATAACATTCAAATCTAACTAGACACAGATTTCCACACATTCTAATATTTTGTCAGTCAACAGACAAAACAGTGTGGCGGATGGACCAAAAGTAGTGGGGTCATTCTTTGTTTGTTTTGGGTTTTACGTCACAACGACACAGTATAGGTCATTTGGCAACGTTCCAGCTTTACTGGTGGAGGAAGACCTCAGGTGCCCTTCCGTGCATTCTTTCAGGCACGAACAGGCACCTGAGTAGAACCACCCACGTTCCGTAAGCTAGCTGGACAGCTTCCTCACATGAAAAATTCCAAAGTCGCTGTCCGGATTCTAACCCACAGAGGTGAGGGGCAAGTGGTTTGAAGTCAATGACCTTAACCACTCGGCCACGGATGCCCCTTGGGGTCATTCAAAACAATCTAATGAACTATTAGGCTATATTACACAACATCCACTCAATAACTTGTTCAAATATTAGCTCAAAAGCTTGGCTTTTGCATCTACAGAAAAAAAGCAAAGGTTTGGAAAAGGGTTGGAAAAAATTAATCCTCTAAGTACTGAGCAACACTCTAACTAAAAATAATTCAAATTTAACTACCCAAAGCTGCTACTGTCATGATAATAAGCATTCAGTTTTAAAGTCCAATGGTTCTCCTAATTCTACTCTTTTTTTTAATTCAGAGATATGATAATAAAATCTGACTACATGGTAAAACACTAAAGGGAAATAAAAATTTCAAACTTGCACAAAATAATATCATGCATTTCCAACTAAAATTATCACATCAAGATACAATATACCATGCAGTAATATACTTTATCACATGACATCGCTTTCTGTTTTCAATGTAAGGTTACCATTACATACTTCTCTATGTTAAACACATTTAAAGAAAACTGGCTGTCAAGTGGTATTTTGCAAATTTTTCAGAATTTTCTGAGCATTTAAGCATCATGCGATAAAATTCATCTTACATTTGTTTGCATTCCACATAGACTTACATTACCCTTGTCCAACAATTATTATAAAGCTCCCAACAGGCCTGCTTTATATATTCATAGACTCAATTGAATATATGCCTATACAAAATGACATCAAATGTAAGATCCTCTGTTTAAATATTCCATACATTCTATCATCTCCAGCAGAAATGCACTACTATGTGATCAAATAAATCCAATTTCAATAAAAGGGTATTTAGAATAACTGGGTGCTGATAAAAAACATCACAACTATGGTATACCACATTACTACAATTCAATGCAAACAATCATATTATGCTAAATCTACTAAACAACATTCAAATCAAGACAAAGTATCATACTGAACATTAACTACAACTCTGGCATAAATTTATAGACTCTAAGGTATAACAATCAGCATCAGTTCATGAAAAATTCTGAACTTTCTGCATCTTTCAACACTTATTCATGTAATGGACATGTCCTGTAATAGTCATGTGTCCTGTAATGGATGTGTTCTGTAATAGGTATGTCCAATAACGGATATGTCCTATAATGGATTTGCCTTGTAATGGACATGACCTATAAAAGATGTGTCTTGTAATATACATGACCTATAAAGGATGTGTCTTGTAATGGAAATGACTAATAATAAATATGTCCTGTAATGGATGTGTTCTATAACAGACATGTTCTGTAATGGATGTGTCCTTTAATACACATGTCCTAGAATTGATGTGTCCTATAATGAATATGTCCTGAAATGGATGTGTTCTGTAATGGATGTGTCCTTTAATAGACATGTCCTGTAATGAATGTGTCCTGTAATGGACATGTTCTATAATGAATATGTCCTGTAATGGATGTGTTCTGTAATGGATGTGTCCTTTAACAGGCATGTCCTGTAATGGATGTGTCCTATAATGAATATGTCCTGTAATGGATAAGTCATATACTGGATATGTCCTGTAATGGATGTGTTCTGTAATGGATGTGTCCTTTAAAAGACATGTCTTATAAATGATGTGCCATGTTCTGGACATGTCCTTATAATAAATGTGTTCTGTAATGTATATGTTCTTTAATAGACATGTCCTGTAATGGACATTTCCTGTAATGGTTTGTCATGTAATTGATGTGTCCTTTAATACACATGTAATGTTTTGGATTTGAAACAGTCATAAAAACAACTAACAAATATATGCCCATTAATTTTGTGCCTAGTAAAATATACTTAACACAGAAAGTTTGCTGAATTATTATAAAGAAATGATGAATGGAATACCTTCTAGAATAAGTTACTGCCTTGTTGAAATTAATCTTCAATATATACATATACTATATTTATCATTTGTGAACTTACTTTTGAGAAATTTCATCTTCAGGCCATGCCCTGGCTGTGTTGAATTGTTCCTCCTGGAAATAAACAGTACAAGCACACTGAAATACCTGCTAGTTGATTCTGATGGGGTGTGGCATAATAATGTTACATATCACCAAAATAAAATACCAATCACTGTTTAACAAGCAATTTAAAGCAAAGAAATAATCTAGTAAATAATGTGTCCTGCATACTAATATTTATCAATTTCTAAAACCACCACAATTTGAATATTATCATATATTTGAAGTTCTATATATGAAAAGAGATAATGAAGACAAACAATTTTAAAAAAAAAAGAGCCATCAAAACTGGTTGAAAGTTTAAGAGACTTGTAATATATTGAAGGTTGAACATTATAAGAATCCCCAGTATGTCTTGAAGAAGATTTAGAAGTGATATAATTCAAGTTTTAACATTTCTAAACTGAAAAGAAAATGTGAATCATACATGTAATATAGTTTTTGAAAACATGAAAACTAGCATAAAAAAGATCATTCAAAAAGGGTTTAAATTTAAACATGCAATACAAATAACTGTAAACATTTCTTCCTCAATCTAGAACAGACTGCCTGATGATGTAAGAACTGAGTAACTTTAGAATAGACTGAACAAAGTCATGGAAAAACACAAATAAACAGTCTTTTAAGAGAACAATTGTCAGACCTTGAGTGGGTTTAATGTGGTCCCTGATCTTGTGACCCTATGCTGGATAAGGTAAAAATTAAGTCAAGATTAGCATAATGTAATGTTCCTAACTTCAAGTTAATAAGCTGTAAGACACTTTTTATTTTTCACAGTGAAAACCTGAACTATTATTATTTATTGCAAGTTTGTATAATTCAATGTGTATGGTTTATTGCGAGAAAAATGACAATTAATTAATTGATAATTTATTCATTGCAAGCAAAAGGACCTGTTATTATCACCGCATAGTTTATTGCAAGTACAGGAAGTAGATGTGTATATCTATTAAGAGTTCTTTATATTTGTTTACTTTGCATTCAATATCCTCATTTTCATCTTAACCATGGCAACAAATAATCCCCCCCCCACAATTTTTATTGAAACATGCAATAGAAATACTTACCGGACTCAGATTGCTGGGTATATTTACTGGAAAAGAAAGCAAACAAGTAATCTATTATACATGCCTGTTTATTTCATAGGAAGACAATTCTTCTAAATTATCTTTATTTCAAGCAAGTCGACTTAAGAGATATTTCTGTATAAATTATAACCTACAATACTTAAGTAATCATTTTGTTGGCTAGGTTTTATAGCACATAGACTCTGTAATGGTCATGAGGCCATCTTTACTAGTGGAAGGTTCCATGTACTAGAATCCATCTGGGTAAAACCACCAAATTTCAGCAACCTTTCTGAATAGATTTATTACAATAAAAATTCTATGTCTGGGACAGACTAGAATCAAGTATGGTGAAAGGCAAATGTTTCAGAGTCAACAACCATCCCCAACAAGCACAGATACCATAGCATTTAATATAGTCAGCTGTCTAGTTGTAAAGGCCATGGACAATAATAATTCAATAAATATAATCAATGAATAGTAACTGACTGTAAAGCTCACCACTCAATGTATTAAAGTCACTAAACAATATCAGCAATTAGATCTTAAGTTAGAAAAGCTATGACTTACCTTTAAGTTCTATACTATTTCTAGCTTGGCTATATCTACTTGAAGATTTTGATGATGAAATTCTCTGTGGAACATTTGCCAAGAACTGAAATAATATTAATAACATATGCCAAGTCAATATTAGTTGAACCTTAGTCTACTGACATGAACAAAATCCACCAATGAAATCAGTGCAGACCAGTTCAACCAGGACATCATTTGTGTCTGTTCATAGTATGTTCTGGTCACAATTTGGTCAGTATAAAATATGAAATTTTCCCAGAAATTGATGAACATTTAGTCTAGAATGAAAGATGGACACATTCATCTATGATATTAAATGTGGTTACAACTAACCAGCCATACTGTCTCACTGTATGTATACTCTTTTCAGTGTTAAAATACTCTTTAAATACTCTTTAAATATTACAGTCATATTAATAACAATTAATACTAACCATTAAAATGGATTGTGATTATCAGTCTGACATAACAGCATATCAATTTTCAAAAAAATCTTGCAATATTTTTACAAATTTTCATACAATAAGAAATTATAAGAAATTTAATTTCAATATAAAACTCCGCCATTTTTCTTCAAGCATTCGTCATAGTCTTATTTAAAATGAGGAATGTATTAGAATGTATTTTATATAAGTATACATGATAGCAGAGGTAGCAAGTGATTATCTTACAGATATAATGACTCTCCTATATCCCACATATAGCTCAGCCTCCAAACCTGTACAGTTAATTGTTATAAACACTAGGCTGTCAAACTTTAGTATTTTGAATATTGTAAACTATTAACTGACAACTCCACATTCAAACCAAGTCCAGTTAATTACAAAAACTTAATGGAATAAAGTAAAGGTATACATCTCTCAATATAGATAAAGTGAGAAAAAAGTCAATAGATGTAACCACCATGCTTCCTTATAAGACACTTATATAGTGGTAAGTCCAGGAAGTAGATTCTAGAAAGTTTCTAGAACTATATGATTACTCTATATACAATACTTATTTACTGTGTTAAATGTAAAATAAGTTTACTTCCTTTTTATAGCAAGTGTGTCAAATTGTCAGAAACATTGTGCAACAATTATAAGCTAAGTAATTGGCTCAATTGGTCTCTTTAAAATTGTATGTATCTTAATTGGGATCCACTGCATAATATTTACATATACATATAAAAAGGAATTCTTAAATGGCACATAGTCCAGTGGTAACTAGGAATCCAGTCTAATCCTTAACTACTCAAATAAGTCTTAATACTAGTCTTCTCAGTACAGAAATCATTAATTTAATAAATTAAACTGATATAACAGAGGCCTATCAAAGGCCTCCTCTTAATTAAAAGTTTCTTCAAAATCATGCAGTTTTTCAAACTATCTGAACTGACTAACACATACTTTTTTACTTCCAAAATTAGCAATTTTAGCAATAATTTCCCCATTAATCAAAGAAGCCTCTTTCCAATTAAGTGTGAAAACTTGTTGGAAATATATGATGGTTGCTAGAATTTTATCATTGTTGCAAGAATTATATGATGGTTGCAACTTATTTATGGTTGCTAGAATTAAAGCATGTCTACTAGATTCATATGATGGTTCCTTGAATTACATGATGGTTGCTAGAATTTTATGATGGTTGCAAGAATTTTATGATGGTTGCAAGAATTATATGATGGTTGCAAGAATGATATGAGGATTGCAAGAATTATATGATGGTTGCAAGAATTATATGATGGTTGCCAGAATTATTTGATTGTTCCTAGATTTAAAGCATGGCGGCTAGAATTATATCATGGTTGCTTGAATTATATAACATTGTTGCTAGAAGGCACTTCGTATCATACACCACACACATATCTGGACAACGGAATCAATATTATCTTGAACTATCCTCTAATTATAAAACCGAACAATCCTAAATCATAGAACTTTACAATATGTAGGTTCAGAAAAGTCAACTTTAATGGCTACCAATGCCATTGTAACTTCAGAAATAGTTAGATCATGTAAGAGACATGTTTAAGAGTTAAATTGTCACCTTAGTGCAATTACTGATTAACTCCTATTAAATTTAGAAGGACTTATTCTGTTCCTACACTAAGATGATGAAATGTATTACTATACCTCATCATCATCATCTCCATGTTGTTCAAATACTGGTTGTGGATTGCGTACTTTGTCAAGAATGTCTCGTGTGAGTCGTCTTGATAAGTCACCATGAACAAACTGATGCTAAAATAAAGAAAATAAAGCAAATAATATCTTCATTTCCTAGATGCAGACCAAAACATAACTAAATACAATTAATGCTCCTAAATATAAACTTTAGGAAATAGATAATTAACATTTTGTATAATATTGAATGGTTCTTATTCAGATGCACAGATATATAATCAGAAAGGTCACATGCCTCTGTGATTACATACACAGCATCTTAGTTACAAATGTGCAATTAAAATATATGATAAGACAAGAAAAATAATAAAATTGTACTGTTCACAGAAAGAGAGTGAATGAAAATATTTTGAAATCATTTACTTGACAGGTGACCTGATTTATTGACACCATGTCATAACATGTTGTATGGTTAAGTCATGTAGTTATAACTAATAACACATACAAGAAATAAGCGTTAGTCTCTTCTTACCAAGGAAACATTGATCAGTTAAAATACCTTTTATATAATTCAGATCTTGTATAATTATATGCAAGTTGCTTTACACATGAACAAGTAATTAAGATATGAAAGATTAAAACAAGAGCTGTCACCCAAGTGACGAATACCCCCGAAAAAGTTTCTTAAGCATGCAAGTATTATGAAAAGAAAAGGGAATGAAAGTAACTAATTGCTTAATATTATTCTTTGTATTATTGTACCTGTAATCTCTTATTGTGATAGAGTGAACCTTCAAAATATAAGTGTGACCTTGACCTTTGAAGAATGGACGTAGTTCCTGGACGCAACAGAATGTTGTAATGAGATAGACATTTGTGAAGTTATTTCAAAATCCCTCAATGCTTGACAAAGTTTCAGTCTGGACATGATTGTTGTGTAAGTGGGGACACATGGACAGATGGGCATGAGCCTTAGCTGCGACACATCGTCTTGATGTAGTTGACATTTGTGCCAAGTTATTTTAAAATCCTTCCATACAATCTGGACACAAATGTGTGTACCTATAAACTGTACGGATGGACAGACGGTGCGATTTTAATATGCCTCCCTTGGGGGGCATAAAAAGAAACATCATAAAAGTAATAAATTAATCAAATACCTCTAACAATTTATCAGCTGCTGGTCTTTTCTTGGGATTTTTTGTGAGAGCAACTTTTATAAAATTATGAAATACTGATGACCTGTAAGATAAACGGTAATTTGAACTTCTAACACATGTACTTTGGTATAAGGCGTAAATATTTGAAGAACTATTATTGTCATTGGCCTACGCTAACGAAATTTAGAAATCTTGTGTTTTCTACATCAAATGCAACTATTATAAATTTGTCGAAATTTATACATTTTGCAAAAAAACTATGTGTCTCCTAATCATAATTATATTTATATGAAGTACTTTTATTTATTTAAACAGAGATATACATCATAATACTTTACAGTTATCTTTTTTTAAACTTCACACAGCGTCGCCTTATAGTATGGTAAATGTTTATGTTATCACATAAAATCTTATTTCATAGAATGTTTAGGAAATTAATTACTTTTACTTTACAGTACTTTTCAGTGCATGTCTTTTCATTATCACTGACCTGGTTATTTTGTATGGCTATAAACTTATTTGTTTTATGCCAATAAAATTATTTGAGTTGAGTTTGACCAAACATGTTCAGCAACAATGTCATTAGATTATGCTGATATATTTTACAGTAAAGATATATTTAAGCTCTGCTACAACTTTTGTGGCAATGAATTTTAACTTACATACACATGTACATGTAAAAGGTAATATGTATTTAAATAATATCAACTGTGAGTGTCTCTTTTATAAAAAATATATGAAAGCCCTTAATCTTTCAATACCAAAGACTTTATATTCCTTGTAATGAGCTAAGCAAAATATACTTTAATTGTAGCAAAAGCTAGAAAAAAATGCCTATATGGTGTACTTACCATTTATTTTTGTCTTTAAGTGTTGGTGGTTTGAAACCACTTTTTGACATTAAAAATAATGCCCTGAAAATGAAAAACAATAAAGTTAATTTCAATTGTATTAATCTGAATCAACATCACAATAATTAAGAAAGGCAATTTCATCATGGGTTTCTTAAATGTTAATCCTAACCACACTAAATATCTTAAATGGACTTGTCCATCTTACAATCTGGGCAAAACTGTTAATTCGAGGGAAAACTTTAAAATAAGCTGCTGTCAGAAAACAGCAGGTTACAGATTAAATGTGTGGTTAAATATGTAGTGCATTACAGCTAAAAACAAACAACTGACGTCAATTCTCAATAACCATCTTACATTACTTTAAAATTCTGTACTATTCTTTTACCACAATCAAGATGGCTACAGAAAAATATAAGGCATACAGGAAGTTAAAGGTAGGTAGCTTCAAATATCACATTTCTACATATCAGAACCTAATAATTAGAGGTAAAATATAGGGGGGTTGTAATGTACAGAACTCTAGCTGAAATGTCTACTTCTCAAATTGATATCACATTGCCACATATTATTACTATGCATGCATTATCTAATAAGATGGAGGTCAGGGGGTTGTTATGCACAGAAGTTATAGCTGAAATATCTACTTCCCATATTGATAGCACACTGCTATGCATCAGAACTATACATTACCTCATAGGATGTAAGTCAAACATGGGGGGCTGTAATTCAGCAAATTCTATAGCTGTAATGCCTACAGCCCATATATCACATTGTTGATTGTACCCTCCTTTCCTCTCCACTGCCGCTACTTCTGGGGCCATCCTGTAATAGGCAATGTCATTTATGATATCTCCTCAGAATGTTACATAAATGATAATTCAGTTTTTCTCATTTTTAATTTCTCAAACAACAATAAAACTGTTTCAAATTGAACGCTAGAAATACTTGAATTAGAATTGGTGAAATGTTTTTCATTATTATATATAGTAACCAAGTTGTAACAGTAAAAGATTGCTTGTACCCTAGTATTAAATGAGAAAAACTAACATTTGCTGCTAATTGCAGAGTTCTGGAATATCTTTAAGCCCCAGATAAAACATACTTAAGAATACTTAAACAAGTAACTTAAATGAAGTCCTCTGAATTTTTTTGACATGAAAGTACTAGAATTTTTTCTCAAGACATTCCATTTAGTTGTAGGTCTATACCAAAATAAATTTTCAGATCATTCTTTGCCAGAAAACAGAACAAGAGGGCCATGATGGCCCTGAAATTGCTCACCTGTATATAGACCTCTGGGCCAAGGCAAATTTTAAACCAGGGGCTTTTATTTGAACAAACTTGTAGACACCCATTAGACGATGTTTCATGCTAAATATCTTAGCTCCAGCTCTTTGGGGTTTTTAAAAGAAGATTTTTTAAGTTTTTACTATATACATAAGTCCTGAGTATATTTCATTAGTATCTCTTTATATTTCCCTCAAAAAGATTTTCATATCAAGTGTTTTTAAGCTTTTGGTCTCATTGCAGCACCTTTAAATAGGCTTACTGGCATGCGAGTACTTCCTGTACAAGAAGTAGTGCCTGCATTTTATATACTGTAAAATCATTATTATTCGTGGGGCAAGAATTTTCGTGGTTTTCGTGGGTAGGTCAATCCACGATTTTTCCGGCCGATATTTCGTGAAATGGATGAAAGTACCCACAGATAATCAGGTTAATGACATATTAAAACCGTTTGCAATATTTAAGAAACTTGAAAGAAAACTCAATTATATGTCCCCAATTTACTGTCACAAATGTCGCATATACATACTTGATCGTTGTAGTCTACTAGGACTTGATTGTGTTAACAAGAATACTTGACATAATCAAGTAATTATGGGAACCAAGGTAGTGCAATAATTAGCGCTAATAAAAATTGTCAGTTTGCTCTTATTAATTAAAAAAAAAAGTCTTTGATATTAATGTCGTAAGTACACAAAATTATACAAACTACGATCGCTAAAACAGATTTATTGTACTTTCTTTTGTCGTTTTTAAATGATCCAGTTTATATGAATTTTAATCAGTATTTGTGCGAATGTTATCCGTAAACATCAAAGACGCCCCCGACTTTTACAAGATCGACATATACTCGTGTTATTTACCGAGAATAATTTATATGCATGTAAATTTACACAGTCGCTGTGAAGTTGCGTGTAGTTACTGTCAAATATGTTAAGTGTAAACTTTTAAACTCGCTGGTTAAAACGTGCCAGATGTCGTTTAAATCATGCGATGTTTACATCGGCGAATTACAGGGGCAGTGTGTCCAATGGAGGTGCATATAATGTCACATAAATGTGTTAATTGCAGTCAATTATCGGCAGAAACTGTGCTATATTAGAGTCATGCCCAGAGGCAAGGATTAAATTTATTGACAACCGCTGTGTGACAAGTAAAGATATGTACATGTTGTAAGTAAAAATGTTCGGCGATTAAGATTACTTTGCATTTGGTTACTGAATTTTTTTAAACAAGAAAACGAAAATCCACGAATTAAGGAACCCATGAAAAAGCCCGTTTTGATAAAACCACGAACTTTCATGCCCACGAATATAAGTGAATTCGCAGTAAATGCTTGATTTTTTTATTAGCTTTCTTTAAGCATTGGCATCAAATTATACAGAAGTTTTCTTTACAATCCAGTTAAATACAATCAAGATTTAATCTAATGTTATAAATCATACCAGTAAGGTGTCCCAATGAAAGACTTTCTCTTACACATTGTAACAGTTATCTGAGCAGATACACCAAAATCAGCTGAAATATGAAAATATTCACATATATCAATACCAGAATCTTCTTTATTTACACCTATCTTTATCTCAGTGAAATATTATGAAATCATGACTACCTGTTTAATGTTTATTTTTTCCATTATTAAGTTAAAAGTAGACGGACAATTAAGCAATATAGATATTTTCAAAGGTAAGGATAAACAATTTGCTACATATAGCAAATCTTTTAGGTCTCCTGTCAACCTAACAAGGATCTACATTCTCTATTTGAGACTCAAACTCACAGCCTGGAAGTAAAAGAAGATTTCAGACAAAGACCTTCACCTTTCAGTCCAAAAAAACATCCCATGCCCAGAGAGGTAACTGGATTAGAAGTCATCGACTCTAACCCCTCGACCACAGAGGCGGTACTTTTTTTATAATATATCAGTAAAATTCCGAGGTAGATGGATAGATTCTGAGCAACACTTATAGTAATTTATTACCTTATTTAAGTTACACTAAAACCATTTACACTTAAAATATATATGATATTTACTTCCTTTTGGTTATATATTATACTTAATGTATTAAACAGATAACTATTTGAGAAGTTATCTCAGGGATATACAATACCATTTATTCATACCTAATTTGACATCTCCTTCATCTGTTAACAATATATTTGCTCCCTGAAACAGGAAATTATAAAAATTATGTGTCTTTACTTCTAAGAAGCTTCATACAATCTTATATTATAATGACATAATCAAAATATACTTATTATACAAATAAACACAATATTTCTATATATATAATTATGTAACTTTTAATTTTTAATACTAAGCACACTTTAAATAATAAGCAATAATAATAATAAATGTGCTGGTACAGTGAACTTGTTCTAGCTCGGGACAAAAGCAATTATATCTCTTGATTTCACTTCATATTAATTACAACCATTTACATAATAAAGCCTTGTTCAATAGCTTGTTACTTGTCAAAAATTAATAAAATGAAACTCAATAAACAATGGTAAAGGGGGTGGGCTTTTAGTTAAGGTATCAATCCATGAGAGGGAAGTGGTGGCCTAGTGGTTAAAGTGGGTTCGAGCCCTACTCAGGTCACCATCATGTTTCCTCATGATATGGTACCAGTACTGGTAAGTTCAAGGATGTGAACTCGAAAGCGGTTAATATAAGTTACAAGAACTTGTTTTGCAATCGAGCTAAAATAAATATGTTTAAATTAACCCATGAGCTCAAGCTCTACTAGAGTCTCATCTAGTTTCCTCAATCATAGGATATCAGTATGCGTTATTTCCAGGAAGCCGATTCGAGAAAGTTCAACTTAGCTCATGAACTTTCATAAATAATGTTTAAACTTAACATTGGACATCACAAAATCAAATGCTATTAAACATGCTACAATCTTACAGTATGATTATTATTCTCATGACAGTTGTATCAAGTTCATACTATTTTACCCTAAACAAATTGGCAGGCATACAAATATATCAACAATACAAGGAAGTGATAATATGTATATTGTGTGCACATGTTATCTGGTTTCAATCATATTTGTGATAAGAATTAATTCATTTATGGATTGATATATTTCTATATTCCCCTTTACCTTAATATCTCGATGCATTTTTCCTCTGCAGTGTAGGTAATGCAACCCTTTCAATGTTTCTCGGCATATAAATGCTATCTGCGGCTCCGTCAGTGGCCCTGTGACTATACAGTAATATATATCATTTAAAATATGTTATATATCATTTAAAAGATGTAAACATATATTTTATATATCAACCCATTACCTGCTGAATTCAGTTTATGGATTTGAACTGCTTTTAATTTGGATCAGTATGTTCTAAGTTTAAGAGATTTTAATATCATCACAAAAACTGAGCAACCAATATAATTGAGCAAGGTCAAACTGCAAAGATGTGCAGGCTTGCGGGGCTCTACAAGTATATACATGTAGTTTACTGGGCTAATCATGTTTGGTTCTAGCATGTTAAAGATAGAACACAATGTGAAATTATCAATGAGAACAAGGAAACTATATAAAAAATAAAATTTCCCATGTATCTATGTATTTTCATCTTCCAGGAATTTTCATTTCCTCCTTTTCAATTAATATACTATATTCATATCAATCCAGCCTACAGCTTATTTGGTTGCTAGTTTGAACCCAAAGGTTTGCAAACACTTTCAAATAACTTTTATATTGTTTCTATGCCAAAATCTTAGAATAAACATAACATATTGGCCAAATCTAGCCATTTTTTATTCTTCAGGTCATAAATTGACTTTTATAGCTGTGGTTTGTTCAACAACTAAACTTTACATATTAAACATTACCAGTATCATAACAATGGAAATAATTAGGGCAGAGACTTTTACATAGGGATAAATAGCTCTAAAAATAGAAGATTTTCCAATCCTGATTCACAATCCCTTGCACGAGATTCATTGGCCCTTGGACAATTTTTGCCATCTTGTTTTACGTAACCAAATGTGTTTACATTTTCATCCACTACTGAAAATGATTTACTTCTTAATATGTAATGCATTTTTCTTACATGTTTTGCAATTTGTTTTTTGTTTCTTTTGATTTCCATAACAAATTTTAGGTAACATGGTGACTGACACATGGTAAATCTTCTCCTGTCAAAATTGTCCGAAAAATCTCTCAAAATGGTTAACTTTTAATAATCCCCCAATAGAGGTTTAAAGTCTAAGATGTCATAGCTTCCCCCATCTAAATATAGCTCTGTGACTAGGGCAAATATCAAATTTTATAACAATACCAACACACAAATGATGATGAATTTAAAATAGTAACATTGTATTATAAAAACATTTCATTGTGTCATCTTTTGATTCTTTTCTAAACCTTAAAGGAGTACAATAGCTAGACATGTTTTACATTATAATATCAAATGTAACAGTATAAACACAGCACCAACACATCATAAAACACTAACCAGGGTCTATACTTTATTTAACCCTTAAAGTGCTGGAACCCAAAGTGTTAAGCCTTTGCCACCAGTATAGAGCCAGACCAGCCTGCACATCCATGCAGTCTGACCAGGCTCTATACTGTTGGTTGACAAATTAATATCCCTAAAATTGATAATGAACAGTCCCAAAAATGGAAGTGGGACAAGTCAATTTAAAATATTCAGCATGTTCATGGTTAATGATCTTCATCTTATTGTGAGCATACTGCAGCAAGAGGCAAGTGTGATATTTTATCATATTAACAGGGGAGAAATTTGACAGGTGTGTTATCTTACTATGATATATGTCCTGCATTGAACCTCCACCACAATACTCCATACAGATCCACAGCTTATCTCGCCTGTAATGTAAACAACAAATAAACAGTTTACAATAACCATATACTGGTAGATATGTATGGGTAAGAGTTCGTATTAAGACGACCGTAGGGAGTCTTATCGAACTCTTACCCATATAACTGCAAATCGGCTCTTACAACTCGATATCAGATAAAAATATAGAAAGTGTCACCTTTTTAATTAAGCATAACATTATTTTTCTCCAGCAGTCACGTACAAACAAGGATGGGGTCCAATTACTTAATCTGGCATGTAAAACAATGAGTTTTCAACAATATCTAGGATTGTTAATGCAATTCATTCCTGTCATATGAAACAAAATAATGTTTTGCTTATTATAAAAAGTCAGCAATTAATAATTGACATTTTTCATACAGTTTTAAGGATATCAAAATGTTACTGTGTTCACATTTGTCTCTGCGAGCTGAGCTCCACGTGCATTATCTATGTAATAAATTTGACATTGCTACAGTGTTATCAGCCTTTTTAGAAACACCTGACCTGGCTAATTAAAATATGCCAATCACAATTTTCAATATCAGCACTGGTTTCTTCATGAAATAGCGGCTACACTAATTACTGCCGAATAAGAGCCGATTTGCAGTTATATAGTGTAAGCCCCCCTGATCACACAGAAGAATGGGTAAATTTACAATAGCAACGCAGATAAGAATGCAGAGGGAGATTTCAAAATATACAGAAGGCTGCAATAAATATAATATTTATATTATATTCAAACAGATCCACTTATATGAGGTTAGAGGGTATTAAGAAACATTTTTAAAATTATTTATCAAAGTGCTCTGGGATTTTTTATTATTGTGTTGATAAATGGGTAGTTAAAATATATTATGTGTAATAGATAGCCAAGTGCTATAATTGTCATATAAATCTTATAAACCCTGGTGGCAATCATGGCAGGCCTATATCAACAGTATACCAGTTATTCACCATTTCCATATAGTCTGACCAGTATCTATGATATAAGGTTCAAACAGGGTACAGTTAAAATAATGAGCTGTACAAAATTCACAGCATGGAAAAGTTTACAAGATGAAGGGTTAACTTTTTCTTTCTGAAAATAACTGCAAATCGGCTCTTATTCGGCAGTAATTAGTGTAGCCGCTATTTCATGAAGAAACCAGTGCTGATATTGAAAATTGTGATTGGCATATTTTAATTAGCCAGGTCAGGTGTTTCTAAAAAGGCTGATAACACTGTAGCAATGTCAAATTTATTACATAGATAATGCACGTGGAGCTCAGCTCGCAGAGACAAATGTGAACACAGTAACATTTTGATATCCTTAAAACTGTATGAAAAATGTCAATTATTAATTGCTGACTTTTTATAATAAGCAAAACATTATTTTGTTTCATATGACAGGAATGAATTGCATTAACAATCCTAGATATTGTTGAAAACTCATTGTTTTACATGCCAGATTAAGTAATTGGACCCCATCCTTGTTTGTACGTGACTGCTGGAGAAAAATAATGTTATGCTTAATTAAAAAGGTGACACTTTCTATATTTTTATCTGATATCGAGTTGTAAGAGCCGATTTGCAGTTATATGGGTAAGAGTTCGATAAGACTCCCTACGGTCGTCTTAATACGAACTCTTACCCATACTAAATACTTGTCTTGATATTCAAGATTTTTTCTATAAATGCAGGATTTATTTTCCAGTGGTATGCAAATAAATAATTCATGAGTAGTGGTAGCTACAAGTGAAATATGACAATTTTCATAATATAAGATGAAAATAAATCCTGTATTTATAGAAACAAGAGCTGTCGGTAAGACAGTAATGCTCGACTATTCTTAGTGCTTGATAGTAAAAAAAAAAATGCTTGATACAGTTACCTCTTCCTGTTTACTGGTTGGGGTAATGATGGTGAACAAGTGTGCAAAGTTTCAAAGCCATATGTCAATGAACTTTGAAAATATTTGAGGTATTACAAAAACTTTAACGTAAATTCTAAGTCGAAAAAGGGGCATAATTCTGTCAAAATGCTTGATAGAGTTACCTCCTCCTGTCTACAGGTTGAGGTCATGATGGTGAACAAGTGTGCAAAGTTTCAAAGCCATATGTCAATGGACTTTGAAAATATTTGAGGTATTACAAAAACTTTAACATAAATTCTAAGTCGAAAAAGGGGCATAATTCTGTCAAAATGCTTGATAGAGTTACCTCCTCCTGTCTACAGGTTTGGGTCATGATGGTGAACAAGTGTGCAAAGTTTCAAAGCCATATGTCAATGGACTTTGAAAATATTTGAGGTATTAACAAAAACTTTAACGTAAATTCTATGTCGAAAAAGGGGCATAATTCTGTCAAAATGCTTGATAGAGTTACCTCCTCCTGTCTACAGGTTGAGGTCATGATGGTGAACAAGTGTGCAAAGTTTCAAAGCCATATGTCAATGGACTTTGAAAATATTTGAACTATTACAAAAACTTTAACATAAGTGGTTACGCCGACGCCGACGCTCGGGTGACTGCAATAGCTCTACTTATTCTTATCGAATAGTTGAGCTAAAAAATTTGATTTTTCTGATATTGTATATAATAATATATTTCTCTTTTTTGACATTACAATTTGAAAGACTTCCCTTTAATTTTGTGTATTGGGTGAATTTAGTAGAAAGTATTCTGGTAAGACACTAGTGAAAATACAGAAAATGTGCGAAAAATAAATGTTAACAGTGAAAATACCCAAAATGAAAATACACATTTTATTTATTAGCATAATTTTATGCATTATATTGAGAATACTTCAATCATTTGGGATTGAGAGTAAATAAAAACATCAATAGAAAGGTAAATGACTGTTTGTTCAATACTTCCTTTTTTACAAGCACAGATTAATTTTCAAAACACCCAATTTAGCACAGATGAACGAATGTATTCTTTTTCAATGGTACCGCTCCTCTCTTACCTCAAAATAATCAGTCAGTGTAATAATAGTCAGTGTAAACAATGAAGTAAATAAGTATTTATTTATTGCATATTTAATCTTTAAATAAATTTATCAAATTTATACAAATATAAAATAAAGTTGGGACAAAGACATTCTTGACATAGCAGGAAACTTGACAGTTTCCCCACTTTCCTATAACACTTCATTCATCATATCGGATAAAAACATCAAAGGTTAACACATCCAAGGCCAATCACCTAGTTTTAAAATATCTTTTTTGTTATTCTTCTCACAAATGCTTATAATATATCATAAACAAAAATATATGTTAACATTTATTCAAACTATGTGTTTTATGTTTACAGCCAATTATAAACATAAAATTTACCAACTATTTTCTTTCAACAGAAAGAAATATATAAACTTTTAAATGTTAATTGCCAATATTATTTGCTGGCTTATTCAAGAAGGTCTGAGTTAGTGTGCTTATCATACATATTATTTGACAGTATAAAAAGTTAAAACTAAATAAAATAAAATAAAATAAATTTTAATATATTTTCAAAATTTTCATGAAAAAAAGCATGAATCTGCTGCTTTAAAGATGGTTTTCAGAACAAATTTCTGAATGAATATGAATGGCACTTACAAGTGCTAGTGTAACTGAACAAATTAGTCAGCTGGGATAGGAATTTTAGAATTATTTCTTGGTAAAAATGTTTACTAGACTGGAATTTTATGGATGTAATGTAACAAATTTTATTCTACATACAATGTATGCTTAATATTCACTTGTCTACATTTTATACTGTACAATTACAATAACCCGTCTGTGCCATTATCTCACATTACTTCAAAGCTAAAATACTCTAGTAAAATATGCAGAAATAAGAGGACTGTTATTCGTATTTTGTTGTTTTTTTGTTACATCCGTAAACAAAATAAGATAAATTTACAAACATGATTCTTTTTCCTTCTTTAAGCATGCTTGGCAAATGCACACATTTCCAATCAATAGAAATACCTATTCTTAATCAAAAGCTGCGAGTTCCTATAAAAATAATCCCAGTTTTGGCTAAAACTTGCCAAATTTACTTATTTCCCTATAAACGGACACAGACCTTTTCCACTGATGTATGAAAAGATGACCAACCTGATTGCAGATCATTCATAGATTTCTTAAAGCCTGATTTGTGTGTAAAAAATTCTTAACCTACTTTTAATTTGGAATTTCTTCATTCTGAATTTCAAGGATCACAAAATTGAATTACTGTAAGTGTGCAGCCTAGTATTATCTATGCTGGTTCCATAATTATAGGCCTGTCATTACTGCAGCATGGGCTCCAAAATAGGGATTATTTCACCTGATACCTACTGAATTACATGTAGTGTAATTGATAAGCCTTGTCTTGAATTTGGAGCAGTACATTTTAATTCAATATTAATTTAATATAAAAATTCACCTTCAAACAGGATACAGCCTGTGAAGCGTAATTTCACTAAATAAGGTAAATTGAGTCAAAATATCAACAAACAGGCTTAATTATCAAAAATATATATCACTGATGAATAACAAGTTTACACCAGTCCTGTTTTACTTCAAACAAAAATTCATTTCTTGAGAATGACATCACCCCCCCCCCAACATTTTCATGAGATTTCCGGAAATGCACACTTTATAATGAATTAAATTGATTTTATAATATTATATGACACGTGTTACAAGGTACTTCCATCTTAAAAGGCTATATTATCAATAATGAAATACACAGTCAATAAAGTTTTTAAAATCATTTGTAATAATTTGGTCTAATTCTTACCGTAAATAGCTTCCAAAATAAGCTACAATGTTAGAATGTTTACAATCTTTCATCATGATTATCTCCTGTTGTATAATAGCAAAGTCATCTCCAGGCTCTAGTTTAATTATCTTTATGGCAGCAAGTTCGCCAGAGTTTCTCTCCCGTGCCTGAAAATAAAAATACATGCAATGTTTTGCATCTTATGCACATTCGGTTTTTTTTAATATGCTGTCTTTAATTACATGTAATATTACGTTGATTCAATGAAATGGACTAGTTCTTTCTTGAAATGTAACTAGAGCTATTCACTATAATTTGTGTGATTTCAAGAATGAAACAAGAGAAGCCAACAGTAATCTGTATGCATGCAGGCAGGTACCCTTCTACAATAAAGGACACAACTAATGATCATACATAGAGGATATTGAATGAGTGTAATTTATACTGAATTTACTGAACGAGTTGATTAAAATTATAATATGCGAACCTCTGGCGAGCATAATATTCTTTTATTTATCACACACCCAAAATAAAAACTGTTGAAGTGAAAAAGTAACATTTTCCATTGACACACTTGTAGTGTAACGCTAACATTTAGTGCGTCTTTCCACTATGTTTGTATCACACAAATGACGTCACATCAAAATATATGCACGGCCGTAAAACATCATTTTTACAGAGTGGAAAAATTGACACTTGTATGTGATAAAGTTGTTTAAGCCCTTAATATGATATAATGATAAATTTATGTTATCATAATGGATTTACCCTTTGCTATAGGCCATCTAATGTTAAAAGGATCTAAATATCAAAAATACAAAACTTTATTCATACATGGGTACAATAAGATGCAATATCATTTAAAGAAGCTGATTTTTAATTGCTTGCATTTCAGTATAACAATGTTGTAAATACACTGTACTGCTATATCTCACATGAAAGCTGGATTATTACAGTTAACTGTCATCAGTAGTTAAGTAATTTTTCAATGGCAAGCTAAGATTGATGAACTCTATTTTAGTAACTGACAATACAATCTTCCTAATGTTGATTCAACCTACAAAATTAATTCATCTTTAAAACTGATAAATTTAACTTTTTTCCGCCTTCACTAAGTCTTACACTTTATACAATATTTGAATACTCAATCTTAGGTCTCAGTGATTTATAAGATATTCAATGCATTTAAAAGCCAATTTATTTGATTTAATATTAAAACAACTGTAGAGGACTTGACATCATTGATTATCATGACATGACAATAATTAACAAACATGTTAAACTTTATCTTGATCTGATTTAAAAAAAAAATGTTTTATAAATCTAGTTGCTTCTTTCCTTTTATAATAATATGCATCAATTCATTACATTTGTTGTCTTAACCACTTTTAATTAAAATCCTCTTAATGCATAACCTACACTTTGATAAGTGATTCAGATTGGCTAGAATTACTGCAATTGTACAGAAACTTAGAGCTGTGGGTTCAAACCCTACCATGGTCAATTTTCTATTTTTTTCTTTCTATTTTTTCTTTGAACATTATGTATTCATTTCTCACTTATCTCAGATCCTATTTAAAATTAAACAGTGTTTCTATTTTATTTTATTGTTTGCATATATACTTAATGGCTAAATTTTAAAATTTTCCTTAATTTGAAAAAAAAGGGCAACCAGCGTTTAAAAATGGAAAGCATATGGAAACAATTTTTCTTCATATTTCAAACATTCTGAGTTGTGCATCATTACTCTTGTATGTTTTGTTAGCTGAATGTTATCATTTGTTTCTTAATGAAAACAATTTTTTATTTAGGCCATATATCGCAAATTACTTAAAGATTCCTCATTTCTGAAAAAGAGCCATACTAATGTAAATAAATAATTTTTTTTGGCACTTAATGTGCCCTTAAATTATATTTATGTGCTATACATGAACATTGGGTTTGACATAATAATTCTGTGCACAAAAAAATCAATCAAATGATAGCACAAGAAAATCAAATGATAAAGTTTATCACAAACAAAAATTGTATATACACACAGTTGAAATATTAAATCAACTGTTGCTAGGCTTACAAACTATGCCATTGATATGTGTATCCATGTTATTTCCTTTTTAAAGCTGGACGATGTTTACCATCCTTTGTTATTGTTACAAACAAAAAGAAATATTACGCTTCAAGAAAATATAACAGGCTCTAACTTTTTTTGTATTCAAAAAGCAAAGACATCAGAGTAAGAACCTTGCACAGTTACATTTTGTAGGTTCTCAAAGACAATATCATATCTTTAATAGAATTTAAAAAATAATTTTATATTTAACCTTGACAGTTAATGTCATTTGCAGATCAAGGTCAAATGAAAATTATTCAACATAATCATATGGCTGTAAGTGTTGTTTGTCCCAGTATGAATCAATATTTTTCTTACAATAACAAAGTTATGACAATTCAAGCAAAATTCAGTACTTACACCTCAACAATTTAAGGTCAAGGTCAAACTTAAATAATTTAACATGTCAGTTATGTCGTAAGTTATTTTTATACCTAGTAGAAATCAAATCTGTAATTAAATGACAAAGTTTAACAATCACAATTTAAGCAAAATTCAATTAAACATAACTTTAACCCAGGAAGTATGATTAATGTTTTCCTTCATCTATCATAATCAATTCTCATTATTATTACATAGTCTGAGACCAAAAGAAATACTGATAGATCTACACATCTGGTCAAACTTAAGACACCAGGTCAGCCATTGAGTTTTAAATTTTATTGGCCCACATGTCTGGTGTTTCCAGAAGACTGATTACCTTGTTTAAAATTTTAATTATTAAATTGTTAACAGCTGTGAGCAACTACCCACCCTGACTTTCATCGGTAACACACACACTTAGCAAATCAATAAAGATTTGCAGACTTATAAATATAAGTCATATAATCTCTTATTGGAAAATAGGCTGTGTATAACTATAAGTGATTGATATCCACAGTACCCGTAGATTTAATTATCTATGGATCAATTTTTAAAAAAGACATTTTGTCAGTATATTTTAATTGATTTGATAAGTGTGCGCGTTAGAGATAAAAGTTTATAAAAATCATGGTGCATAGTCTGTCAAAACTGTAGTCAGTCAAAATGGGTAGTCAATCAAAAATCAGTGATTTTTTTTCCCCCAATACATTTTGACTATCTGAAGGGGAAAATAAAGCGCAATAAATCAGAAATGGGGGAAATCTGAAATCAAATACCAACAACTGAGAATGGAATTTATCCACATATTTAATAGCGAGCTCAAAGAGCTGGTCCAAAGGGCCTGCTTGCAAAGCAAGCTATAAGGTAACACGAGTACCTGCAAGATAGTGATGGTTTTGAAAACTTTTGTCCAGAGTACTTAATTGACACATCACTACTTTTTGAATTACAAGATAACGATAAAAGCCAAGGCAATCTGATTGATAACAAAAGCGTAGACTGATGTCCTGCGCACTTATAAGGGAACCATAATAAAACAGGGAACCTGAATAAACCGAAGCAGTGTATAAAATACCAAGTGACAATTTTAAAACGGAAAATGTAAATTAGAAATTAAAAATTATTTTATACTATTTCACGGTAAGAGAAAATCAAGCTTGCTTTGGGGCTTTGCCTTTTTCATATTAAAATTTTCAATTTTGATGCAATTTAACATGCATGATAAATAGCAAAGGCTATCTGTAAGTACTGTTTTCTGTCAAAAAAACTTATCAACTGTATTTTTCAAAAAAACTTATCAACTAGCTGTTTCAAGTCAGCTGCTGTCAAGTCATGATTCTGTTTAAGAATGTGCACCTGTGCATTTCAGTGGAAAATATAGCATTTTAAGGGGGAAATATACTTATTTTGGGCAAGGGGAAACAGCCAGTATTATGCAGTAAAAGATAGGGAAAAAATCACTGGCCATCAAGTGCCTATGGTTATTTTTTTAAAAGATAATTAGAATAATGTTTTGGCAGAGACAGGAAGAACAAGAAATTTTTTCAATATTTCGGTGTGTTTACCTTGTACACATCTCCGTACGTTCCACTGCCTACACGCTGAATCAAATCAAAATCATCTTGTGGATTCCGACGTTGTATCTCGTCGGACATCATTTTCACCCCTTTCTATAGATCTGGGTCTTAAATAAAGGTAATTTTGATTCACATTTTACAACTGACCCTAAAATGTTATCGTCTATTTTCCACTTCCGTCATGCGTAATGACTCAGCAAAGGGAGAAAACTCTCTTGCAAAGGTCAAAAGGTGCGTGAGGTCATGGGAGTGGTCTGTTTAGAATAGTCGAAATAATTTTTTCCCCATTAATGCTTTTATTTAGTGAGTCTTTTAAAGATGTAAAGGAAACTAGAAATGTGACTATAGGACACAGGTGCCCCCACACTCCACTGTTTTGTCTATCTCCTGATTATAAGTTATTTTTTTGGCTATGTACAGAAAAGTGAAAATCTTTTACGAAGTCAATAACAAAACCTCTACAAATTCTGAATAAATCCACAAGCAAACCCCAAATTTCATAACTACACATGCTGACCAACATTCTCGTATACTTTCAGGACTACAGGTCAAATACTTTTTGAGCTGTGCATGTAATTTATACTAAGTCAAGGGCAATAACTCTAACCACGGATTTATATTACATTAATCCGTGCTCTTACAAAATTGGAAATAAAAAATCTACATGCACAACTTCAGTGATGTCAATCATCATTCCTGTAAAATTGGTTGATTCTAACTCAACAACTCAAGTTACACATAACACACATTTTGGAATAGTTTTTTACTATGCCAAGGGCAATTACTCTACAAATACTAAATGAATCCACAATCAAACCCCAGGCGCACAACTACATATGCTAAGCAACATTTCTGTAAAGTTTTTGATGACTCTAGGTCAAATACTTTTGAGATATACACTACACAAGTTAAAAATTGCAAATTTTTACCAATTCAAGGGCAATAACTCTTGAAATAATAAAATAGAGAAAATAAGAATCCCTAAAGAAAGCCCAACACGGCAAAATTGAAAATGTTGCAGGCTCGGTTTGATTGAGCCTGTTCATAAACGGTACTGTCAGTGTCAAGTGCAAACTACCGTCCACGCCCCCTAGCACCGGCTTAAGCAGAATTCAACATTTAAAATGAACTGGTACAATTTTGAATTATGAAACATCCGCAGATGTGTTCATAATAAACCCACAAGCGGAACCCCAGGTGCACAACTGCACATGCTGACCAACATTGCTGTAAAGTTTTATGACTCTATGTCATATACTTTTTTAGCTACATGCGACACAAATTGAAAATTGGAAATTTTTATTAAGTCAAGGGCAATAACTCTGACAAAGCAGACTGAATACACAAGCAAACACCAGATGCACAACTTCATATACTTGTCAACATTTCTGTAAAGTTTCATGACTATGCGTCAATTATATTTTTAGCTACACGAGCCACAAGATGAAAATTGTAAGTTTTTACTTAGTCAAGGGCAATAACTCTACAAATACTGCATAAATCCACAATTAAACACCCAAGTACACAACAACACATGCTGACCAACATCCTATTACATTTCATGACTCTAGGCCAAATACATTTTGTACGACATAAATTGAAAATTTTTTAGTAAGTCAATGGCCATTACTTTGGCAAAACAGAATAAATCCACAAGCAAACTTCAAGTGCACAACTTCACATCCTGAGCAACATATTCCTGTAAAGTTTCATGACCCTAGGTCAAATACTATTTGAGGTACGTGTGACACAAGTTGAAAATTGCCAATTTTAACTAAGTCAAGAGCAATAACAACAAGTACTGAATAAATCCACGGTGCACAACCACACATGCTGACCAATGTTCCTGTAAAGAGGTCAAATATATTTTGAGCTATGTGCGATACAAAAGAGAACGGACGGACGAACGGATGGATGGACGGACGGACGGACAAGGGTAAATCTAAATGCCCCCACTCCCTATAGTGTGGGCAAAAAAAAACATGAAATCTCCGCAAAACGTGATCACGGCTTTTAGATGAATAACAGCCGTAATGTGTTCAAAGACATATTAATAATACATGGCCTATTTGTCAATAAGAAATTTCAAATTTCTTAAATTCATAGTGGAATTAGCCTTTGATCATCAATTTCCCTTTGGAGCTTTCAATCTCCGTAGACCGAGAGTCCTAAATATTTCGACCCTTATCGTCAAATTGCAGTAAAACACTTGTAAAATGAATATCTAACCATTTCTACAAAATTAAACATCTTTACAAAAAATAGGTGAATGCTGGGATTTATTGATTTTGTCTTTTTCATAATATTACAAATGTAAAAATAAAATAACAAGGGGCTGGAAAACTAGGGTGAGACATGTTCAATGCAAGCCTGCACTGAACTGTACTAGGATAGGGAGTTGGGCAACTGCAGGGGCAATGTGGTTCCAGTGGTATACTGTCTTAGGAAAGAAAGTGAATTTATAATAGTCGGAAGTTGCTGTGAATAACTTACAACATAGGGGATGGCCATGGCGTGATGTGTTACATAATTATTTTTCTATGGGGATAGCATCCAGACCATGGTGAATCTTATAAAAGGGATAACCACAGTTTACGAAGCTCAAGGGAGTGAAGCATGTTCGTGACGGTGTGATCTGACCACAATCTAGCTTGATTCATCGGGCTGCTTTTCTTGGGACATTTTGAATTTGTATTTTGGTGTAGGGAGAGCATACTTCGGATGTCAAATGAATACATTCGTTACTAATTTACCTCTATTTTTGTTAACATAGAACATCACGTGGGAGAACCTTTTTTTACAATCTGCTATTGACTCCGAGGTGATTGTTAATAATCGGCGAGATGTTTCGAATGGGAGTCTGAATGTAAGAGAAACTTCCGATTGTTTTCGCGCCAAAATAAAAAAAAATACTTTATAGGAACAGTCACGTATGAAGTGGTCGCTATGAGAAGGATGTTGGGGTCCAAAATCTTTAGAATTTATATATGAAAATGTGGTTTCAGACGCGTCTCACGCTGGCTGCATAGCTTTCGCCCATCACAGCGGCGGTGAATAGTCGGTCACAACGGGTAGTAGATAAAAAAAAATTGCCATCAAGTCACTTGCGTTACTTTGCCTAATATTGGTTAAAACACGTACACATGTATTTAAAACGGCCTCTAACTACAACGGCATTGCATCTTATGTATGGTGCTTTCACAAAACAACCATATATTGCTATTGCCTTTTCATAAAAGAATTGAATAAAATGATAACAAAATAATATAGAGAAATACAGAATCCCTAAAGAAAGCCCAACACAACAAAATTGAGAATGTTGCAGGCTCGGTTTGATCGAGCCTGTTCATGGACGGTACTGGAAAGTGCAAGTTACCGTCCACGCCCCCTAGCACCGGCTTTAGCAGAATTCAACATAAACACGAAAATGGTGAAATTTTGAATTTAGAAACATCCGCAGATGTGTTTATACGGCGGTTATCATAGAACCTTCAATGTGACACAGTAGTGCCATTCCATGAAAAGCGGCGTATGGTCCCCCAGTAAAAGAAAGCCTGTGCCCTAAACGAGAAAACAAAGGGCGGCACTAAACAAAATGGAATTTTGAAAGGTGCTCTGAGGTTATGAAGCCTGCATATCACAGATCAGACGTCAAATGACAAATTTAAAAAGCAGGCATCCTAAGGGTGATTATACAGTATTCAAGTAGGAATACTGGAACCACCCAAGTTGAAAATCGCCAAAAAGAAGGGACTTAAAGAACCACATGGCATGTATACACAACAATAATGTCGTGCTGAACGATCTTCAAGGATCGGAAATATAACATCATTGATTAAATGTACGGGGAGACTTTTTACAGCCGCCACACGTCACAAATAACACGGATGTGACAATACGCAGACACAGTGGATTGAATTGCAACGCAGTGCGGTGGGCCCGATAGCAACGACGTTTATTTTGATTGACATGACGCACTTTTCAATTGAGTAAAACCTTTTTATTACCTTGACATCAGAGACACGTGTTTATTTGGTGTTTAAAACAATATGATTTTAAGTAAAAATTATATAAAGAAAAAACAATGCATGAAGCCCAGCAATGACATACTCATAAAATAATTGAAAAGTTAAAGTCGCTAAAACAAATAACAAAAAAATAATAAAGCCCCGATATAAAGCCCCAACGTATTGACAATTTTATAAATTAAGTATAAAGTATCATCATGATTTCAAGTAAATTGTTTAAAGTTATTTTTGACATTGGGTTAATTCCAGAGTCATGGACTATTGGTATAGTTAAATCAACTTATAAAAATGAAGGAGATCCTTGTCTACCTGAAAATTACAGGACTTTTCACATGTATTTTGAATTACAGATGAAATGTATATGCAGAAAAGCCAAAACTCATCAAAACATCTCAGGCAGGTTTCAGAAAACCTTACTCAGATAGTGATAATTCATTTATACTAAAACGTTTAATAGATATAGTGCAGTCTAATAGTAAGAAACTAGAGAAACACAGTATCCCTAAGAAAGTCCAACACGTCAAAATTGAAAATGCTGCAGGCTCGGTTTGATTGAGCCTGTTCATGAACGATACTGGAATGTGCAAGTTACCGTCCAAGTCCCGTAGCACATAGAATTTTTGTTGTTGTTAAACAAGCGTTAACCTCTGTTTGGGGTATAAATTAAGGAAAGAAAAGAAATGAATACTTTAAACAAAGTTTACAACAATATAAAATGAACACCATAAACAAAGTTAAGTCCCAAAGAAATTATTATAAAATAATGATTATGTTGTTTACTTGATGTAAACCGATGATGGAAATAAAAAGTTTGAAAGTTCTTACCTTGACTTTAGAAAAACGTGCTTATTTGGTGTATAAAACAATAAATCTATTTCTTTCGAAAATTCCTGTGGCCGGTAATACCATAGTCCACGTTCAACAATGATTTTATCATACAAACATACAAAAAAGACACTTGTAAAAATTAAAGAACATGCTTACTGAATATGTTTTAAATGTCACTTTTTTATATTATCATACTTAGAAGTGATATATTTAATCACCAATTTATATATATTTTATCTTAACTTTTGCGTAATATAGTTTTAATAGATCAATTAGTCTTAAACCGTGCGTGTCATTATAAATTGATTTTGTATAAATAATATAGTGTACTTTTTTTAAAATAAAGTCTTGTAAAATCTGTTATCTTTATTATTGATCCCACAGTTTCTTTGACACTGATAATTATGTCAATAGTTGATTTATGTGATTTTAGTTACATTCTTATTTCTATTTTATATAATCAATTGTGTGTTGCATTCTGTAAAAGAAATAAATAACCATTACATATAAATCTGTGTTAATTGAATTTATGCTTTCATATATATGATGAAAGTGTCTGAAAATTGTGTATGTATAGATTTGATATATATTTAAACACCACATAAATACGTTTCTCTGATGTCAAAGTAAAATAAGGGTTATTTCATACTCAATTGAAAAGTGCTTATGTCAAGTTAAACCCTCGAAATAGACATCAATGATATTGGTCTCACCGCACTGCGTTGGCCGTCTGAGTGGTAATCATCCTTTGTCAATTATTTTATAAACAAACAAAAACAATTGCCATAATATGGTTATGTAAAAGTTTCATACATAAGATGCAAGAGTACATATGCGGGCTCCTGTCTCACTAGACATTTCTAGTAAACCATTAAAACATAATAAAGTTAAATTAAGTCAAACATTAAAACATAAAGTAAAATTCAGTTATAGATTTACCGACTTTTTTCCCTACCGCTTCTGGGATGAATACTCCACGGCCGCTGCGATGGACTCACCGATGACCAGTGTGACTATGGGCAGATCCGGCGCGCGCTCCCGTAAATCATGCAAGTAATAAAAAAAAGAAGAAAATCAGTAGCGAAAGTCACAAGGCATGCATAGTATTACGTAAATTATAACCATAATGATTATACGTTCTGAATTACACGCTCGTTAGTTAGTGCATGACCAAGGGAGACTAATTTAAGCGAGAGTCGCCGTGTTTAAAGACTGAATTGTATTAATAGATAAAATTTCATTTTAATCAAATTTCAATTTACTAAAACTTGATTCATCTTTAAATGCTCAGGGGGCGTGTACGGTAGCGTACAAAATACCACTACCGTCGGACTCAATTAAGCCGATCCTGCAACATTTAATTTTGTCGTTTTGGGCCTATTTTTTATGAGATAGATGTTCAACTGTTCAACAAATATAGTATACACAAGATCTTTCACAGGACCCTTAGTATTTAATTTTTGCAATGATCTTACTTAGCGAGCTGATTTAATCAGATTGAGCATTTCTCACTACAAGTTGAATTTCATAATAGAACAGTATTTGAAGATCCGAGAAAGGAGAAGATATCACCCAACCCCAATTCTCTCTCTCTCTCTCTCTCTTTGCTTAAGCTTAGATATTACTGTCCTTATTAATACAGACTGCTTTTTTCTGCTGTCAAACCGTTACAAGTCTATAATTGGGTGATTATGAGATGTTTTGTTTCTGTATGATTTACTCGCTATGTTCAGTGATTTTCTAGCTTCGATATGAACGATATACATGTACATACAGTTCGATCTTTGCCCGTGGTTCTGTGTTGCTGGGTTTTGCTTAAGAAAGCAAACAATAAATGTCACCCTTGTAGATATTTGTTTTCATGTTATAACCGCATGCGCGGATTCACATCGGGAGGGTCATGTCCCATGGGATTTGGCTAGTATATGGAGGAACCCCTTTGAGATTTGGATATCAGCATAGGTTTTGTTAACGAAAATCACACATAAACAAGTTACAAATACCAGCATTTTTACTCTTGAATCCACTGAAAACATTGTTTTCTCTTTTAAGGCACACGCTTTCTATTACTTGGGGATCATACGCCGCTTGAAGGTTCCATGATGACCGCCGTTTGAAAACATCTGCGGATGTTTCTAAATTCAAAATTTTACCATTTCATGGACGGTAGTTTGCACTTGACAGTACCGTCCATGAACAGTCTCGATCAAACCGAGCCTGCAACATTTTCAATTTTGCCGTTTTGGTTCTTTAGGGATTCTTATTTTCTCTATTTAATTGCCACATCAGCGTTGTTGCGGTAGTTTTTAGTTTTAGCGTATTTCAGTTAAAAAGCAGGCAACATATCCTAAGGGTGATTCAACAATATACAAATGGGAATATTGGAACCACCCAACTAGAAAATGCCAAATAGTTAAAACTAAAAATACTAAAGAACAAAGTCCCCAACAAAACACAACAGTATACCACCGACGTTCTTTAGGGTTTCTGTTTTTCTCTGTTTGATTGAACACCGAACCGCTGACACAGAACGGTGTACATTTAAAATATTTAGCGTGGTAACTCACTGAGATATGGCACTTTCAAATTGTTCCAAATGGTTTATAGTTGCAAAAGTCCACAAAATCCTCTTTCTTTTAAAGAATTTAGTTTCAACTTAGTCAGTGTTTTCCCGCTCAAGCGTTTTATCTTTTGTCGAGTGACCACACAAATATCCATCAAATACTCGTACAACCACGATGATTGGGCCCAAATACCGCCTTTAGATATTATTGATATACATACAGTCTCATCTTTTTCTTATGAGTATAAGAATACGCACGATCACCATAGAGATTTTCCATCATTTTGGTATGTTCACCTATGGTAAGATCGAATAGCTCCCTTATTGTCTTCAGCGTGCTTTACTGGACTCTACTGGTTTCGAGGTACAGGCCGCCCTTTTTTGTTGATCTTAGTTTTCATATTCTTAGTTACAATTTTGAATGATTCCATAACGCCAACACTGGTTTTTCATGACTTATCTTTTGTTTCTTAAAATGGCTTAGGCCATCTTATTGTTCTCCTGAGGATTGAGCGTTTAGATTACTCCTGTACCAGTTCTAAACTTGATGATAGATATAGCATATGTTGCTAGTAAGTTTATAACATGTGAAATTATACCTAAAACGTGACAAGGAAAGGCGGCGCTAAACGAACGCAACACCCACACGACCCAGCAACAAGGACCAGCGGACAGGAGGACCCCAAACAAAAACAGGACAGGGCACAAGGCAGAACACGGACAGGACTAATACTTATCGGTAAGTACCTTGTATAAGATTGTATAATTCACTGTCAGAAATATTTATAACAGTCATTGTATTTGTGATATTCCTAATACAAACTTAATGGATATTACTCTTCTGCGCATCGGTCGAATGTTCCACTATCGCTCAGCGTGAGTGCATTCAGTAAGCTGCGAAGGGAGCGTAAATGGATATATAAACTCCAGAGCTCACCAATCGCAACTTTTACGCACATCTTCGGACATTTTGTACCATTGATTTAGAGCATGTATGTTAGATGCTTATCACCTTAAATAGCATTAGATGTGAAATCATTTGCCATAAAGGTACCAAAAATGTAATCAAAGTGGTATTTTGACCTACATACAAAATATATATACATCTTGTACCTGTATACCTAATCATTATAAAAAGGACGTAAACAATTGCTATAGACCTTTTTACAATACGATTTTGCCATAGCATAGAAGTTGCATTTCGTGCATGCGCTTTCTGCGTAGGGCAAAAGCGCAATAACGATAGACTACATTTAGCGTACTTGAAGGCTATAAAAGACGTGATTATAAGTTATGTCACCCAGAAAACATAATTTTTGTGATGAATTAAAGCGGTAAGTACTTCAAACGTGAATTGATATTTATAACAGATATACAAAGTTAGCGGGACTAATAATTCAATGACCAAAAGTCCTGTTCAAGGTATCATACAATGACTTTTTCATCAGTAATTTAAATTGAAACAGCAGGGTGTTAAAGATACAATTTTATTACCCATGTATTACATAATATTACACAATCGGTATTCCTTTGAAAGTGGATTGGCAAGGCGGTAAGTGTCAAACGGATTGACACGTGATCGAGTGACCGCTTAATTGTTATTTTCCAGCTATAGTTTTCAGTATCATTCAACCGGGACGTTTTAGTACCATGACATAGTTAATCACATAAAATTATGAAATTATCGTAATTTAAGTTACTTTTTAAGTTTATACCATCAATGTTTATTAATTTTGTGAAGTGACAATTAAATAGTGTACGTGACGTGCATTTTAATGTTTTACGAGAAACCGGATAAAATGTGTGTTATTTCATAACCCATCTTAACCTATCAAGGGTTTGAAACATTATTTAAATATATCTTTGTGTCTTACGACTTTTTTTACAACAATTATCTCATTGTCATGTCCGTGATCGTAAGGGGGAATTCTTAAACAATCGTCTTTTCCGTGCCTTTTTGTGGCAATTTTGGCCACAAAGCTATAAATGTATCTTTCATGTTTGTGTAAAAAGCTATTTTATATGATTTCCTAATTTTTACCATAAACTAACTCGGGATTACCTATGAACTTCTAGATCTACTACATTTCTATGTAGGGCAACGCTTTTTTGCCCTACACAGATTGCGCATGCGCGAGAAAATACTACTTCAGGTCAGTTTTTCATAGCAACGGACCGCGACGTAAAAAGGTCTATAGGCCATCGCCAATGAATAACTTTTTAGAAACAGTATATAAAAGTGCACACTAAAAAAGATTTAGCTTCAAGTTTTAAGAATTAACAAGAATTGCATTTGAGGTCTTTCATCTAACACAAAAGCGCGCCAAACGTGACAGTGTGATCGTCAGTCATAGCTTTATTATCATTATCAATTGCATCATGTTTACATTTCTGAAACGTGTTGTTTTTCATGGATTTCTAGGTTTGGTTTAGTTTCCGTACATATAAAGATGCAACTCTAGTTACCGTTAAATATATTAAAATATGGAATTTTGAAGCATAAATAAATAAAGAAAGCTAGCTATTATCAGTAAGGCGATGTATTTAATCTATTTACTTACCCCTGGTCGAACCTCACTTTAACTGAAGTCGGATCTTTTGATCGGTAATAAATGTGTATTGCACCGAGAGCATGACATTAATCGGCCATATTTGTTTATTCCCCTGACGTACGAGGGAGCAAACTAGTGTTTACAAATCGTAATTTACAGAATTTGTCTTCATTTTTGAGTAATTCATTCATTTTATAGTGTGGTGACAATGTTATTCTGCGATTTGACATGATGAAATTAGTAGATGTTTGGAACGCTACCTTGATTTAGGAATAAAGGACATGTGAAAATCTTGTTTTGCGAACATTTCCTGCGGTTTCCCAGATTTCATTCCCCTCAGCTTCGCTATCATTTAGGAAAGTTTGTTTTGTTGTCATTATCATTGGACAGTTTAATCCTCACGACGGATTTCTTTAAAAGATTCGCGTTTTCCCCTCCGCGCTGCCAGCCAATCATTATAGAGATGGGGAATACGTCTCAGAAAGCCAGACACACTTCAGGAGACGATTCAGGTCCATCTTTGACAGCCGGAAGGTTCATTGATGCATCTCAGTATGATGGTGATTATGGATATGGCTATGGACAAGTGCAACCAGGATACCAAAGGGTAAACAAGTCGCAAAATCTATCAGCTGTGAATTTGGTTATTTTTTCATGATGACCTAATTATTTATTTTTCATTTTGTCAACATGACATTCAGCACAAACATTTCTAAAACATTAATGTTGAGTTATGTTTGATAACATTCTGAATAATGACAACCCCTTATATTAATTTTGCACTTTGTTATAGCTGGGCCTCTTGTTTATGTCTTATTCTTTCAACATTTGTAAGACGGTATTCTATTGGTTGATTGACTTGAATAATTATAATTTTCAGTAAAGGTCAAGGACTAAGATGTTTATGTTCTGAAAGTCACAAAATATGTGTGTATGTTTTCCTGTAAATCTCACCATGAATCAGTCTTGTGTATTCAAAATTTGTTTTAAATTGTTGCCATATTATGGCAGAAAAAGATGAACCTAAGGATAGCTTAAATGCATTTCTGAAAGTAATTGAATCAAGAAGGCTTTCAGATAGAAGTTTTACGGTAAGATCTGCATTTAGATGTGTTCAGGAAATGACTTTGTACTTCCATTACCTGTGATTGATTATTATTTTGTATATGCTAGCATGCACTCTATCATTTATTACATTTAATTGTTTTGATTTTAATTAATGGCTGTTAATGATATTAATATGTGAATTATTTATTCACTGTGGAAATTATTACTAGATGACCTTGGGTTTGAATTATAATTTAAAAGGAAATTTTGTTTTAAACAGGCATTGTATCAAGTAGTGACAGTGTTTATTACATATAAATGAATGAAATATTTTCTATTGAAGCGATATTTTTGTATATTCATACAGCTTCTTTCATTGAATTGCTTATAATTATGATATTATTATTTAAATGTTTTAAACACCTAGCAAAGAATATACAGTATGCATATTTTGTCATTTTAAAGAAATTTACTTTAACATATAAATACTTCCTTTCAGTTTCTTATTATGTACAATCATGCATGGTTGATATAAAAATTAAAATCAGATATTTGTTATTCTCTTCACAAATATATTTCAAAAGCTAAGTCAATAAGTATGGATGTAAGTCACTAAGTGTTGATGTATACTTTTCATTGTTGACAAGTGTTAAATTTTTGAAATAGATTATCAAATTTCTAAATAGTTGTTGCTAAATATAAAGTGTGATATTTCTGTTTATTTATTGTTTCTTCTTACATGAATGCAATTTTAATAATTACTGTACATTACATGTCTTGTTAAGTTAATATTAAATGATCATGTATTTTAAATGTACAACACATTTTACAAGTTTCTGATTTCTGTCTTGGTTTCACACTGCCTGAAATGAAGAAAGCACATTTTATGTAGGTGTTTACTAGTATTCAACCATTAATGTTTTAGGTATTCATAATGCAAAATACTGTAACTGGGAAAAATAAATTCAAGGAAATATTTATAATTTATTAATTTGGTAAAACAGTTGGAATTGAATAGCAGACTTTTCCTGGCTACCTTTTACTATTAATTTATTTCAATAGTTATATATATGAAAAAAAATTGGCAATTAATGAAACTATATTATACATTGAGAAATTAATTAAACTATTTCAGTTCTATTCAAAAGTTGGTTTTACTGCTTTTAATAATTCAACCAACAGAAGTTCCTCAAATTTAATTTATACATCTTAGACTGTAGGTCACAAAATAATCACAGTAACCAACTTTTGTTAGGTGTAGGTCACAGAATCTTGGGCACCGATCCAATTGTTACAGCGTAATGATTATTCTGCAGTTAGGTTGTCAGTGCCATGGTGCAGTATTGGAAACTGTCATATTTATTTTGTTAACACTTGGTGCATGTATATATGAATATTCATCTTTAACAGAAACAGAAAGACTAATTGACAATTTTGAATTATATTGAATATTTAAAAAGAGATTTTATTTTTGTTTAAGTAGTTTAAATGTTGAGACAGTATTAGTATTACATTTTATTTTATCAGTCTTTCACCTTATTAAATCTTCTAAAAAAGTCTTTAAGATTATTGTTCAATGGAGTTAGAATTTTATTTCCCGATAATTAAATATTTTAAATTTTGAGTATTTGCCTGTGATTAATTTATTGTTATTTATTTTATTGTTATTTATTTATAACAATATATTTCCTCTTGATATTTCCCATGATTATGAAAATGATTTTGTTATTCATTGGGGATGCAAAGTCTGTTTAACTTCATAATTGTTGCTTCATCAATTGAAATTTAAAATATTTCTCATGATGTTAAAGAATTGAAATATGTAATTTTCAACTTTTATTTTATCTTAGTATTGATTTAATCATCTGCACTGTGAAATATTAAATTTCACAGCATCTTTACAGCAGTATTGTGTGATTATTAAAAAAGGAAATTTAGTGAAATTAATGGAACATAAACATGATAGCAAACATTTTGCTGAGGCAGTTTTTTTATACAGAACAGAACAGCTAATTCTTATGGGTGTACATTATTTCTATGGACTACTTTGAAAATATGTGAAGATGAAATTTTGCAGAGATTCATAATGTACCATTTCACTGTTATTGTACAGGATTTAGGACTATTAGAACTCAAGGTCTGAGGATCATTCAGAAGCCAGGGCATATTTTTTTTGGTCACAAACTTAAACCTTGACGATGTCACGAAAAACCTTCCACCTAGTGCCTCAAGTAGCTAATATCAAACTTGGTGATAAAATTAACATGGTGTCATTCAAAGCATTATAGCTCTACACTTAAATGCACCTTTATAAGCTTCACTTTTAGGGCACAGGGACCTCCAAATATCAAATATTAACTGTAATTGTGAAAAAGTAGTTTGTCTATCCACAGCCTTCAAACTTTAAACTTAACAAATGTATATAGCAATTTACCCCTTGATGTACTCTTCTTGCAAGCCCACTAAGAAGTCTGGAGTCAATGTCAATGTGGCCTCCAAATATCAGATATTAACTGTCTCTTCAAGAAGAAATTCTTCCCTCCATCGCATTGTCAACTTGATGTGCCTTATCCACTAGACCATTAAGAGTTCATTGGGTCAGAGACACTGTGACTGTGAAATATCAAATATTAATCATGATCATAAAACAGTGGTCGTCCCATCCATAGATTTCAAACTTAAAAAGATGTATGCACCTTGATGCATTCTTATAGCTTGACCCACTAATGGGGTCAAAGGTCAAATATTAACCATTTCCAATAAATCAACTTTGTGATCATGGGGTTAGAGGTCAAGGTCAGAACAGCAGGTTTTGGCATTCTCTGTTAGTGATAAAATTGTCCCCAAAAGGATCAGACTTTTATAAGCGTAGTTATTATTGTTTTCAAAGTTAATCATCATAATTTTGTTTTGTTTATATGTATCTTGAGAAACCTTCAGGTCATGTTAAAATGTTGGTGCCTATTCTCTTTTCTTTAAAGATCACATTAAAAGATTCTGATTTCAGTGTTTGAAAACTACAAGTTTATTTCAGAGAGCTAGAGCGGCGACTACATTAAGTCAAACTGACAATCGTGAGAAGGAAGAGCGACTTCTACCCACAGTGTTTAAATGGGAAGGTGGTGGCAAAGAAGTGTTTGTCTCTGGCAGCTTCAACAACTGGAAAACAAAAATACCTCTCGCAAAAAGGTACCAATAATCAGATAAAATGTTATTAATTTGTAGTATGTTATTTTTAACCCTTAACCTGTTTGCACTGAAAGTGACTAGTCTTTTTCGACTAGTTTACAGCCAGGCCATACTGTTAATTCTTGCAGTCTGATTATTTTTTGTATTTTGATACTTATATTCCATTATTGACTCACTGTTTCAAATTCAAACTTGAGCAAATGTATTTACAATTTCTGCAGGTTAAGGGTTAAGATATTTCTTAATATGATAAATTTATGTAAGGTTATTTTGGCTATTATCCAGGGGCATACTATCAACTTTTTTCCCCAGCTCCAAGTATTTACTTAATTTAATTTAATCAAGTGACCCAGAATTTCTCCATGAAAAAATATTCAGTCATATGTGACAAGTTTTTAGTAATTCTCAAAGATACAATATTACTCTTATGATATAAATAAACACAATACTTGTTAAAAATTAATTGTGTCATTCAAATAAATAAGAATGGCTAGAAAATCTCTGATAACAGTAGTTATTTTCAATTATTCTAATAAAAGATGAACAAGCAAAAGGAGATATAAATTGTGTTACAGATCATTATTTGGGCTAATGATCATTGAATATCTCTCTGAGATTACATAGCCTTCATTGACAATGTAAAACAAATGAGTTTTGTTTGCTACTGCAAAACTTCTTAAGTGAATCTTTGATTAATACTTTTCGTGTGAATGTTATATATAAAAAAGAGTCAAAAATGACTTATTGTTATAGAATTCTGGTTCAGTATTATTTCAAGACCACTTCTTGATTTGTCTGACCAGTTAATAGGTTGCTAGCTTTTGGTCAATATTGCATATCAATGTTTTTAATAAACATGTCACATGTATGTCACCAGTGCCTCATTTCTGAACTTCTATTGCTTTCTTGAAGGCTATCAAGGGGTATTGATATGTATTTTCATAAATATCTCGTCCTTACATTTACTAACCATAGCTTTTAATGTGTTCTTTCTGAAAACATAATTATTTTCTTTAATAAACGCTGGAGCTAAAACAATATGTAGGGACCACAACTCCGCAAGACTTTTATCTAAAATTATCATTTGTAAGGTTTTGATTTGTTGTAATAGCGGCTTTGAACCCATTTTGAAATTATTTTTTTTGCTTCCAGTTAAGAAGATTTTCTAGTTTCCAATAAAGTATCGGCTCTATTTCGGTTTATAGTTGTATTATGAACTGAATTGATAAGGATATATGAATATTTGATGAGAAGTTATGCTACAAGCATAAAACTTTATCAAAATAGTTTCTAAAAATGATTGCCATAGTACAAGAAACATCCACATTTAGATTATTACCTTATTTATATCTACGGGGCTGGCAGGAATAAATATGTAATGAGCAGTAAACTCAGAACTGAAATAGAAAAATCCAATATAGCCTATTTGATATACATAAAGTGTTGCTCTTTTTAAGACACATGATTATATTTATGAAATAGTTGTTAATATTGTGGTTATGATGGTCATATAATTGTTTCCATTAATGCTAATTTTTAGCTTGACAATTCGAAGAATAGGGAGAGCTATTGTTCTTATCCAGGGCTTGGTACAGTTTTTGTGTGCAAGTTGGTATTCTCCAAACCTGCTGAAAAGAATGGGTTGAAACTTCTCACACTTATTTGAGAGCATAATGGGAGGCCACTGTCCAAGGCCCATAACTATTAATATGGATTTTGACATAATTATTGGCCCTTTTTGAACTTACTAAATTCTCGTTATCCAAGCTCTTGTTTGATTATCAAGAATAGTCAAGAAGTTCTAAATTCAAATCTAGGCTGTTTAAGTACACACATGTATCAGAGTAAAGGTTAGATATATGGAAAAGACTTCTAGTGTCAGGAATAAGAGATTGATTGTTAATGACTTTGAGCCTCTGCCAATAAATGAAACTGTAAGATAAAAAAAATGCAATATTTAAATAATTGGACCAGTATTCCTAGCTGCTATCTCTTGCAAGATTTATTCTGGAACAAAGATGTCTACAATTTTAGCTTATAATTTAGGCCAAATGTACAAAATCTCCATGTTTATATTAAAGAATTGAAACAATCTAAATTGTAAAAGATAAGTTTGCATAAAAATGGTGTAATTTATATTGTAAATAGAACAAAGTACATTTCGAAATAAGTAATGATATTAAGTGATGGTAAAAGCTTATTAGCTATTTTGACATTGCTTCTCAAACTGTGTTTACAAACTTGCTTTATTGCTCAGTCTATATTGTCTTTATTGTAAAAACTAAGTTTATTGTCTGTTATATTAAAAACCCCTATTTTACTGGTTTCACTGAGGAATACTCTTGACCATCTGTCTTAATGAAATATATTCAACATAAGTTTATCCTTTCAGGTGATATGTTATACATGATATTTTGATGTATATGTATGAATAAATACATGGATAAATGTTAATGGTATTCTAATGATAATGTTTATAGATGATCATTATATCCTAATTTGGAAAACACTACATTTCTTGTTCTTTCATAAATACTGAATCATAGATATACAATTATAAAATATGTAGCATTTGGTAATAAATAGGCTAAAAGTTATTAATTTTCAAAGCTGTTTTCAGGGAAGAATGTGTTTTAATGGATATTCTCTAAATGTATTGAAGTTTTATACATGTGTATTGATTTGCTGCCTTCTCTTATACTTTCATCATAAGCTTTTTTCTGTTCATGATTTCTGCTAAAACAAGTTACGTTCAGGCCCTTTTTCATCATTTTTAACTACACTAAATGCAGTAAATGAGAAAAGTAAAAGTACAGGGCGATATCTAATTTATGAGGATTAAAATAATATCAGCAGCTACATACTACATGTAAACTGCTGGAAAATTATAATGTTCTTTGGATTCATTTCTGTCTAAGGAAGACATAACATTTAAAATATTCGTAGTCTTAACATTTGAATTTTATAAATAAAAAAGTAAAAAAAGCATTTGTTAAAATCTTTTTGGTAGGAAATATATATTTCATATTCAGGAAAATTCCTTAGTTGTATAGTGGAAAAAAGGGCCTGATATGATTTAATTTTATTTCTGTTCTGTACTAACTTGCAAACGAGTTCTGCTATGCTATATGATTGAGATTTTTCAAGGTCAGCTTTCCAGAATCCAGCAAATTTGGGTTTTTCCCCAATATTATCTCATGGTATAAGGAAAACTTTAATTGTTGTAACTTACAGCTTTAAAACAGTTCAATACTTTATAGGGCTGGTTATACATGTAGATATATTTAACTGTAAACGTTTGTTTGTACCATGTAATAAGGTGGGAAAATACCCATATTGCTGAGTTTTCTAGAGTATCTCTATTGCCAGCAGCAATAATGACTTCCCTAACCTGCATTTCTGTTTCTGTTCTTGTAAAAGAATTTTTTTAATTTAGTTTTATACAGAATTTATTATAGTTCAATTGTGTAGGAAGCTAGGTCATAGACACACTTGAATCCGTTACTGGAACCCACCGGTACAGAGAAATGAGGGTAAAGTTATTTGCTCACAGAAACAATGGCTTGCCACTGACGGGGTTTGAGCCCTAGCAGCTAGAGATCCTTAGATTACTTATGTTGTCAGACACATTAACTGCTCAGCACACAATTTTTTTGTATTCTATGTAATAGTGAAGTATTGATCATGATGTTTGGGAGCTGATCATTTCAGTGTCACTTTTAGGATTACTACTTATAATACTAGGGTATCGGCCATATTAAATTGAAAGTTTTCTAACTATTTCATATACATACAAATTAAATATTCTAGAAATGAAAAGTCCCAAGTTTAATTTAATTATAAATAGATAGTAATTCTATTTTTTCTGGCTTCAGTAAAATATAGTTTGGAAATGCATTAGAATCAAAGCACATATGCAACCAGGCTTAATTGTTTATTTACAGCGATGATATACAGGACCGTGATCATAAAACAACTGTGTATGTATGATTTCTTTTTCGATATTAGAGATGGTATCGTGATATATATCCTTGATGTGATATATATCACATAGAATGATGATATATGTATATCTCACTGGATGGTGACTGATTTATATCACACCTAAGCTGCTCCAAGCATCCCTTTGCCAGATGTAGTACCATATGTTTGGTTTTTTATCTCACTAGTGACTGATATACATATATCTCCTGTTAGTTGCTGATATATACCACAATGGTAACTTATAAAAGATTTTTACTGTGGTGGCTGATATATATCAGTATTGTGATATACATCACATTTAAGTTGATATATATCATGAAACAAGGTAGTCAAGCCTAAGTCTGTATTTCATCCTGACATTATTATATTCTTGTTTCCTGGAATAAAGTCATCAATCAATAATAAATCATTATGTAATAAATCATATGTTATATCCACAGTTACCTCAGATTTATTTATTTGCTGTTCTTTTTTGTGTTGTCACTTTAGAAATTTTATCACTTCCTACTGTCACTGTTTTGGCAATCCTTTGCTATAAGAATCAGCTATGAACCTGTAGATAGAACCTTTTAAATATGTAAGGCTATTAATATTTTCACTATCCAATCATTTTAAGTATTTTATCCTGTTTATAAAATTTGAATCTAAATTTCATTACAAATTTGAAACATTTTTTGAATTTTTCTATTTCTATATTATTGTTATACATGTTTAATGGTTAAGGGGCCTGCAATGGAGCATTTTGTGTCTTTGTGTCTTGAAATATTTCAAAGGTCATACCTCGCTTATAATTAAGTCAAAGATATTCTGCTTATGGTGTAAATGATCAGCTGGGAACAGGGATATGCATTCAGAGTACTTTCTAAAGGTCAAGGACATGTGAAATTATTTTTGAATGGAGATTGTTTTTTTAACGTCCCAATGTGATAATTTGTTTGTTAAACAATTGTAAATTCTTTAATGTCTGTTAAATGTAATATTTCTGTGTAATATACACTGGAAAAAAGAAAGATATTATTATGGAGTAGTTGTTAGGAAGGTTAATAGATATAGTTGGACTACTACTTGATGCTGGTTCAGGGAAAACAAGTTTAGCACACAAAAAATATTTCAATATTTCATAAATATTTTGCCTACTCAAAGTTACCGCTTTTACTTTGGTTTATTTTTTTTGATATTCTTTAAAGATAGGTGGGTATTTTATAATATGCATATTATGCTGATAGGTTGTACTGTACACTTCTTGATTTTTGCTGACAGTGTCTTCTGCTGCTCATTAAAAATAACCCAAAAAAAAACAACAAAAGAATACAAGAAAACCCCAAAACTTTCAAGAAATGTATACTTGAGACTGAAAGTAAGTTTAATGAAATCTATTTAATAACTGTAAAAAAGGTTTGGACTTTAAAAAGCCTACATTTATTAATGATGTGCCATAAGGTCAAAAGTCTCCTGATTAGAAGATTGAACATGTTGAATTTTTACTCAGTCAACAACTTTGGTCTACAGTTATAAGACAGTTATTGCAAATTGGTATCACTGTACAGTAATTTTATCCTGCTATTTGAAATGGTGGTAGGTTAAAGGTAAAGGTCACAGGAACCCAAAAACTGATAAAACCTGGTGCTTGGTTTGTCAAATTTTACCAGTATCTTGAACAATTTTGCAACAGTGGAGTGAAATCCGTTTAAATACATCACCCAAGATTAGCCAAAATCATTCCTGTTTCAGCGCCATTTGACTAACTTGTGTTGGTGCGCCGTAAAACCAAACAAACAGATGTTTCTAATATATACCCTTTAGATTTGAGAGTCAAATATAAGTTATTAAGGTTCATCTTTTAAATCACACATTATACTTTGTTAGAAATACGTTTTTCAATGACTGAGCATCATCATATTTTAAAGTGACACAGATATACAGCCTGGTTTCATAATCTGCACAACTATAGCACCATTGAGTAGTTGTATTCTTAACTCCTGACACATTGAATAGTTGTAATCTAGCCCCTGACACATTGAATATGTAAGAAACTTCTTAAATGATATTATTTAAGTCTTCCTCGTTGCTTAAATAATTTTCAATGATGTAATTTATTTAATCATTATTTCTTAATATTAACAATGTGATAATTTAAAACAGTTTGTTGTGCATGGCTTTAAACATTCATGAATTTATAATTTCCAGTTCATCATTATAGTTAGCAATGTTTGCTTGCTGCAGTTTTTGTACAGTGTTGAAGCCTCAGTATTTCAGATATTTCTTGAAATTTTTGCAAACTTTTTATAATTGTATTCAGCTTTCAAATACATTCACTGTATGTCCTTTTCACATTTAATATACATTTAACTGATATATTCTTTTACAGAAAAATATATTGAAGAGAGGAAGCAGAGAAGCAGAAAAACAATGGCATTTTCTGTGCTTTGTGTTTAACTCATATGGCAGTCATGATTTGAATTCAATGTGTATACTTTTAAGGCCAAAATACAAATTATGTGCTGCTGAAACTGTTTTAAAAGTACATTTTTCCTCCTCATAAATTAACATTACAAAAAATTTCATCAAGAAATCTCCTGAAAACACTAATGTAATTTGTCTTTATGTCGGATTGTTTTGTTTATTGTTTGTTATTCATTTATGTAAACATAATTATATGTTAATGTGGTTGAGGAAAAAGATTTTACTTTTATTTCAATTATTATCATATTTTCTGTGGATTTAATTACAATGTTTTCATTCTTTGTTTCCATTCAATCAAGGATGACTAATGGCTCTGAAAATATCAATTTCTTACATTAACCAATGGCCAGTGTATGGTAACCTTTAATCTGGCCATTATATAGTAACCTTTTATCTATTGAGAAAAACAACCAAAATACATATTTATCTACTTTTACCTTGCCCTAATCTCATCCTTGATAGATGATGAAACAGTAAAAACCAAGCATAGACCACATATTGATTTGTGTTATAACTTTATATTATTACAGTACCTGCTGGCAGTGAAAGTAATTTAGCCTTTGCCATCAGTAAAGATCTGGGTCAACCTGCATATTTTTGTACAGTCTTACCAGGCTCTGTCCTGATGGCTGACTTATCATAAGTCTTTGCCCTACTTTGGCCAACGAGAAGACCTAAATTTGAACTTTCTGAATGTCTATTTTGCATAAACTGTCTGCAATAGTGTTTATTTAACTGTCATTTAAACATTGCTTCTATCTGGAAAGACAAAGGGTGTGTGCATATGAAAAATAAGTCGAAAAGCTTAGACATAAATAAGAAAAAATTAAATGTCTAAATTAAAAGTTGCTCCTACTTTGCTTCTTTTGAGCTTTTTAAATTGTTAAACTTTTATCTAATTAGCCACTATTTTATTTTCTACTTTATATCCCCAAAGCTGATAATGGGCAGATCAATTAATGACAAGTCGATTTAAGCAAGTCTTGCTGAATTTCTTAAATGGACTTGTCAAGTTAAGGTTAAATGCAAGTTAGGTCATACATCAACAATATTTTGATGCGGTAGAAAAATTAATTTATTATTTAGTCAAGGTGTGCAGAAGATGGTCTGTAATTGGAGTAATAAGATATGAGTTGTGGAAGATGTTATACTGTAATTTTAATTTAATGAAACTTATGTTCCAGGTCCTGTATATCATCTTGGGAAAGAATAAAGTGACTTTTATTCTGTTGGAATAAAGTGACTTTTAATTTGTTGTGAAGGATTTAGGACCAGAAAAAAATCAAGTTATTCAGGCTAGTGGTTGGTGATTTTTACTAGCCCAAATATGTTTTTTCAAGCCCAAAAATGTTAAATTTAAAGTGGAAGAATAATGAATTGTTGTGCAATTTTATTCCCTTGATGGTAGATTAATGTTGTTCCATTTCAAATTTAATGATTTTATTTGCAGAAATTAATCCTAATTTTTCAAAGGCCAGGCCAGATTTTACTAGCCATAAGCTGGCAGGTATGTCTGGAAAAATGTCACCAAATTGTAGATTCATTCATTTACTTTGAAATATGAAAACTTGAAAAAGTAAACAGTAAATATGAAGTAGAATGTTTGATTTTGTCAGAATTCAATGCAGAAATATGCTATAATAATAAAAAAAATTAATGTTTTTTTTTCTGGGTATCTTTAGATAAAAATGCTTGAATAAAGGCATTTTTTTTACTTTCCTAGGGTATGTTTATAAAGAAATTTGATATCATAATTTGTTTGGAATAAGGTGGATATAGTTTATTCTATTTTCAGAGTATGCTTCAAAGATAGAATTAAATTAAGATAGTTCTGCTAGAATGAAAGAAAACTCTAATGCTTTTTGAGGTTAATTTGCTTACAAAGGTACAACTAGATTAAAGGTGGTTTGTTGTTTGTATCTGATACTATGATGTATAGTTTATTGAATAACATAACAGCTTCAACCATACTGAAAAACTTACTTTAACCTTTAACATTTTGAGCGCAAGCAGTGTTAATGACAAATTGTTGTGACCAGTAGACCATCTTGTCAGCCTGAACATATTTGAAGTCTGACCTGACTCTATTGTGTTAACTTCCGTCATTTTGCCCTATAAACAGAGCAATATAAATCATAATATAATTTAATTTAGGGAAAAATAGCTTAAGCAACATCTTTAATATTCATCATTTATTGACAGAGACTCAAAATAAAATTTTAATGGGAAAGATGGCACATAAATATATTAATTGCCTATATCATTGCATGGAGTTATGTTCCCTACAATATGTTCATTTATAGGAAAGAACTGGGTCTTAAAATTTTGCTGAAATAACCTTTTTGCTACATTCTTGCATGTATTATTATCTCAAATACACAATCAAAAATGCATTTACTAAACATCTTGCTTATCTTTTTAGCTTTAAGCATTATTCTTGATTCATCTTTATATTTTCTTTTCAGTCATGGCGATTTCTACACAATTATTAACCTCCCGGAAGGAGACCATCAGTATAAATTTAGTGTGGACGGTACCTGGCAGCATAATGCCAGTGAGGTAAACAAAACAAAAATTTTGGGGAAACAGTAATTTTTTTTATAAAATATTTTTTGTTTTGCATTGTATTGTAGTAATGGTGATTTCTTCACAATTGTGGACCTCCCAGAAGGAGAGCACCAGTATAAGTTCTATGTGGACGGAAACTGGCTCCATAATGTAAATGAGGTATGGCTGGTGTATGTATACAAGGGTGCTTATTTGTTTGCTTTGTTTCTATTAAAATTCTGTTATAGTTTCAAGTTGATTCGTAATTTGTCTGGCGTCTATATATGACTGGCCCTAGAGAGATCAAATAGCAAGTTTTATTATAATTAATCATTAGAAATAGATTTCATCTTTATTCTGCTTAATACAATTTGCTTCTCGTGTATTTAGTCACATTTTATAATACGCCCGAAAATATTGCTATGCACCCGGTCGTCCGTCTGTTAGCAGTGTCATGTCCAGTCTGTGTTTTTGAACCGGCAAAAGGAAACTGAAACTAGTTGGAAGAAATGTTAACAATAATGAGACAATGTGCAGAGCTCTGGTTTGACCCTTCTCATGTCAAGGTCACAGCCATTTTGTCAATTGGCCCCACCCTTGGGATTACTTGATTTATAAGGACTTGCAGTGTATATTAGAAAACATATAAGTTTCATTATCTGTCTACAGCTTAGATATTAAGCATGTAGCATTGCCTTATTGACCTGTACAAAACTATTATGATCATGCCCTTTGATTTAATATATATCCCATCCCAGGGTCACTCGAAGACTTATATAGGAAAATGATGACTGAGTCTTAACTTGTGAAACTGCAATGCCTAGAGTTTAGATATTTAACATGTACTATGTAGCATTGCCTTGTTGGCCTCTATAAAAACTGATAGTAATCATGACTCTTTGGTCAATATTGCTCTGCCAGTGGGGGTCACTTAGTTGATATAGAGTCTTGTATGAGAAAACACATTTCAGTCTTATTTTGTGAAACTACAATGCCTTTACATTCGAGTGTATATAGCCCTGCCTTTGCGGTGCTCTTGTTAGATTAACCATGCTTTCTTTAATACAATGTTGAAGTTAATGGAAATAACTATTGGTCACATTGCTGTATGACATCTGTTTGAGGTCACTTTCTTCTGTATCACTTGAGATCTGAGGTCAGATTTCAGCTTCTGGTTCATATTTTGCTTCACACAATCTAAGGTCATATCTTTCTCATAATATCTGAGGTCATAATTTCTGCATCTCATAATATCTGGCGTCATAATTTCTGCATCTCATAATATCTGAGGTCATAATTTCTGCATCTCATAATATCTGAAGTCATAATTTCTGCATCTCATAATATCTGAAGTCATAATTTCTGCATCTCATAATATCTGAGGTCATAATTTCTGCATCTCATAATATCTGAAGTCATAATTTCTGCATCTCATAATATCTGAGGTCATAATTTCTGCATCTCATAATATCTGAAGTCATAATTTCTGCATCTCATAATATCTGAAGTCTTAATTTCTGCATCTCATAATATCTGAGGTCATAATTTCTGCATCTCATAATATCTGAAGTCATAATTTCTGCATCTCATAATATCTGAGGTCATAATTTCTGCATCTCATAAAATCTGAGGTCTTATTTTCTGCATCTCATAATATCTGAGGTCATATTTTCTGCATCTCATAATATCTGAGGTCATATTTTTTTTGCATCAGACATCTCATAGTAACTGAGGTCATATTTTCTGCATTACACCAGTCTTCATCATTTTTAACTTGTCTGTTTCAAAGAAAAAGTTAAACTGTTATGATCACTGTGTCGTCATTGTTGTCGTACAAAAAACATTTGTAGTTTATTATTCAAACATTTTAAATGTTATCAACGTTAGACAAGGGGCATAATTCTGAAAGCTATATTTTTTGGAGATATGCCCCTTTTTAACAAAAGGGGTTATTTAAACAGACAAGCCTTAAGGCTGCATGTGGTTCTCTTGTTTGAACTTGGGAGTTCTAGTTCTGAGTTGATAAATGGAGGTCCAATACTTAGTTCATGTTAGTTTTGCATGGAATCATTGCTTACTGAACAGAGTGGTCATTATTTTTCATAAAAGATGATATAAAAGTGATACAAATCTTTCATTTGATTTCAATAAACATTTAATTAAGTTAATACATCAAGTTGAAAAATAAATTTAAAGTTGAAAGTTTTTATTCTGAATTTCTAGTTACATATCTGTTGAAAGCTGTATAAATAATATTAATTATGAACATGCCAGTGGTAAGGACCAGTATGTGCCACAGGTTTGAAACTAGGCCAGTCCTTGTCACCAGTACATGGCTGATGATGGCCGGGTCAGTTTCTACCACCAGAATAGGGTCAGGCCAGTTTGTGTAGCCAGTCTCACTAGTATAGGGCAACATTGTGCCACCAATAAAGAACTAAGACAGTCTGTGTCACCAATAAAATACTAAGACAGTCTGTGTCACCAGGCGACCAGACATTTACATTGTTGGCCGACTTGTAAAAAATCATCAGTATTTTTACGATGAAAACACATTATCTGCTTTTGGCAAGACCTTTGTGTGAATATATTTTGTATTAAGGTGACAACAGACACTTTCCGTGGTACTCACCTAAATGTCATTTAAACAAAGTTATTTTAGAAATAATTGTTATTTATTTAATCTTTGTGCATTAAATGTCGTTGATCATCATAAAAAATAACATATTTGAAAAAAATGCCTTTGTAAATGATTGATTTTTAATAAAAATCCTAAAATTTTAAATCGTCATATCAAAGTCATTTTTTACTTTTTTGTCATCAAACTTTTGGAAAATAAACATTCTTATAATATCTGGGGAACCGTGTCTCAAATTTTTTCTATCTTTTTTCAAAAAAATATTACGTAACGTCAAACATTTTATGCGACTTTTTTCACCATACATATTACGTAATTAAAGATAATTAAGTCGCTGATTGAGCAATCAAAAATCCCTGACACGGTTCCCTCCGTAAATAAATTCCCTTTCATGTGCTTTAAACCGCATGTTAATTGCTTGATTATTAAAAAAGTTATGCCGATTCAAAGTTAGTCCGACCCGCATCAAACGAAGTGTCATAAATCGGCTGTTCTCTCTCGGACCCCTACGTTTCACGCTAAATAATTGCATAATACACAAATATCGCACCAGAGAGGGTCACAAGTTGCGCTAACATACTCTAACAACATTTTATGACCCAGTGACATCTGACCAATTAAAAAGTTGCTGATTAATATCAGTTTATAACAGAAATTTCTTCAAATCTTAACGTGATTTACTGTCGGTCGCACATGTCACGTGACTTTCGGTAAAATTTGAGGCACTCGGTGGGGGGGAATGGAACGTATTTGCGCACCGCTAGCGGGGTATTTAATTGTTTCACTTTTGAAGATTATTATTATTATCATCAGCATTATTATTATATTATACCAGTGTCACTCTGTCTGTGTATTCGTGTATGAAATTCCGTTAAAATATAAATTAAAATAACAAAAAACTGAGCTTCTGATGGTCTTTTAAAGTCCATGGTAAATGTAAAAATAAAAACGAGATATTATATATTTCTTCCTCCAAATTGAAATAAATGCTTGACATATTATAATAGAAATAAAAGGTATCACTCGATCATTATGATCTTTATGACTTCTTTTATCATGAAAATCATCTATGCACGGCATAGATATCCAGTTTCTACTGGGATATACAATAAATTCCATACTTTGTCCCAGGTTTATTAGTACTGTGTTCGATTTACTGGCGAACAATTTATTCAGAGCATTCACTGATAGTATATTAATATCTTTTTTTATTGATTCATACTGGAACATACGATACGTTATAGTACATCCCAGATTCATAGAGAAATGATCATCCTTAAACAATCTAAAATGGTTTAGAAATTTGTCAGGGACACCTTACCACAAGTCATATAGGCGTTCACATAAAAAATGTTGTCTGTTTTTGTTGTTGTTTTACTTGACATTGTTAGAAAACGAGGTTGAATGTAAAGCAAGCCGATGAATCCGTACAAAAGTCCATAAACTCAATGTAATATCTATCAGATTAACGGGACAGACAAATTATTTTCACACATTATGGATATTTTAGCAACTATATCTTAAATCAACCCGTGGTCGTGCTATTTGCCGCTATGCTTAAGTATTTATGTTTCATACATTATGTTACGTACATTGGCCGACAATTTCTTATTTTATAAAAATGCTTAATAAAAGGTAGACGATATTCATAAAAGATGTACGGTATTTGTACGATACATGAATTACGAGTAGTATGGACCAGTATGGACGGGTAATTCACGGATATATGGAACTACCGATTTCCCTCATTGATGCCTCAACAGGGGGCGGAGCGTTATCGATAATTGACAGGTTACGCGAATAGCAGATAAAAATGGTACAGGTACCGTTTTAAAACGTTTAAAAACACATTTTTTGGACTAACTGCTTCCAAAATTAAATCACGAATGTGTTCAGAAAAGGTTGATAATTCTACTAAGCAAAGAATCTCATTTTAGGTATTTTCAGTAATAATTGACTCCGTTGTCACCTTAAGGTATAAACATTCAAATTAAATATAGCACCACTCTGTTCAGTAAACTAAGTTCAGCTTTATTGTCTGGTTTTCATTGTTATGGCTTATTGACTTTAATTAAGGGAGTTGATTTAGGTCGGAAAGTAAGGTCAATGAATTATGTCAAATTATATGTTCCTGGAGTACTGCAATTTTTTACATAGGCAAAAAGGAATTCTTCAATAGTGCACAGAATAGAAGATAACCTAAAAGTGAAAAAAAAGTAAAAGTAAAAAAATCAGTCAGGGGCACAAAGCAGCAATTACTAGGATGATGACCACCCAACTTTTTTTTTATAAATTTGTTTCAATAATAATTCTCTTTAAATCATGCAAAAGTTAAGAAAATTCTGTACACTAGGTTATTTATCCTTCCCTGCCTATGTAATAAATACAGAACTACATGTATATGAAATGTCCTTTTCTTGGTATTTCTAATATTTATAACTAGCTTTATTGATTTAACACAGACAAATCATAGATGAAATTAGATAAAAAAAAAATGAAAATAAGGTCCTTGAACCATGAAAGATTTTCCCTATAAATGTCAGCTAAGGTGATGGGGCTTAAAGTTTTGTGATGTAAATGGTTCAGTTCCCTGTCAACATTATACAGATACATAAATATACAGATATATAAAAAACTATACAGTAATTAATAACTTAGTTTACATAGATTATAGAGAGCATTGAATAATTTAGATTTTCAGCTGTAATTCTGAAATAGTGTCACAGTTACAAAAATAAGGGAAAAGGAATCAAATTAAACTTGTTTAACAAAGTCATAAATTTTCTGAACTCTGTGCCACTTGTTTGAGGCTTAACATCACTATTGCCTGACTGATATGGCTTGTTTGTTTTGGCCACTCAAAAGTCCAATATAGATTAAGAGATTTATCATAATATGGTTAGTCTTTTACAGTCAAGTATACAAGTAAATTTCAATTTTTTTTAGAAAAAAAACAACAACAAACTATTAGCAATGTTGATCTTGTATTCAGTGTACCTGTTTGGGGCCTCTGTGGCTTATTGGTTTAGGTCACTGACTTCAAATTACTTGACTGTTGCCACTTTGTTTGAATCCCCACCAGATATTCGTTTTTAAGTTGAGGAAATTGCCATCAGGCGCAAAGGGGCACCTGAGGTCTTGGCCCACAAATAGAGCAACAGAGTCGTCATATGACACATCATTGTTGGTGTTCAAACAAAATGAAATATTAAATAAATAAAATGCTTGTGAAATGTGACCAGTCAAAAATGATACATGGAATTAATTAATTAACTACTTTAGTAAACACTGACAAGCAGCATGCAAATGTGAAGTTAATTGAAATTTTCACTGTCTACCACCATGATGGATATTGATATTGTCATGCAAGCACAGCATTTTGTTGATTTATTGCACCTTATACAAAAATTCATGATGTCTTTAATATTCCTATAAGTTATTCAAATAAATGTTACATTATCCATTTGTAATAAATATTGATAATTTCTTTGGTCTTCCTTCACCAGTAAAGCTGGTAAGTCGCCGTATGGCCTATATTGCGTTGATGTGACATAAAATCCAACCACCTCATATGGCCTATACTGTGTTGGTGTGACATAAAACCTATGGTCGGCATCAGGATCACATGCATCATCTATCTATGGGAAGGTTTACACAAGCCCTGTGTAAAAAAACAAACATGAAATGCAGTAGTTGGACACATATTCTAATAACATAAGAATTGACCCTCAAATATTTTCTAGCTGGTTTTTTTTTTTATAAAAGAGTATGGTTACAGTAACTATTTCAGATGTCATTTTAACCAAACTTATATTTTAATTGATAATGTAATTTTCAAACTTTCTTCATAAATATTTGTTATTTTCAATATTTTAAACATTTTTCATTAATATATGACTGTGTTGTTAAACTATTTAATCTCTTACCATCTGAAACTACATCCTGAACAGGATGTAATATTTACATTTTGAAAACAATATTTAGTTTCTTAATCATATTAAGGCTTACAATTGTACAATGGTTGTAGCTTAAGTCTGACATACAGCATGAGTGGGCCTATTGGTTATGTTGTCTGGCTCCCAATCCCAAAAATCATGGCTTCAAGTTGTCCAGAGATCACTACATTGATCGTTTGATCACTTTCAAGACGAAGGAGAAAAGAACTACTTTCACAATCAATCTTAAATAAGGATTTGTTAAACATTTGAGAGATAGATTAACAAGGGGTCAAGTCTGTATAAGGTTGTATAAGGTGTAAATTAGGCTAAAGGAGAATATATATGTATGGTTTCATGTTATCCTAATTAGGCTAATTAGACTCATATAAAGAGAGACTCATTAATAAAATTTACTAAGCATTGTTTATGTTTATTGAAATCATATAAAAGAATACCTTTAACAAGTGAATACAATGAAAAGAGATAAAAGAGTTATTTCAGCACATTAAAGTCATTATTTTCACACATTGATCATTATCATGGAGTGTTGATACAGGCTTAGAACATGGAAATGAAGTGTTCAGTAAACAAAAGAATGCAGCACGGGTAAATTGATTTATAGACAAATCTTGCATCAAAGCTTTTCTAACTTATTTATTTTATGTGAGACAGTATTACACTGATATATATATTTGATACAATGTACAAATTAAATACAAGTTTATTTATTTAAATGTATGTTGAACTTGGAAAGGGGACAACATAAATAGAATATTTCAAAATATTTTGGCAATTCATTTCATTTGCTTATGTATTGTGTGAAAAAAATAACAAAACAATATTTTATGACACATTATTTGTGATTCACAGTGTTTATTTACATTATGTTTTAAATATGATAATATTGTTGTGGTCAAGTACTAGATTGAACTAGTCATTATTATATTTAAACCCTTAACCTGCTGAAACCAAGAGTGATTAGCCTTTGTCTCCATTTTTGATCCAGGCCAGCCTGTCCAGGTTCTTTACTAGCTCAGTGTATATTGATAATGAAATCCCCATAACTTTGAATGGACTGTTCCAAATTTAAAGCTGGGCAAATCCATTACACAAATTCAGCAGATTAAGGGTTAATGAAATGTTACTATAATTTATAACAGCATGTTTTTTTTTAGCTCTTATCCTTCAGCATATTACAAAACTTTTATTAACTTTTTCTTTTTAAATTAAATGCCAATGGATTGTATGATTATGCATATTATATGTATATAGGAGATTGGAGGTTCTACTTTATGTGTCTGAAATTTTGCACAGAGGGACACTTGAGATCCCCCTCTACCAGTGGCAATATATCTTATGTGATGTCATGTCTGATATTTGAATGATTAAATGCAGTTAATTTTTATTAGAAAACCGTTTCTTATTTCTTATTAACCATTATTTATAAGGTTTTTTCAGTCTTTTTTCCCCTATGTAGCTTTTACTAACACTTCAAAAGAGTAAGATCATTTCAGTGTGTTGATGTGTTTTTGTCACAGCTTTTATGATAGAAAATGTCCAAATTTTAATACTTCATTTTGTGTTGTGGCTCACTGTCTAGTGTACTTTGTCATGAAAAGGGCACCAGTTTTCATTTTATATATAAAACATGAGTAGTTTTGGCAATTGCAATGTTTGCATTTCAGCCTTCTACATCAAACAATCTTGGTACGTTAAATAACATAGTGACAGTGAAAAAATCCGACTTTGAGGTGTTTGAAGCACTTGCATTAGACAGTGTCAATACAAGTTCTAAAAGTAAACAAAGTAAGTACCCTCCCCGCGATCCTAACCTTTTGCATGCCATGTTGTATTTTTTTCCTTCGTAATTTCCTGTGTACTTTCAGCCTACGAATGCAAACAGTCTTGGATCTCTTAATAATGTAGTGACTGTGAAAAAATCGGACTTTGAAGTCTTCGAGGCATTAGCAATAGATAGCGTGAACACGACACATAAAAATAAAAACTGTAAGTAGTATATGCATGAAAATATATATTTTATATATACAGAATCTGATATATCTCTAAAAAAGAGAGAGAGAACATAATATACTGAAATATTATTGATAGAGGGTCATGAAGTTTGAGAGGAGATTGGGTCATGCAGTGACTTCATTATGTGATATATGACACAAAGCCTGGCTTATGTTGCACAAACCTTTATAAACATTAAAAGTACTGTTGTCAGTTTTTATATGCCCGTTTGAAAAACAGGTCGTATTATAGATTCCCCCCCCTGGTGGGTGGCGTCAAATTTTTGTCTGGAGCATATCTCCTTCACCCATGGAGGTATTTTAATGAAACTTCATAGAAATGTTAACCACTATGAAAAGCCTTGTCGGGCGCATGAACCAGGCCTCTAGGTCAAAGGTCAAGGTCACACTGAGGTCATTAAAAACCGCTTGTCTGGAGCAAAACTTCTACATGCATTAAGGATTTTCAATATAACTTGGCACAAATATTCACTTTTGTGAGATGGAGTGTCAAGTGCAAAATTTAGGTCCCTGCTGCCAAAGTCAAGGTTGCACATAGGGGTCAAAGTTCAGATAAAAATATAAAAATTTGTATAAGGACCATTTAGTCATAATTAATTGAGGGATTGAAACACAAATGGTCATTATCATGACTACTGGTGAGAAAAATGTAATTTAGGTTAATATATGCAAGGTCAAGGTCACTAAAGATGATTGTCAAGTCACTAAAGATGATAAAATATAGAGATTTTGTCCAGAGCGTATCTCCTACACATACAGAGGGATTCTTATGAAACTTCATACAAATTTTCACAACTATGAGAAGCCATGTCGCGCGCATGAACCAGGCCTCTAGGTCAAAGGTCAAGGTCACACTTAGAGGTCATAGAAAAATGCTTGTCCGGAGCAAAACTTCTACATGCATAGAGGGATTTCAATATAACTTGGCACAAATGTTCACTTTTGTGAGGCGAAATGTTGCATGCATAATTTAGGTCCCTGCGGTCAAGGTCACACATAGAGGTCAAAGTTCAGATAAAAAATCACTAGAGATATAGAGATATTGCCCAGAGAATATCTCTATATGCATATCTATAATGCCCTCATGTCTGTCAAAAGCTTCTGTGATGGGTGTATATTGCAACAATGTTGCCCTTCAAAAAAACTTTAAAGAAAAAAATAAGAGAAAAAGTTTACCAAATATTTATTGTTAAAGTTGCAATTGATGCATGCTATTTCATTATTGTTTTTGTTCGAAGTTTTTTTGGCATGCTCCTGCATAATAGGCCATACTTTTGTTGAAAAATATATGTAGTGTATTTGATGCTACAATACCAGGAATTATAGTTTACTCTTTTGCACTGTCAAAATTAGTGACTTTCATCAGATTGAACATGAATGTCATGTAACAATACTTTGTACAATATAGAAACTTATTTGGTGAAGTACACAGCTGAAAATCACGGACGAGGTGCTAGGCTTGTCTTAACATGGATTTTGAGCTAGATACTACTTCAAATATATTATGTATTGTATTGTATAAAATATTGTTAAATAAGCTTTCTATTCTATACCTATTTTATCTTCATTTGTCATTTGGACACCACAAAACACTTATTCAAATTCTAATTCGTTGTGTTCAATAGGAAGAATGTTGGACTGGTTAACTCGAAACAATTCCAATGCTTAAAGAATTATTCTAAATACGGGACACTTCATTGAACAATAAGGGGGGGGGGGGGGGAATAGAATTTTTGAATGCTCCTGCATTCAAATACTGGAATATGCTGTACATTTACATGGTAGAAAGAAGTTTTTTAATTGGTTATATGAAATAGCTTTAGAATACAGATACTTTTATACATGTATATACTATAGGTGAATTGTAATTGGTTTGATGAAATAAGTATAGAATAAAGCCTATATGAATAGTTAAATCTTCAATTGCACTCTCTTCCTAAACTTAAATTGAAGGCAGGTAAGTGTCTGTTTCATATATGAATAATAAATAGGTATATAAATATAAATGAGCTGCGCCACGACAAAATCAACATAGTGCATTCGCGACCAGCATGGATCCAGACCAGCCTGCGCTGATCAGGATCCATACTGTTCGCTTACCAACTCTATTACAAGTAGAGAAACTGATAGCGAACAGCATGGATCCTGATCAGACTGCGCTGATGCGCAGGCTGGTCTGGATCCATGCTGGTCGCAAACGCACTATGTTGGTTTTGTCATGACACGGCTCATATGTTATTAAAACCATTACAGGGGTTTAACACTGTCCAGCTTTCTAACATGGTTGTATAGATTGCAGAGCAAAAAATGTTTGAGTTTCTTTCCGTAATGCTTATTTATTATGTTTATGCCATTGTTGATTTCATTTGTAATGGTCGTTCATTATTTATTTGATGGCATATTTATCAATTTGATGTGTAATTAACCAGGTTTTCAACGAAAACCGGGTTATTGTAATGTCGAAGTCGGCGGGCGGGCAGGCGGGCGGGCGGGCGTCAACTTTTGGTTTCCGCTCAATAACTTAAGTTTGCTTTGGCCTATTGACACCAAACTTGGTGTGTAGGTAGCTTATATCAAGAGGCAGCTTGGGATTGCTACCCAGGTGTCTGTGATCAAGGTCAAGGTCACTGTTACTAAAAATAGAAATTCAGTTTCCGCTCAATAACTTGAGTTTGCTTTGGCCTATTGACATCAAACTTGGTGTATGGATAGCTTATATCAAGAGGCAGCTTGGGATTGCTACCCAGGTGTCTGTGCATCAAGGTCAAGGTCACTGTTACTAAAAATAGAAATTCAGTTTCCGCTCAATAACTTGAGTTTGCTTTGGCCTATTGACACCAAAACTTGGTGTATGGATAGCTTATATCAAGAGGCAGCATGGGATTGCTACCCAGGTGTCTGTGATCAAGGTCAAGGTCACTGTTACTAAAAATAGAAATTCAGTTTCCGCTCAATAACTTTAGTTTGCTTTGGCCTATTCACACCAAACTTTGTGTATGGATAGCTTATATCAAGAGGCAGCTTGGGATTGCTACCCAGGTGTCTGTGATCAAGGTCAAGGTCACTGTTACTAAAAATAGAAATTCAGTTTCCGCTCAATAACTTGAGATTGCTTTGCCCTATTGACACCAAACTTGATGAATGGGGAGCTTATATCAAGAGGCAGGTTGGGATTGCTACCCAGGTGTCTGTGATCAAGGTTAATGCATTTATTTTTCATGTTATAACTTGAGTTTGCTTTGACCTTTTGACACTGAACTTGCTGAGTGGCAGCTTTGGATTGCCACTTAGATATCTGGGTACAAGGTCTAGGTAATTTGCTTACAATAGAATTTTCAGTATCTACTCAATAACTTCAGTGCACTTTGACCTATTGATTGTTGTCACATCAAAACTTGGTCGTTGAAAACCTGGTTTTCGTCGCATTGCGGCGCTTCTTGTTTTTGCTTTATTATTATATTAAAATGTATTGAAAACACTTTTTTTTAGCTCACCTGTCACAAAGTGACAGGGTGAGCTTTTGTGATCGCTTTTCGTCCGGCGTCCGTCCGTCCGTCCGTCCGTAAACTTTTACTTTAAATGACATCTCCTCATAAACCACTAAGCCAATTTCATCCAAACTTCACAGGAATGTTCCTTTGGTGGTCACCTTTAAAAATTGTTCAAAGAATTTAATTCCATGCAGAACTCTGGTTGCCATGGCAACCGAAAGAAAAAACTTTAAATATCTTCTTTTAAAAAACCCTAAGAGCTAGAGCTTAGATATTTGGCATGAAACATCTTCTAGTGAGTGTCTACCAAGTTTGTTCAAATAAAATCCCTGGGGTCAAAATTGGCCCCGCCCCAGGGGGTCATTGATTTTCCCTATATGCATATAGTAAAAATTTAAAAATTCTTCTTTTAAAGAACCCAAAGAGCTAGAGCTAAGATATTCAGCATGAAACATCTTCTAATGAGTGTGTACCAAGTTTGTTCAAATAAAAGCCCTGGGGTCAAAATTGGCCCCGCCCCAGGGGGTCATTGATTTTCCCTATATGCATATAGTAAAAACTTACAAAATCTTCTTTGAAAGAACTCAAAGAGCTAGAGCTAAGATATTCAGCATGAAACGTCTTCTAATGGGTGTCTACCAAGTTTGTTCAAATAAAAGCCCTGGGGTCAAAATTGGCCCGCCCCGGGGGTCATTGACTTTCCTTATATGTGTATAGCAAAAACTTAAATAATCTTCTTTGAAAAAACCCAAATAGCTAGAGTTTAGATATTAAGCATGAAACATCTTCTAGTGAGTGTCTACAAAGTTTGTTCAAATAAAAGCCCTTGGGTCAAAATTGGCCCCGCCCCGGGGGGTCTTGATTTTCCCTATATGCATATAGTCAAAACTTAAAAAATCTTCTTTGAAAAAACCTAAATAGCTAGAGTTTAGATATTTGGCATGAAACATCTTCTAGTGAGTGTCTACCAAGTTTGTTCAAATAAAATCCCTGGGATCAAAATTGGCCCCGCCTCAGGGGGTCATTGATTTTCCCTATATGCATATAGTAAAAACTTAAAAAATTCTTCTTTTAAAGAACCCAAAGAGGTAGAGCTAAAATATTCAGCATGAAACATCTTCTAATGAGTGAGTACCAAGTTTGTTCAAATAAAAGCCCATGGGTCAAAATTGGCCCCGCCCCAGGGGGTCATTGATTTTCCCTATATGCATATAGTAAAAACTTACAAAATCTTCTTTGAAAGAACTCAAAGAGCTAGAGCTAAGATATTCAGCATGAAACATCTTCTAATGGGTGTCTACCAAGTTGTTCAAATAAAAGCCCTGGGGTCAAAATTGGCCCCGCCCCGGGGGTCATTGATTTTCCTTATATGTGTATAGCAAAAACTTACAAAATCTTCTTTGAAAAAACCCAAATAGCTAGAGTTAAGATATTAGGCATGAAACATCTTTTAGTGAGTGTCTACAAAGTTTGTTCAAATAAAAGCCCTGGGGTCAAAATTGGCCCCGCCCCGGGGGTCATTGATTTTCCTTATATGTGTATAGCAAAAACTTACAAAATCTTCTTTGAAAAAACCTAAATAGCTAGAGTTTAGATATTAAGCATGAAACATCTTCTAGTAAACGTCTACTAAGTATGTTCAAATAAAAGCCCTGGGGTCAAAACTGGCCCCGCCCCAGGGGTGTCATTGTTTTTAACTATATGTGTGCAGTAAAACCTTAAAAATCTTCTTTTAAAAAACCCAATGAGCTAGAGCTTAGATGTTTAGCATGAAATATCTTCTAATGGATGTCTACAAAGTTTGTTCAAATAAAAGCCCTTGGGTGAAAATTGGCCCTGCCGGGGGGGGGGGGGGGGGAGGAAGGCAGGGGGGGGGGACGGGGGGCTGGTGAGATCATTGTTTTTCATTACATGTGTGAAGTAAAATCTTAACATTGTGAAACATCTTCTAATGAGTGTCACCCAAGTTTGTTCAAATAAAAGCCCTGGGGTTTCAAACTGGCCCGCTCCGGGGGCCTATATACAGGTGAGCGACCTCAGGGCCATCATGGCCCTCTTGTTATTAAAGTTGAACATGTTGTATTTTATTAAATGTGGATGAAATCATAGTAAAAATTTAGTATCCAGTCTCTTCAAGGACAATAGGTTAAAGTACTCATTAAGCTCCAGTTTATCTATTTAATTGGTTTGTCTTCATGATTAAATTAGCTGTATGGTTTCTAATCTCAATAGAAAGTTACAATAAATATAATGTTATTGGTATATTTGAGCCGTGTCCTGACAAAACCAACATAATGGGTTTGCGACCAGCATGGACCAAGACCAGCCTGCGCATCCGCGCAGTCTGATCAGGATCCATGCTGTTCGCTTACCAACCCTTTTACAAGTCGAGAAACTGATAGCGAACAGCAAGGATCCTGATCAGGCTGCGCAGATGCACAGGCTGGTCTGGATCCATGCTGGTCGCAAACCCATTATGTTGGTTTTGTCGTGACACGGCTCATTTTACTGAGAGAATGACGAATGTTAACAGAAAACTCAGATAAAGTGATTTGTGTCATGAATATTAATTTTCATCACACACAGCTTAGTCTACTGTGATCCATTTTCTATTTCATCTGGTATAATTATTATTTTAATCTTGTCTGGTTGTCTTGGTTACCCGTCAGTTTTTTGGAAATCTGCAAATTATTAGGAAACCTAAACCTGAATCTTTGGTATAAGTAATAATTATACCATTTCAAAGGAAACAAGATACGTTTAAAAAAATCAAAAGCATACTTCAGAATAGAAATAAAAGAATACAAATAAAATTATTATGAAATTTCCTAATTTCAAAAAATAGAATGAAGCTTTTGAGCAGAATGATGTATGTTGGTCACTCTAGCTTAGGATGGGGAGTCAAAACAAGCTGACTAGAGAAAAACAATATGCCCCTATCTCATCCATAGGCATAAAGAATGTGTTTCATAGACTTCATTCAACAGGTAGCAATATTGGCTTGCCTTTTTACCACCAGTATTTATCTAGGTAATACAGTGTGACCAGATTATATACAAGTTGCTGGTGAAACTTAACCATTTTGATATTGAAATCCCTAATGTTTATAGGGGGTTAATGCACCTTTTTTCAAGGAAGTGCGATGTCATTTGACAGTAAGTTTATGTAATGAAAGGACGTCACTTTCAGGCAGCTTCTTTTAGTTTTACATTGTGTTCTGAGCCAAGCATTTTAAAAAAGCGTGCAATAATGGTGCATGATTTCATTGGTTAATACATGTTTTCTTCTCATTTAATATAAATCTGAGAGGGCAGATTTTATGCAATGGTATAAGGCAATACTAAATTCAGTGCAAGTCAAGTCGTCTGAATTTTAGCAGCTTTATATTTTTGGAAAGTTGAGGGATACTGCAATTATATTTTCTGTTAAATTTGTTTTTGCATCTGCTCATAAGATGCATTTTTGCATCTGCCCATTTTACATATATTGATGATATAGTGACCAAGTGATGTGATTGTACATACAGGACATTACAATTACAATGGTGTATTTGTATATGTTTATTTGACAATATCTGAAAGGTTTTAAATGTATCATTTGCACTGATGGCCTAGATTTGGGTTAAACAGAAAAGTTCAGTAGTTTGCTCTACATAACATACAGCTTGGCATTTGAAAGATAAAGTTTCATTGAAATGTTTCTAGCACAGAGGAAAGGCCTTTGACTTTAATTTTTTGTAAGAGCACTTGTCTTGTTGCTTGAAACAATAGATTCAGTGAGAATATTTAGCCTTGGCCTGATTAACAGCATCTGAATCCACCCATGTGACCAATTTAACCAAGATCAGACTCAGAGGCACAGGCATGGCATCTAATTGTAGTCGACACATTTGCTTTTCAGTCGGTACATGTAGTTTATTTTGAAATTTTCCTTAAAAATAATTGTCCAGGGATAAAAGGTTGACAAGTCCTTTTAAAATGCTTAGCATGGTAACAATTAAATAGGTCTAATTTAATGTCATGATGGAGAACTGAGTACACGTCATCAAATGTAGGTGATCATACTGTTTGACTCCTTAAATGGAGAGAATAAGGTGAAAAGATTGTCTTTTTCATACATTATTGATATGTCTGTGAAAACTAGGCTAATATCCCTCTATTTGAGTGTAGATTTGTCTGGGTGTATATTCAGTTATTGACTTCATTTCCTTTTAATTTTCCTATTGTTTATCTGGTGAAATAATTTATGTTAAGTGATACAAGCCATAAATAAAACTTGAATATCATTGTAACTGTATGTCGTCAAAGATTTATTTCAAATTCCAGGTAATTTTATTCAAATTTATCATTGTATACTGGTTAAAATTATGATAAAGTTTTTATAAAGATACAGTGATTTAGCTACAGATGTATAATGATATTGAGGAATTTGTGTTTTTGTTTTCCAGCAACAGAGTTATCAGGGTCACCACCTGGTGATTACGCCCAGGAAATCCCGGTGAGGGCACCTGGAGGGAAACAGAGTGGACCTCCTATCCTACCTCCACATTTACTCCAAGTTATACTAAATAAAGATACCCCAGCACATGTAAGTCGTTGATATCAGTTATCCTACAGTTATATATAGTATGACATGATCATCTTATAAAGGTTAAGTATTGGTTCAAATCCTAACAGGGCTGTTGATTAAAGATATCCAGCTTAATGAAGTATAAGGAAAGTCAGGTATCTATTGGTGATCTTCCCATTTATAAAGCTAAAACGTTGAGATATTTATGGCATATGTTTTTATGTTGTAACTACTTAAAAGCAAAAAAAATATTTTAAAAAAACAACTTTTGTAGAAGATAGATAATTATGTGTATAGATTTGATTATTGAATATTGACTGAACAAAAGAAAAATGTGACATTGAACCAATAATAGATAGACAGAAATAGCTATTACTGCTTGATGGCATAATGTTTGGCATTATGTGGTACACAAGTCAGACATCCTTGAATTTGTATATTTGATCTTTTATGTCAGCTCTTGTTCTTTATATAAAATGACATTTTCTGTTGAAGGCAGAAGCTCTTCTACCTGATACATATGTTTTATACATATGTTTTTATGTATATACTGGAATAAAAAGAAAATGTGCAAATGTAATACAGTAATAATATAAAAGTTGAATTTCTGAATTAGATCAAAATGCTGTTTCAAACCATTTAAAATTTCATAACAATACAAATACATATAAACAACATTCAGAAGAACAACTTTTTGATTTATGATTAATGTTTTATTTCAGTGTGAACCAACATTGTTACCGGAACCAAATCATGTGATGTTAAATCATTTGTATGCGCTTTCAATCAAGGTATGTTTACCTTTGGTTTATACAGTAATTACTGTGTTTGGTAGTACCTATAAACTTATACATTGAACAAGTTTTAATAATTTATTTGACCATTACTAATGTGATAAATAGAATTGAGGGGCTTACGTGGCGAAGGTTAAGGTTGTTGATTTCAAACCACTTGCCGCTCACCACTGTGGATTGGAATCCTGACAGTAACTTTGGATTCTTTTAATTGAGGAAGCTATCCAGCTAGCTTAGGTAATGTCAGTGGTTCTACTCTGGTGCCCATTCTTGCCTGAAATAATGCATGGAAGAGCACCTAATGTCTTCCTTCCCCAGTATAGCTGGAAAGTCACATATGACCTATACTGTGTTACATAAAACCAGACCAAAACAAAAATAGATATAATTAGGGACTTGTAAATCCAATGAAAAATTAACACAGTATTGATCTGTATATGAAAACAATGGACTACTTTTTAATAAAATTATGCCACTGCAAATGCTGAAAATGGTGAATATTTGGAACTAGCCTACTTGCTCTATTGAAATATCATAACATCATCTAACATGTTCTAATAGGTGTGATTTGATTGGACCTGTGTTTGATTAACTATGCCATTACCCATGCCACTAAAGTCTTTTCTGTCATTTGTTTTCAGGATGGCGTCATGGTATTAAGTGCAACACACAGATTTCGTAAAAAATATGTTACTACACTGTTGTATAAACCTATTTAGCTGTGATATATATATTAAATATGTAATGTTTTATGTAAACATCAAATTCTAGTGACATGATTAAATTGTGCACAAGAATTTTGTGTAAATAGTATTTTAAAATTAAATGGACAAAAAAATTTTTACAAATATTATCATAATCAGAGAAGGTGATACCAATGTTGTTACTTGTTGAATATTGGATAGCTGTGGACTGAACGTTTAGGGCATACGTCTAATCAAATACAGAAAACCAGTAGAAGATAGTAACTACACTTTAAGGTCAAATTAACTGGAAAAAAAATAAAAATCGGGAGTTGAACGTGGAAGCAACATTGTGATTTGATTTCTTTGTGAGTTTCTTGGAAGAAACAATTTAATTTACTAGTGGGAATTGTGAAGAGAAATTTCAACACTAACATGTAGAAGAAAAAGGCACAGAAGAACGTATAAATGTTTACGGTTTAATGGTTCAAGTCGGTAAAATTCAGGTATTTGGTTGTACAAAGACATTTATATAAATAGGTAGTGTAAGTGTTTAGGAGGTGCAAATGTTAACAAATTTGTGAATGAGGTTTACATGAGAGACAATATAGTATTGTTAGTATGACCATTGAATGACTTTAGTTATTTTCTGATGAATGGAATAATGTTATATTGGTGCAATTAAGTTAAGAAGCATTGTGCTTATATCTAAAAGAAAAGTTGTTGGATTTCACTAGGTCATTCATTTTATACTTGTTGCTACCAGATAGACTTCATTTGTCTCAGTAGTGTTTACAGGTTTTGATATATATGCTTTCCTACTAGCATATAACATTCATTTCAATTGAAAAAAAAGGAATTTCTTCACGGAAATAAAGGACTAATAATAACTAGAGTAAAACATTAATTATCATATTGAAAATAGGATAACTTTTATAGATTACTTCTTGAAATATGATATATTTTTTTTAGATTAATTTCACTTGTTATAGGTTAATTTTCGTATGTTAATTATCTCAAGACATAGGACATTTTTCATAGATTATCACTGGAAATATGATAATTTTTTATATGTTAATTATCACAGGGTATAGGAACAATTTTATAGATGAATTATCACCAGACAAGGGATAAATTTTCATAAATTATCACTAGAAATATGATAATTTATCATCATCAGACATAGGATAATTTTCATAGATTATCACCGGATATATATTATTTTTAAAGATAGATTATCACTGGACATGGGATGAATTTTATAGATAATTGATAATTTTAATATAAATAGACGATTATGGACAAAATATTAAGGTACTGGTATATAGAATAATTGTTAATAATTAGCATTACTTGTATAAAAAATGATTTGAATAAATAAGAGCACCCATATTGTTTTGAGACTGGTATATTGAAAAGGCGTGTGTTTTTGGGACATCATCAACTAATTGAAAAGAAATGCAATGCCAAACAGTTTTAAAACAAATCAAATACTGGATGGAATAAAATGTTTTTGAATTGTTTGTTGTGTGTACATGATATAGATTGAAAACAGAACTTTGTTGTCCTCTATATTTACACTTGAGTGATATAATGGATAGTATATGAAGGTAAAGCAAGGGAGATAATTGTGATTGTAAAGTGAGTACATGTTAGTCTGGGCTTTTTATAATCATCGACATTACTGCCATTGTTACTTGTTAAGATACTAAACATTTCCATTGTTTTATATTCGACATAAAACTTTTTACCTTAATCTTAAGAGAAAATGGGTGTGATCTAGTGTATACATGTACATCAGGTAATTCAATTTAGTGTACAGGAAAATATATAATTTTGTTGTAAAACATAATTTAAGTGATGGATATATGTTCAGTGCGCCATAATTAGAGCTTGTACATAATTTGTCCCTGTTAAATAGATCAAGATTTGCTAGTTTAAATGAATAGGCGATAGGTCATTAAAAAAAACCCATTTTGATTTTACCATTGATTTATATATATATAGTTATGTTCAGTTGTACAAAATGTAAACAATGGTCTAGATATACACAGGCTAGAATACCCCCTCCTTAATTTAGGTTTAGTCGCACTTCCTCCCTAGTGGTATAGTGTAATGATTGTTTTATACACACCCAACCAGACCCCTCTCCCCGCACTTAGAGATATTGTCCCTAATGGGCTAGGCCTCATCCCTACCCCCAGGGTTTGTGTATACCTAATTCAAGACAAGCTAGATTATACCTACCTTAAAATGCCAATTTCTCTGTTTTAAATGTCATGTCTGCTGGTAAATATTATAACAGATACCCAAAGGTTTAGTACTGTATAAATTAATATGATTCCAATTATGATACAACCAGTGGGATAAAAGAGTATTGTATGGATAAGATTGCACCCAAATTCAAAACTACCTGGGACAATTTTTGCCATGTCCATCTGTTATCTGTAGAAATCTATTAATGATAATTATGAAATTCAGATTTATTTCTGTCAAAATTTTTCTTTCTTTCTTTCTTTTTAAATCATACATTATGTTGAATTTACTTCATATTCAAACACTCTATGTATAAGGAGTACTTGCTTTTAATATTGTGGGGTAATTTAAAGGATCCTATATTTTTGTTTTATTTTTGCATGTTTTAATGTGTTTTATTGTCCATCCATAATGCATATTCCAGTATGTAAACATGTACATAGTTTATTATTATAATGAAATTGGATGTGCATAATCTTGAAGTATTATCGCCCATTTTTCATTAACTTTTGAAGAGCTCAGTTAATTTATTTCATGTTTAGAAGATTCAACTCTTGTTTTTTTAACTTATAGCAATGTTACATATAAAAACTGTATTTTATTTAAGTTTCCTTCGTCTTTTTACTCTCCTCATCCTGTGCACTAAATCCCTTTTTAAGTTCTTGATGATTTCATGATTTTCCATGTACAGATGGGAAATATTTTTATCCTTTTTGTACAAGTATGTTATTACGATTTTATGTAGAGTTGGGAATCTAGAAACGTAATATTTTATATAAACATTTATCATCGCAAGTGGAAACAAACAACACTTGTTGATACGTCTTTTATAATCAATTGAAATTCAATTAAGATGATGATTAACATGTTTACTAGCTAAGTATAGTTTTTTCTTTGTTTTTTTTTGCTTTTGCTTATCTTGCAAACATTTCCTCTTTTGTTGTGCAATTTTGAAGTATGTTCAATTAATCAATACATTTTTTCCAATTTACTTAAAAAAACTAAAACCCTATATATATATTTTTTGTTAAACATTTTTTTTTATTATACATTTGTATTTATATATACTAATGATTTTTTTTTGTTGGAAAAAACATGGGTATGACACTGTATTGGACTATCTGTAATTGGTAAAAGATTTGTATGTATAGATTATTTTACTTTTCTAGTATGAAATACTAAAGTATCAATTTGTGTTTTTTACTGATAATTTGAATCTTGTTCTGATAAAGCATACATTCAAATTGCATTCAGTTGCTTTCTTGATGAATATAGTATTAGGAGCATTTTAGAAAAAAGTTAGATTTTTTCCAAAATCACATTAAAAGACCTTTTTCCGCTTTAGAACTCTTATTCTAAGCAAGTTAATAATGTTTAAATTGAGGCCATTTTATATGTTGTAGATCTCTGATCAATGCTTGAAATGTAAATAATTTTACTTTTATAAAAATTATCAAGGTATTCAGTATGTGTCATTGCACTGTACATTAAATAATTAACCCATAAGCTGCAGAATTTATATAATGAATTTACCCAGCTTTGAATTTTGAACCATTCAAAGTTGATGGGACTTAAGTTAGCAAAAAACAATAATAGAGCTACCAGCAGTATAAAGCCTGGTCAGACTACACAGATGTTCAGACTGGCCTGGCTATATACTGGTGGCTTAGTCTAATACTTTAGCTCCAGCAGCAGGTTAAGGGTTATGAAACTAACTAAAATCAAACATTGAAACCATAGATTCAGCATTCAGTTGTATATATGATCAATGTTTCGCTTGTAAATCAGTGTTGATGTTTTATTGACTGTTAAGTAATAAATAGCTGTAGGCAGAATATATCACATCATTCACTCCTTTTTTTTGCAAGTTTCATATCAACACACTGTATGATGAGATCCATTCTAATCCACTGAAGGGATATCATAACATTTGTACAGGTGTGATTATTTTACCTATGTTTTGTATGGTTTGTTAATTTTGATGTATTTGTTTAACAGGATATGCTTGCTAGTGTTTTTTGTATCTGCATGTTTGTTTACATTTACTTACTGTTTGATTCATCTTCTCTGTGCATCACACGCAGTTATCTTAAATCCTGAACCTCCTCAATTTGTGTAATGGACCTTCCTTACTTTGAACTTGAAACAGTCCATTCAAAGATAAAAAGGATTTCATTATCAATATACAGAACTTGGGCAGTATAGAGCCTGGTCAGACTGCATGGATATACAGGCTGGCCTGGCTCTATACTTGTAACAAAGGTTTATCACTTTCTATGCCAACAGATTACGGGTTAATTGCTATGGTAATGTCATTCAAATGTCATGGAATTATTACAAGCTGAATAGTAATGTAATATTACCAAAGTTGAATATTTTAGCTTTTTCAGCCACAGATGACGTGATTTGCCATCAATTAATTATGAACTATTATTGTAAATATTAAAATATTGAATAAATATTGGAAGTTTTTTTCTTTACTTCTAAAGTAAAGTTATATAACTAAGAAAGTACATGTATGTCTATGCCATATTTGATGAATCAAACAGTTTGCAAATTTTGCTTATATTAAAATTGTATGATTGAGGAAGTCACCTGGAAGCTTTCATGGTATTTTTTAGATGGAATGATATTCAGTAATACATAAAAATGGAACACTTCTGACAATATACATTGTCTGTTAAATACTAAGAATAAATATATGTAGCAATATCACTGTTTTTGTTCTTTTTTGAAGAAGGTTCAAAGGTCAAAAGCTTTAATTACCCCTATGAAAAAAAAAATTACAGTACTGTCTTAAAGTTTATTAATCTTTTCTCAGATCTCAGGATTTTCTTTGGTCAGTGCACATTCCTGCCAATCAAATATCTGAGATCTGAGTATGAGGTTGAAAAATGTCCAAATAATCTCCGACCCAGGAACAGTGATACTGAGGTTGCCCCAATTAATGATTTTAAAGATGATGTTTTAGTTTTACAATATTTTAATCTTAAATTCAAGCAGCATTGAAACAAGTAAACACATTTGATGTTTTATTTTCTAAAATTTTCATTAAACCAAGTTGAACAAAATAAATTCACTTTTTGAGTTAACATAATGCAATATTTTAAGTTTTAATATTGTTATTTTTTTGGCTTGTGCATGCTTTTATTTTTCACTTGTATCTGTATATATAATTTATGTTGAAGCAGAATGTTAAATAATGTTGTCTTGAATCTAGTTCTATTAAATTATTTTCATTTGCCAAGTGACCTTCTTTTATAACTTGATGGATGTTCATTGATAAATTGAACATTTAGAAAAACAAATACTATTTTAAGATATCAAACAATACCTAAAAAAATGAAAACTAAAATTTTGAAATAACATGATACTTCAACAAGATATCCTTATAGTATGCAAGTTTGTTTTGTTACTTGTTACATATAAATATGCAATGTTAGAATTTTTAAAAGTTAGAGAATATACATTTTGTAGATTTAAGTTCTTGCAAATGGTTAACTCCCTTTGTTTACAGAGGTAACTCCCTGTGGCAAAATGTTTAATTCTGTGAGGGAAATGAACAAGATTCTCTAAGATTTATGTTTGTTGTTAAGTTTGTCTTGATCTCTCTTATTTATATTTAAATGAAACAAAAGATAATACTAATTGAAAATTTTGTTTGATTTTGTTCAGTTTCAATGGTAGTCTTAAGGGTTTCATAAGAACATCTTGCTAAAATCCCTTTCTGATTTAACAAAGAATACATGGCAAAAAATTATTGCATTAAAAGCACACAGGACCACATGAGGTACAAATATTCATGTCTATTGTGACATTATGTGTTGTGTATTATCAACTTTCACTTTAACCCTGGTGAAATTTGTGTAATAGGTTTGCCTTGCTTTGAATAAGGAGCAATAAAAGGAACCAAGATCTACTGCTGATAGAACTGCTGGTTCAAATCAAATAAAGATAAAACCACTTTTAAAGTTTAAGAGATTTCATAAGTAAAATACAAAAAAATCATTTATGAACAGTATAGCACTTTTCTTGTATAGCAGACTGGCATTTCCGTGAGTTTTACCCATGCCGGAAATTTCATCTGGCATGGGGGTAGCCAGATGAGTCGCGTGCCAAACAAGGTCATTTTAGCGCGCTTTATGAATGAACCGCGTTAAAATGACGTCGTTTTAGGAGGGAAATATGTGCTTAGGATGACATCATTTCGCCGTTGTTATTTAAGTTGTAAGTTCATACGCTATTGTAAGAAAATAGTTATGGAAGAAATGACTTTAATTTCCATGAATATATATCATATTGTGGTAAACCATTTTAAATATGAAATAATATGGCAAAATATGCAGGAAAAAATATCTGTCATGTTTGCGGATCGGATCGTAATATCTGTCGCTCGGGAACCCGCCCATGGGGGGTAACTTAGCAAGCCTCGTTACCACCCAATGGGCGGGATCCCCTCGGGACGGTATTCCGGTCCGAACCGCAACATATGACAGATATTATTAGGCCAGACTGCTTTGATGTGCAGGCTCATCATTATCAGGTCCAAGGTTAAAGTTTTAAGGATAATTCTGATAAACACAGGAATAATCCTTGGATGGTCCTTGACGAAGAATAGCTAAAATTGTTCTGGTTCATGCATTGTAAAAGTCTATTTTAATCTGCTAAATCATTTTTATACATGCCAAAATTCTTTTTACTTGAAGATTACTGAAAATTTATCGACACTTTCCAGGAGTTCTCGACACTTTCAAGGTTTTCTCATTGGACAAACTTTATTTTATCTTTGGAGTGATACGGCTATGATAACTTGCTTATATCACAGTTTAGGGCTAGTAGAACTAGACAATTCTATTGCCTACCTCAATTTCAGCTCACCTGACCAGATTGTGGACATAAATAGCATTTGTGACTGGCTTTTGTGTGTGTACAAGTGCATCAACAATTTCATGCCTGCACCATAGTAGTTTTATATTCTTATATGAATTGAACCAATCTTGCACAGTATCTCCAGTAGTTGAAACAATTTGATATAGAAATATGGTGCTGAAAAGGCCACAACAGACATACATGAATTGGCCTTGTTGGTATTCTTTATTTGATTTGAACAAGCACTTTTATCAGTAGTAGATCTTGGTTTCTCTCTTGTGTTGGCAAGGTCCCCATCTTGCAGGATGCGTTGTTACCTCTAAAGTTATGACAAAACAGACATAGTTTGCCTTCTTAGCTTGGTAATTTCTATATTATTGTTATTATTTTGACCAAATTATTCAAAACGTGTGTGCTCCTCCAATTCACTCATGGGCTCCATAGTTATGGAAATTATGCATGTTTGAAATAAATGTTCATAGCAAAAATAACTTCTAAAATGTTCTTGTCAAAACCACAGGAACAGTTGCATAGAAATTTTGTAACATAGCTTAGTACACCTCTACCAATAGCATTCAAACCACGAGTCATGGGTTATAGTAGGCCCCACCCCAAGAGTAGCATGATGTTGTTTAGAGAAACTGTGTTCCGAAAAAATTGTGTTGTCAAGAACCATATGGCCTTTGTAAAATGATGTATTACATATTTGATATGAAGGTAGCTTACAAGAAGCATTATATATACCTTAGTAGGTTTTAAGGTATAAAGATCAAGGTTACCACAGCTAAAATAAATTATTCTCTACTATGTAGAGTCTAGGATTTGAGGTCACATGGGTCAATGTCCCAAAAGATAAATAAATTTTTTTTTGGTTTACACCATTGTCATGATTTTATTTAATTTCAATCAACAAATGTTGGTTCCATCAGATGTTCAAGAGAAATGGTTCTTTGCGGGGCCAAATTTATGGGCATGTCTTGGCATAAAGATGATGTCAATATTGGTATTTGCACTACTACTCATATAAATATGAAACTTAAGCAATTGGACTTTGGTGAGCAATATAGGAGCTATCATGGCTCTCTTACTTTTAAATGTTGAAATCAATAGAAAGTGTGTTAATTTCATTACATTAATACAGTAAGGTTTTAAGTCATATCTTTCTGTATAGAAAAAAAGATAAATGTAGACAAATCATTGTCATGTAATATGTGACTATATAACTATGAAAATTCATCGATCAAGGCAAGTTAAGATATTACTGAAATTGTCAGAAAATCTGAGCTTGCAATAGAAGTATGTTGTTTATGGAAGATATTTGTTGTATCTGTTTGCTTCCTTGCCAAAGTTACCAAGGCTAAAAATAGGTTTTTCAACTTTTATCTCATTTGCCAGGTTCTTTTATCTTTTTCCCCTAAAAAGTAGCATCAAATGTAGAGGTACAACAAGGGGAGAGTCGATTGTTTATTACTTAAATACATGCATAAAATCTTATTTCTGTTTTGCAATTCTTTGAACCATTTATGTCATTTATGATAGACCTAGAAAAGGAACATTAAATTTGATGAAATTCAGTGGAGCACACTGTTTCCATTTTTAGCTCACCTGTCACAAAGTGACAGGATGAGCTTTTGTGAACGCTTTTCGTCCGGCGTCCGTCCGGCGTCCGTCCGTCCGTAAAATTTTACTTTAAATGACATCTCCTCATAAACCACTAAGCCAATTTCATCCAAACTTCACAGGAATGTTCCTTTGGTGGTCACCTTTAAAAATTGTTCAAAGAATTTAATTCCATGCAGAACTCTGGTTGCCATGGCAACCGAAAGAAAAAACTTTAAATGTCTTCTTTTAAAAAGCCCAATGAGCTAGAGCTTAGATATTTGGCATGAAACATCTTCTAGTGCGTGTCTACCAAGTTTGTACAAATAAAAGCCCTGGGGTCAAAATTGGCCCCGCAAAAGCCCTGGGGTCAAAATTGGCCCCGCCCCAGGGGGTCATTGATTTTCCATATATGCATATAGTAAAAACTTAAAAAATCTTCTTTTAAAGAACCCAAAGAGCTAAGATATTTAGCATGAAACATCTTCTAATGAGTGTCTACCAAGTTTGTTCAAATAAAAGCCCCGGGGTCAAAATTGGCCCCGCCCCAGGGGGTCATTGATTTTCTCTATATGCATATAGTAAAAACTACAAAAATGTTCTTTTAAAGAACTCAAAGAGCTAGAGCTAAGATATTTAGCATGAAACATGTTCTAATGGGTGCCTACCAAGTTTGTTCAAATAATAGCCCTGGGGTCAAAATTGGCCCCGCCCCGGGGGTCATTGATTTTCCTTATATGTGTATAGAAAAAACTTAAAAAATCTTCTTTGAAAAAAACCAAATATCTAGAGTTTAGATATTAAGCATGAAACATCTTCTAGTGAGTGTCTACAAAGTTTGTTCAAATAAAAGCCCAAGGGGTCAAAATTGGCCCTGCCCCGGGGGTCATTGATTTTCCTTATATGTGTATAGCAAAAACTTAAAACTCTTCTGTGAAAAAACCCAAAAAGCTAGAATTTGGATATTAAGCATGAAACATCTTCTAGTAAGTGTCTACAAAGTTTGTTCAAATAAAAGCCCTGGGGTCAAAACTGGCCCCGCCCCAGGGGTGTCATTGTTTTTAACTATATGTGTATAGTAAAAACTTAAAATAACTTTTTTGAAAAAACCCAATGAGCTAGAGCTTAAATATATTTAGCATGAAACATCTTCTTATGGGTGTCTACCAAGTTTGTTCAAATAAAAGCCCCTTGGGTTAAAATTGGCCCTGCCAGGGGTGGGGGGGGGGAGGCCTATATACAGGTGAGCGACTTCAGGGCCATCATGGCCCTCTTGTTATGAGAAAAATATATAAATGTAAAAATTTTACAATGTTTCTATTTTGATATTCAACTTAATGGTGTTTTCATTGAAAGAAAAATTTACTGAATAAAATACAGACCCACAGTACAATTAAGATGGGGAATGTATTAACCCAGAGCTAGTTTAAGGTCTTCAGTGTACCTGTTTTTATATACATGTACAGATATTTCAGATGTTTGGAACAAATTTCATGAATGGATAGTCCTTAATTAAAAGATTATTTTTGATTCCAAAAACAATTTATTTTCATGAATTTGTTGTCTCGCCTTTGCAGTGCTCTTGTTTGGTATTTTATCAATTTTGGGTTAATGTATGAAAAGAAATAGTTCATACATTGTGAAATAAAAAAAATGTTTTGAAGAATCTACATGGTTTAAGCATAGTAATTATATTTGTAATTATTTTTAATGGAAGTAAGTTAATAAGAGGTCTACTTCATGTTGTTATTTTTGACAAATATAGTTTGAATTATCATGACTAGTGATCAAAAGGTTTATATACTTGTTTATAATACAAGTAGAATATTTTCAACATAACTTTTTTTCAGTGTATATGTTTCATTGTACTAAAACAAGTCTGGCAATGTAGCTATATTAATTCTTCTACAGTAAGCAATGTCAATGGAAAGTGTGTATTTTGTCTCAATAAATCAGAATTAGTTTGTCTGGCTATGCTGAAGATAAGTTTACTTACAGCCCATCAATATGGAGTACATGTGTATATGCATTTACAAGTGTAAAAGAAGATACAAGTCTTTCACAGAAATAAGCAGTACAAATATGAAAAATGTTTTACTTGTATGAATTAAGAACTATATCTGGCTGAAGAGAAGAAAAACGAAATGGTTGCTTGAATTAAAAGTGTGTCTATCTTACACAGCTGTATTTCTAATAACTTGCTATGTGAATCTGTTGCATCATGATTTATATATACATCTCAATTACAAGTTACAACTGTTTGGCAACACCTCAATTGAACAGATTATTTTAGTACCTTGTTTAAATGGCTTTCATTTATACTTGAACTGTGTAACAAGGGTGAACAAGTTTGAGGGTAATGATTATGTCACGAAGAAAATTCACAAGTCATGTTAAATCAGTCTATAATTTATTCACCTGTTGATATTCTATAGAATTGTTTGGGGCATTGTAGTCATAGTGAAGTTGTGTTTATCTATGCTTTCATGTGTATTTTCTGTAAAAAATTGTAAATCAGGTGTAAAACATTGATTGTGTACAACTATTTTAGACATGAAAAGATCTATACATACACTGTAAATACACATGATGAAATTGTTATATAAGAATTGATTTTACAAGAGGCACATGTATAACGTGCTGAAATAAAATCTTATACAGTAAAATGTTGTCGTTTTTTTATATATTTTCCCCCTTGTCATCATACTCATTAAGCTTTTACCTACAGGGACACTACCCAGCCTCCCATACAGGGCTGATTGGTATATGAAGAGTTACATACCTTTGAATGATGCTGTTGCAAATTAATACATCAGTGGCTTTATGACAGTATGTGCATCCGAAAACTTCTGAGCAAAAAAAAAACAGCATTGATCAAACTTACTCATATATTTAGAGGTTGGCAATTCGTTTTTTTGGGTTGTTTTGGGTAAAGTTTTTGGAAAAAAGAAAATAAGTATGAAGCATGATCGGCAATAAGTTTCTGTTAGTTTACACCGAGGTATTAGTAATTTATTGCAGTATACAAATATATGGGATTTTTTTGTATAAAATGAGTAACAACATCACAAAAATCAGGAGTAAAACAACAAAAAATAAAATAAGAAAATGCAAATTTTTATAGTGTCCGATGACTTGATAGGGCGACTCCAATTTTCAAGGAGGTTTATTCAAAGGTTGACCATTGAAACCACTGACTGAGAAACTTAAACATAAGTATTTATTACAATGTACTTAATCATTACAATATAGTATGTGAAAAAGTAACTTTCTTTGTAGCGCAATATCCACTGTCATCTTTTACGTAAGTAATACATTGACCATTGACACATGAACTCATTCACAATGACATCTGTGGTTAGAATCTTTAAGTCTATGGCAGAGTAATAGCTAGGAATAGCATAAATATGCTTATTTTTTTCACCTATGACCCCGCAGTTTAGTTCTAGCACAGGACACTCAGCATTGAGGACAATGCATGTGCCAAGCGACCTGAAAATCTACATTGAATAGACAACCTAATGTTTCACATGCACCAACATAGACCAAGTGCTTCTCTATTCATTGTAGTTTTGGAGAAGAAGTAGATTTTAAGATATTTTAACTTATGATTTCTACTTATGATTTTCTGTAAAATAAGTTACCCCGAAGGCAACCCATTTTTTACCCCAGGGGTATGACTTAACTATTGTAGAGGTTCATAGGCGATGTCATATGTCAAATATCCAAGCTCTGGGCATTGTAGTTTCACAAAAGAAGACTTAATGTATTTTTTATGCAGGTCTAAATATTTTATTAAGTGACACAGATATGGGGTAAATTTGACCCCAGTCACATAATGGCATGATTATTATAACTGTAACTGCTACAGAGGATAAATTTTCTAATAAGATTTCACAATATGTACAAAATAAAAATCTCATGACCCCAGGGCAGAGCCAATTTTGACCCCAGAACAAATTTGGTGGAAGTCCACTACACTATATTTCATGCCAAATATCTAAATTAAGCCTTTTTAGAGGAAAAGATTTTTAAGTTTTTACTATATGTGAATCTACGACACCAGGGCTATAATTTGAGAATAAGGTTTTACTATAGGTAAAGCCTATGATCCCATCCCATTGCTAGACAATGTTTTATGCAAAATATCTTAGCTGTAACCTTTGTCATTTCAGAGAATATTAATTTTTTGTACTTCTTTCTAGATGTACAAAATGAAACGCAATGTTCCCCCAACCCACTGTCATGTCAGAGGAGAAGAGTTTATACTATACACTTATAAGGAAAACCCTCTCCCTCCCCCCCGGGATTGGGGCCAATTATGATACTAGAGGCAAAACTTGAACTTTGGTAGAGGACCTAAAGATGAAATATCAAAGCTCTGGGCCTTGTACTTCAGACAAAAAGATTTTCTAAATTTGCATTTTTTGAAACTTCTTTTTCTGACCCCGTGACCTACTTCAGCAACAGACCAGAGTCATTTGAACAACTTCGAAATTGGACCACCAAAGGATGATTCCTGTTAATTTTGATTAATGTGCAGTCATTTGTTTCAGAGATGTTGTATTAAGAAACCTTTGACAACAAACAACACACAGACTGAGGGGGATCACAATAGCTAACCATGAACATGTTGTGCTCAAGTGAGCTAAATCAACACAAGAATGTCTCTTTGTTTCTCGTTTATTTTGACACAGCAATGCATATAATACTGATACATGATTTTAAAACTTGTTAGTACTTCTTCTTTTAAAGCTTTTTTTAATGACTAGCTGGTAAATGTGATAAATACTCCTGTTATATACTATGAAAAAGTTGGATAATTAAATAGTTCAACATAAGATTGGCAGGTAAAATAATAAAAAGCAGCATATTAATATAAGATAATGTAAATACATAGCCAAAAAAATATTGACATGTTATAGGAATTTTTATCTTTAATGTCTTAATCTGTTCCAATTATGATTTTGTTCCAATTATTGTAACAGGATCCAGATAGCTAAAACATTCACATAACTAAAACACCCAGAAAAACAGATGGTGTATATGCATTAATATTTTATCTAGTATTCTAAAGTCCTACAAAAATATATGTTTGTTGGTCCAAGTTAAATATACGACATGTATAGATTAATTGGTCTGACGGGTAAACTATTTGCTAGTAGCAAGGTAGGGCTTCGAGTATCTAATACAACTAAAAAGTGCTAGGGTATAAAATGTACATTTATATGATGATTGAAGCGATAGAAAAAGCAAATAAATGGTAATTTTGATGCAGCTGAAATATAATAAACTTGCATAGTTCTAGAAGCCGTATACAACATATTACACAAAGACTTGATGATTATTATCAAAATATTAAAACAACAACCAATTATCACACCATATTTCTCAACAAAATTTCACTCAATTCGTTTGAAAAAAAAAACCAATAAATTATCCCATTATATACTATACCACTATAAAAACTTACCAAACTCTATACAGAAACAAGAAACAAATTTCATGTCTTATACAGAAAAGAAGAAATTTTTGACAAAAATATTAAAATAAAGAAATAAAAAATTATAAATAATAACCCTGTTCTTCTTTAGATTTATTATCTTTACCATTTTACAGGTAGCTCAAATTAATTTTAGTTGATCACATTATCAAATGACACAAAATGCCCAATATCTAAAATATAAAACAAAACTAGCAATAATAATCTATAAATTCATAAAAAATACACGTCAAAGAAACACACTAACAAATAAATCACCATTAACTTTAAAATATAACAATCAAAAATCAATCACCACACAATCATGGCTTAGACTCACCAGAAAATGAAAAGTTAAGTTAATACCTTAAACAATAAACGAGATGTAAAATTGCATGCAAAACATGAATCAAAGATAACTCCTAAGCAAATAACATGATTAAATAAGATTACTCCAATATTCTTTAATGCTTCAGGTTTACAGAGAGATTCTATTCTTAAATGACTGATTTTACGTACACAATCAGTACACGGTTACATAAATGACCATCTAGTTGAGGGTATTCCAATATTATCACACTTTAAAATAGTAATGTTCATTTTTATAATTCATAAAGTTTATTTTTACTTCTGACTAGATCTTCACTTAAATGCATGTCATTTTTCACAACAAATCTTTATTTAGTATGACAACAGTTTTAACACTGACACTCTTTGACTCGTACAAAAACTGGACTCTCAAAATGAAATTTGATGAAAAGCAAGGCTTTAATTTTACAACTGTTATTAAAGCCGTCTGGAAAGTAGCTAAGTAATTTTAATATGAATTAAATAATAATGAAGCAAAAATATGTGTTAGTCACTTTGTAATATACACTATTCCGATTAAATACTGCCTTATAAAATAATCTATATCACTAAGAAAAAAAATCTCCACTGTCTTAACGGTTTATCACCATGTGATAAAACTTTGACAAAATATCACCAGTAACATCATACTTAAAGTATCACCTATATAACATTTAGACTTCTTGTTTGACAGAATTATTCTATAAATATCTGTCAAAACACTGAATTTTCTTAAATATTGTTAGATATGTTTTTAATAACAGAATACTTTTAACAAACATGAAATTTTATCTTTTACAGCATAAATGAGAAAGGATGATTAATTGCAGTAGTGCTTATTCTTTAAAAATGTATGAAACTTTGGTCGAATGAATATAATATTTAGCACTTGAAAACATAACAACCGGAATTAAAATACACAGAAAGATAATATCATTGTTTTCTAGGAGAGATTAAGATAGGTTGGTAGGATAGATCTACAACAAACTAAGGACATCAGAACTCTTGCTGCACGCAGCTTTCGTGCTGTCACTTTCTACATTTAAAGCCTTCACTTTACCATCTTCCACAACCATTGCATATCTTAAAATAAATAAGCAAAATAATCTAAATATCAACTTACACTTGCATATGATAATTAAAATTCTCATTAACAATTGAAACTTTCATATAACATGTAAATTTCTTTTCAACACTTGCATCATATGTTTTAAATGTATCATATGGCAGCAGTAAATCTGGGTAAGAAATGTAGTTATTGAAAGACTTGGCTATAAGAAATGAGCTTTATCCACCTTATCATCACTTTGTATAAATTCTGTGTTTGATGTGTAATATTGTAACTTGATGAAAAAATAAATATGTTTAAACCAAGAAATGAGCTATATTGACTAGTCATTTGTCCTTATATGATTATATGACAATCATTATATCAACATAGTCAGATGATGTGAAAGTCACTTTTGGCTTTTGCATGTGAAATGTCTGTGGGATAGATATGGGATATCATCATAGAAGTGAGGTGTAATAGAATTAGATGATTATACATTTTTGAGAACCATACTGAATTCTACTGGACAAGATCTTAGCTGTTCAACCTATACTGGACAAGGCTCTATCAAAGTCCAATATTGTGTTTTGTCGCTAGTTACAAGTCATTACTTTCTCACTTCTTTGAGCTCTTTTACACCACCAAAAATTTTTACTTTTAAGAAGGAAACACATTTAATTAAAGAAAACACTCATAATCAAGGGTGTTGCTGTATTTTAAAAACAAATATAGTTACTTTGAGTACAATATGGATTTTAATTGATACAATATGGAATTTAAGACTTGAAAAATGAGGCTAGATATAGTACAATGTGTAGCTGATTTGGATCTAGGAAAATGAAAATGAGGCTAGTGGCAGTACCATATGTATTTGATACTGAGTTTTTGGACTCATAAACTGAAAATGAGGCTAAATTGATAAGACTGGATACAATAATGACTTATATTGAAGCACTGTCTGGTGCAAATGATGGAACTTCATTGGTTATGTTTTATTAGATGTTAAATTAAACTTAATATCATACTTGAGACTCTTGCACTTAATATCAGCTTAAAGTTCAACACTCAAATAGAGCATAAAATAAGACTTAACAAGATATGTTTGTAAAACATGTATGCCCCCTATCAGCAGCCAATTAGTCATGTGATAAGGTTATTATGCATGACTTCTGACCCAGTGATCAAACAATTAATAAGGGTTATAAAGTATCTACTTGTCATGACCTTGACCTTTGACCCCTTGACCCAAAACTCAATAGGGGTCATCTGCTGGTCACGACCAATCATCATACAAAGTTTGAAGTTCCTAGGCCTAGGCGTTTTTAGTAAATTGATCAGAAACCGTTTTTACCTACAAGGTCAATGTGACCTTGACCTTTGACCCCTTGACCCCAAAATCAATAGGGGTCATCTGCTGGTCATGACCAATCACCATGCCAAGTTTGAAGTTCCTAGGCCTAAGGGTTCTCTTATTATTGATCGGAAACCGTTTTAACATACAAGGTCAATGTGACCTTGACCTTTGACCCCAAAATCAATAGGGGTCATCTGCTGGTCATGACCAATCACCATGCCAAGTTTGAAGTTCCTAGGCCGAAGCCTTCTTTAGTTAATGATCAGAAACCCTTTTTACTTACAAGGTCATTGTGACCTTGACCTTTGACCCCAAAATTAATAGGGGTCATCTACTGATCATGACCAATCACCATACCAAGTTTGAAGTTCCTAGGCCTTAAGGTTCTTTAGTTATTGATCGTAAACCATTTTTGCTTTCAAGGTCAATGTGACCTTGACCTTTGACCATTTGACCCCAAAATCAATAGGGGTCATCTACTGGTCATGACCAATCACCATACCAAGTTTGAAGTTCCTAGGCCTAAGGGTTCTTTAGTTATCACTCGGAAACCATTTGGTCTACGGACCGACGGACCGACAAGTGCAAAGCAATATACCCCCTTTTCTTCGAAATGGGGGCATAATAACAAGCAGCATATAGAAAGACATCCACACTTTTAATATTACAAACTAAATATTAGTAAAATAACTAAATACATTGTTTAAGAAAAACAACTGAAATGAATATCAGTTTTCAGTGAAACACATACTTGGAAGATAACAATAAATATGCATCAGTTGTGACAATACATTATACTGCTGGCTTCCTAATTATAATATTTTGACAGTGACATTAACTGTGTCTTACACACATCAGGACTAGTAAGTTACTCAAAATCAAGCACTGAGAGAGGGACAGTGAGTTGATTTTTGGTAATAGCAAAGTAAAGTGAACACATACCTGTGACTTCTGACATTTCCAAGTGGGCCTGTCAAATCAAAGGCAAGATCTACAGCCTTGGGAGAAAAAAAATAAGAATTTATTAGGAAAAACATGTAAAGTAATGTAGCATTGCTGCATAAAATTACAAGTTAACATTAATGACTATGAAAACAGTGATGTTGAATGATCACAATAGTTCACATTGTGCTAAAACACTTTCTACTACATTTAATTTCATAATCATTCAAAATGTGTGTTCACAAAAATAAAATATTGTTTCATAAAAACATTTCCTTACCTTTGTAAATTCTGCTGTTGTATCGGCCAGAAATTTCACCTGTAAAATAGTTTAAATTAAGTTACCATTTTTCAAATTTAAATAATTCAATTTACTAAAATAAAAGCTTTGGTAGATAAAATAATTTTTACATGTATTTGTCTCCTAACAAAAAAATGTTTTTTGTTTTTTTTCATAATTCCAAATTAAAATTATTCACTAATCACAAATACTAATTTCTAGATTTAAATATAGTTCATTCTTAATGCTAAGAGACTGAAATAAATGGACAACACTGGACATTAGAAAGATAATCACCTTCTTGGTTAAGTGTCAATCATGTAATCATATACTTTTTTTTAAGTATTTCATTTTAGTGTTATAAAAATGTCAATCTATTTGCTGGTTATTTATGCTGTAACTTTACTATAATAATATAATATTATTATATTATTATGTATACCGCAAAGGACCAAGCTAGTCTGCATATTTCAGGTCCTGCTCTTTGCTAGGGTTGCCAGCTTTGCATATTTTCAACACCTTAATTTTTCAAATAATAGACAGTTACAAAATCAAATTTGAACAAGTCTTTACACAAAAAGCGATTTGCTAAATGATGGCAAAGATTTTCAAGCAAAAATGCCACCAACTTACCTTGTCTTTAGCACCAAGAGCCTCTCCGAATGCCTCCATCACAAAAGGATCATTTACAGATATACAGTTTATTGAGTCTACACCTTTAGCTTTTATCTTATCAGCATCAGCTATGAATGTTGGCATGTGATCCTTATCAATGAAAAAACAATTTCTTGTTTAAAAACATTGCAAGAAAATTCAATTATCTCAAAACTTTATTTTCTCAACGCAATTGGGTTTCATTTTTGATTAATATTTAAAACTAGCAAAAGAAAGTAATAGTTAACAAACAGTGGTACTGGTAACATGATATCTTTGCAGGTAAAAATGACTCTGTTTTGTGAAGTGAAAAATTAAATAAAAGTTTCATATACCATGTCTTATTTCTTATCAAAGACATAACTAAAATAAAAATTCATAACATAAAATCAGTCAAAGAGCCGGTTTGATTTCAACTATACACCTACAGGAAAATATCTCTACATAAATTTTACATTAATTCCTCACATTGATTCTTAAGTATCTATTTCTCTGATAAAATAAAAACAACTATCAAAAAGACATTAATCTGATTTATGACCATATAATTATGTATAATCAAAAAATAGAATGCGAGTGCAATGCTGTAAAATAGTAATTAATGATACGATCATGACGATACTTATATTTTTAAAATATTCTTTTCAAAATTAAGAAATCCAAGATTTCTTTTCTTCAGTTAACTTAAAATATGTCAGATTTTTGACTGTAGAATTAAAGAGACTGAAATACTTACCACCTGGCAGGTTGGGGTGAAAGCACCAACCACTGCTACTATCACATGTTTGCCTTTGCCAAAAGCATCTAATGTATTCACTTTATTGCCAGGATTTCCAGAATAAAGATCGACATTTGGAATTTGGTCTCCTACCTTAAACAAATAAACAAATTGTTATGTATAAAACATGTTTATAACACTTTAAATATCACATTAAGTTTTAGAACACCTGTATATTTGATAACCAAAAAATAAATTTTAGCAATAAACTAGCCAGCAAAACATAATTACTGTCAGTATGTAAGAAAAACTCTTTCAAAATGTAGTAAACCTTCAAGGTTTGATGCATTTTAAAGCAAAACTGGATTAATTAAAGGAATGTGAACAATTTATCATATATGTTTACAACTAAACTGGCTAAAGTTAATACCAGTTAAAGCAGGGTTGTGCTTAAAAAAAATTACAATTTCCATTCCTTGCTAATCTCAAACTTCAAGCAAAAATTTCAATTGTGTTGAGCAAATTAATATACCAAGAACTTATTCCCTCACTTAAAAATTTTCATTCTTTGTACCAGGTCATCATGCAGTACCCTGTATTAAGGTTAAAATAAAACATCTTTAGGATACAGTTACAGCTATTTGTGTATCATTTAGACTTTCTAAAAAGTCATATTGTTTTGCATCAATAAACTGCACCAGTCCATTGTATCTCGATCTGGCCCCTATGGCAACACTTGGAGAGCAGGAAAATTTTAAAAGAGCCAATTTTAAATGTGCTATCATTCAAACATTTCTGTTCTTGCACAAACAGGTATTAAAAAAGCTATATTACTTTTTTGAAATATTAAATGGCACATTTAAAGGGAGTTTAACAGAGATTTGATAAAGAAATAGCACTTTCAACAGACTTTGGCTTTTGAAACCACTTGGTAAAGGCACCATTCTGCAGGAACAATCAAATGGTAAAATTCCAATATTAAGCCCCTGTACTGCAATTAACTCTTAAACTGCCACTAGAATAGAGCCAGGCCACCCTACATATCCCTACAGTCTGACCAGGCTGGAAACAAAATTTTCATCTTGACATTCAAAAAATTGATAATGGCCTGTTCAGAAAATAGAAGCTGGACAAGATTATTATGAAATTCAGCAGGTTAAGACACATCATCAACCATTCGGTGCCAAAAGTTATCAAACCATTGCAAGTATTGCAAGTATTGAGATGGCAGTGCAAAGAGTGATAAAAAGATTAGAACTTTTCAAGAAAGACTAAAATAAGCCTTTGTAGTCAAAGCTGTGTGGTTTTGGATTACAAATTCATATGGGGAAGTCAAAGTCTTGGCCCGCTTTGCCGATCCCAGGCTTTAGCTTGCCCAGCTATAGACTACATGTGTATATTTAAAAGAAAATCAAATAAAAACAATTTAAAAGATATAAAGAATTCCATACCTATCAATTAAATTTTCAATGTCAGTTCTAGTGAGACACCGTCATTTACAACGGTGTATTTCGATAACGGAACAAATCTCAACTTCTCGGATTAATAATAATCATTGAGTTCCCAAGTAAAAAACGGAAGGGGTGCATGAATACCAAAGGACACCTTTAAAACAGAAAAATGAAAGGAATTTTTAATGACTTCCCCATTCATAGGCTTTGCCTAATTTCATACTTTACTTTACTTTATCCAGCGTAGGGTCGCGAGATCAGAAATCTCTTATAACCCCCTCGAGGTCTGACACCCAATGATTATTATCCGGTATAACAATATATCATGTTAAAATTACAAACTGAGAGATTGTCAAATTTCAGTGACCTTTTAAAAAACTACAGCAAATTGGTCATATTATAAAAAGCAATAACTGCTACCATAAGGGCATATTAAATAGCAACATTAATTTAAAAACTGCTGTCATCAGGTCATATTAAAGAACATTATTTCAAAATGGTTGATAAATATTTGCTAACACAAAAACATGAAGGTCATTTTCAACCAGGAAGTTCTATAAAAACAATCATGAAAAATCAGTATACACTAACCTTGATCGGCGCCATAACTGCTGCTTGACCAGTCCGGAAGCCACGTGTGAATGCCCTTTGACTGACAAAGCGAATAGCCTGAGAAACAAGCCTGGTGTTCATTGGTAAAAATTACCAAAAAAAATCCGTCGGCTGAGATAAGACGGTGCTCAGTGTAATTTTCAAGTTGTGAAGATTATTGTAAAGTGGGAGTAGCCTCCCTTAGTTCATGTGACAGCTTAAAAATAATGTAAAATGTATAACCTTTTTAAACTTGTTAGACTGTTATCTGTGAAAAATGATGTAAATCCAGTGTCTATAGATTGTTACACATGGAGGCAAAATGGTGAAGCAAGTTTCTTAGCCGTCAGTTGCTCAAATGGTAAACATATTTTTTGATATTTTTACATTGTATGCAGATATATCTAGTTTCATTTTCAACACTAATTTGATTAATGTACAGTTCAATGAACTGGCACATTGAATTGATAAGTAAATTGATTACTGAATAAAGCCTGTTAATATGTAAAAAATCTTGTAAATAAGCTAGCTTATAATGTTTAAAGTTGTACTTTCAAGCATATTTTTCTATAGCCCAACAAATTGTGCGCTTTAGGGCTTTTTAATATATAGACGATGGTCGCCATTCTACACTAGATCTACACTAATATGAAATTAGGCAAAGCCTATGAACGGTGAAGTCGTTAAAAAAATCCTTTCATTCTTTCCGTTTTAAAGGTGTCATTCGATATTACATACACCGCTTCCGTTTTCACTCGGAACACTCGATGATTATTACTAATCCGAAAAGTTGAGATTTGTTCCGTTATCGGAATACCCCGCCTATTGTCATTGACATACATTGTAAATGGCGGCGCCCGACTAGAACTGACACTGAAAATTTCATTGATAGGTATAGAATTCTATATATTTTTTAATTGTTTTTTATTTGATTTTCTTTTAAATATTTACGTGTAGTCCATAGCCGGGCAAGCCAAAGCTCGGACCTGCTTCGCGGGCCCGGTCTTTGACTTCCCCGTATAAATAATACTTGATCATAATATATGCTACATATTCCGGCAATCTTCTGGAGTAGCCAATATTTATCACTTTATCCCTGCATGATTTAAAAGACAAGTGAATGGGTTGGAATTAAAGGAGTCTATAATGCATCTCTTAGCTCCAGTCCATATAACTTATGAACAATCAGTTCTGACCTGTAGCTAAAGGTCTTCAGCTTCCCTGTGTTTATACTGTGACAGGATGTGTCCTTTAATGCTGCAAAAGGCGAAAGAACAAATTGTTAAAAAGCGACATATAAAGATTTGGAAGCAGGAACTAATTTTGACCATATCAAACTGGCAGGCACTTTGCACCTCCAGACATGCCATGTGTGCCTTTTTTCTTATTCATGAAAATTATCTCAGATGAAAACAAGGGCAATCAGTGATCACATGTCACATTGTGTATTCTCATAATAGGCAATTGCATGTTGCAGCTATTGTGTAGAAGGTTACACAAAAATCAATAACTGGGCAAAACTTTTTTGTATTCAAGGGCCATAACTTGGCCAAAAATCATTCAAGCGGAAACCTGTGTATATATCGTAAATACTTGAGCTACCAATTAATCCTGTGAAGTTTCACTGAAATTGCATAAGGGGTATAAGAGGAGTGGTCCAGACAAACATTATTATTGAAGGGCCATATCTCAACCAAAAATTATTCAAGCAGAAAACCTGTCTAATATGGCCAAGTATTTGAGCTAGCAATCAATCCTGAAAAGTTTATTCAAATTGCATTAGTTCTATAAGAGGAGTAGTCTGGGCAAAACTTTATAAATAGAAATAATTAAAGGGCCATAACTCTGAAAAAAAATTATCACCATAAAAAGCTGATGATATGCACAACTAGTACTGATCATTCCTGTAAAGTTTGGATAATATTGCACAAGTAGTTTTTGAGTAATAGTCCAGACAAGTTTTGTGATGGACAGACATTCTAATTTTGGTTTCATGTGACTATTCTATTGTTTTAAAAAGCCACATAAAATATAGATACCCACATAAAGCTTTATCAAATGAATAGGATCAAAGAAATTTTTAATTTACTGTTACCTATTGTTCCCATAGCCAAATAAACCCAAAATATTTGCCCGGACAGACAGCTGATGGAGAAGTGATTCCTATATGCTGCCACTTCTCTGTAGAAGTGACACAAAAACGGAAGTAAAGTATGGACATAACATGTATTTAGTAACTATGTCCTTATAATTGTGTACTTTGAAACATCATAATCATTAATTGTTGAAATAAGGTACTATCTCTCAGACTGTTCAATCATTGATCAACATTAAGATTGCATCATTCAACTACAAAATGTACCATAATCACATACTAGTGTAGCAGGCAAGTTGATGCCTGTATTCTAGTATGTAACTGAATCCATATGATTTAGATAAAAAAGTTTTAATAAAGAGTCTAATTATGACAGGATAGCTGTGCTCCTTGTCACATACAGAATGATGGATAGATTGCATATGTCTACTTTTTAAATGCACTTCTATTCATATATGCACTTTTAAGCTCACTTAAGCACCAAGTGCTCAAGATTACAATTTGTTCGGTGTCCATCGTCCTTCAGTGAGTTTTAACGAGACAGTACTTATGTAGTAGCTACTAGCTACTCTATTGTTAAACTTTGAAATGATCCAAGCCTTTTTGTCTGTTAAGTGTGTAAAGTACATGTTTGTGTGCATGTTTTGTGTTTTTTTATCCAATACATTGCCATTTATCTACTAGTATTACAACTGGTATTTCAAACTGAAATGTTGATAAGAATACCTATTGTTTATTTTTTCAGGGTTTCTGTTGTTAAAGTACAGCTGTACTGGTTGCCAGCCTGTTGTGAAGCAGTTGCCATGGCCACCAGATCATCCAATTACATCTCTGTGTTTTGATCCAACAATCTCATGGCTGTTAGTACTCACAGACAATGGAAACATATTTATTTTACCTGCTTTATCCATGCTGGTGAGAATTAACAAATCTTATAATTCATCAGTAAATTACAAAGTACAAACACTCACATTCATTGTTCTATGAGCACTGTTTCTATTGAAGTTTTTAAATAATTTCAGTGTATTACAATCTGATCACTGAATTTATATAAACATCTTAAGACAAATTCAGACTATTTCTTAAAATGTAGTGAAATTCAAATCTTCAATTGTTGCCCAGCTTGACAATCATTAAATAATTATGAACATTGGTCATATTTAAACTGTCTTAACTGCCTAGTGTGTGTAATGGATTTGCACTGCTAGTTGTCGGGATAACAATATTAAAATACAAAAATTTAGCTCAGACATCATTTTTGGGTGCAACAGTTTAAGAGTTTACTGGAGTACACAAAATACAAATACTTCAATTTAACATTAGTACATGCACAGGAAGAAACACTTGCTCCAACTTGTGCACAGACCAAACAGAATTTTTTTTAATTATTTTAGATATATTCTTTTTTATTAAAATGATTATGGACAAATCTGCTGCATCAGGGACTAGATTTTGCAAATCCACGACAAGTTATGTTAAGCCAATGCTAAAACGATGCAGCTAACTGCCGAGCCACTTTTAAATTTTAATTTAATGGATATATTTTTTCACAGGATCCATCAAGTCAAGTGAACCAGTTATGGAGAGTTGATGATGTGACAGTTGTTACTTGTTTGAAGCCTCGAGGAATTCCCATGGTGGTAACATGGTGGTATACCTTAGATGGTCAGCATATAGCCATAGTAGCAACAAAGGTAGGTGGTATTTTAACATAAATCATCACATTATTAGGACTCAGTACAATCAGCTACTGAATCCTCTTAAATAAAAAACCCAAACTTACATCAGTTTAGCATCTGTAACATAAGACTGAAAAGTGATTTTCCTGAACAGATGGTTTCTAAATAATTTCCCCTTCACCAAAATAGGTACAAATTCTGCTTGGAGTGTATCTGTCTACATACTGTTAATTTAATTGTACATGTACTTTCAAAGTATTAGGAAATCTTCCTACAATGTACTTGAAATACGACTATATTTTATATGCCCGAAAGAATTTCAGTCATATTATGTTATACCCCCTGGTGTCCGTCCGTCCGTTAGCAATTTGGTTTCCGGAGCATAACTTAAGTTCCATTTGGCCCACAGTATTCAAACTTCAAAGGATGATTGCCCATATTGGGTAGAAGACCCCTATTGATTTTGGGGTCACAAGATCAAAGGTTAAGGTCACTTTTGTCCTAACACTGAAAACAGTTTCCGGAACATAACATAAGTTCCATTTGGCCCACAGTATTCAAACTTCATAGGATGATTGTCCATATTGGGTAGAAGACCCCTATTGATTTTGGGGTCACAAGGTCATAGGTCAAGGTCACTATTACCTTAAAACTGAAGACAGTTTCCGCTCAATAACTCAAGTATTAATCAACCTACAGCTGTAAAATTTTATAGGATGAACAGCCATGTCCAATACATGACCCCTATTGATTTTAGGGTCATAAGGTCAAAGGTCAGGGTCACAATGATCTTTACACTGAAAGTTGTGGTTTCTGGAGCATAACTACAACTTGATGCTGGTGCTTTGAAAACAGCAACTGTATATATATGAAGGTTCTTCAGTGCTTTTTTGAAGGAGGTTATACTGTATTTAATTCCCATGTCTTATAAATGTTTCATCCTTACTAACAAAAAAAAGCACTTTCGGGCATATAATGCTCTGCCTAGCGGTGCTGTTGTTAGAAAATATTTTGTTTTATCTTGTTTTTATCTTTAAATAATTAAAGGTTTTTCAATGTGCCAAAGCTAGATTCTAAGATTTGTTTTTGAATTCTAGGTCAGAACTACACTTCTAAGGGAGAAGACATTAGAATGGAGTTATTGCCTTAACATAAAATTTCTCACAGTTGTAGACATGTTTGACTGTACAGTATGTTTCTTATTTACAGTTAGGCGAGATCAAATTTGTTGATATGTTAGAGCAAAGTGTTATGTCGGACAGGTGTGTTGATGAACATATCAAAACTCTGGAGCTAGTCAAAGATGATACACAAACAAAAACACATCTGCTGGTATGGAAGATATATAATAGTCTACATTTTAATATTGATGGTCAACTTATTACATGCATATTCAATTTTTTATTATTTTCCATAAAATTATTAGGAAATCATTTGTGCCTTTCTTTTGATAACATCTAACCTAACCAACTGTAGTTAAACATACTTTAAGTATTTGATATGAATAAAATAAGAATGCCTGTAAAACATATATTTGCATGTTTATCATATAAAAAGAAATTGTACTTTTTATTACATGATTACATTATTTTAGTTCAAAATAATTAAGAAAATATATCTGTTGTGATAGTTCAATATTTGTAGAGTGATATTGAAATCTGATTATGCCGAAATTAAAGGTTTGGCACTTTTCCTTAGTACAACGTCATCCATAGGTGCTTCATAGTCCATACCCTTAAAAAAATGACACAAGTCTTAATCTAGTTTGTCTTCTAAATCTAAATTGGACCCACAGGAACAAGGTCAGATTAAACAGAGAGTTATTGAATTCAGGGGGTTGCTCAAGCTGTCTTGACTGTACTTATATTTGTATCATAAAATTATTTTTTTAAATACAACAAAATCTTTGATCTTTGTACATACATCTACAACTTGATTTTGTTAAGAAGCATGATATTATTGTAAGCCTTACTGTCATATGATTTAAACAGATAACAGGCTACAGTGGCAAACAGTGGAAGATGTTACTAGAGAAGAGGGGAGCTAAACTCGCTAACCAAGATTCCGAGTTATCTGAGCTTGGATATGATCATATTGATGGATTAAGCTTACCTATAGTCAGTGTACTCAATAGGCTTGGTATGTTTCTACTCATTGACCTACATTCAAGATATCTTTTAATCTTCATCCATCCACCCATTTTACAGATTCATCTGTTACCATACCAGTACAGTGTTTTCCATGTCATTATATTGTGCAAGAACATGATTGGTAGTTTTCACTTCAGATGATAGCAGTTAGCCACATTGAATTTACCATCTAGCATAGTTCAGCCATCACATCCTTCCTTGGCAGGCTGTCAAGCAGTTAACCAGTACTAGTTGCCTTCACTTTCGCAAGGAAGTGATTACTTCTGTACATGCAACATCGTTGGATACCCATGGCCGGAAAATTAACATTCATCATTGATTGCATGTTATGTGACTTGTTTATCAATTGTGGGTATCTGACGATGTACATGCAAGAGCAGAGGTACAGTGCGAATGACTGTACATGTAGCAGGATTTTATGATCAATCACATGGTAAGTGACCTGCACCGTCCGGGAATCAAACCCAGGTCGCCAGATTCATAGTCTAATGCCAATCTATTGAGCAAACCGGACAGCTTAGGAAATTTATATCAGAAATGCATGTACATCATGTATTTGTATTTTGTGAGAATTATTTTGTAACCTAAATCCTGCAATAACTTTGCCATTAAGTATAAAGCTAGGACACCTTGTACCCCAATTTTAGTAATTATGCCCCCATTTTGAAAAAAAGGGGGTATATTGCTTTGCACTTGTCGGTCCGTCGGTCCGTCGGTCCGTAGACCAAATGGTTTCCGAGTGATAACTAAAGAACCCTTAGGCCTAGGAACTTCAAACTTGGTATGGTGATTGGTCATGACCAGTAGATGACCCCTATTGATTTTGGGGTCAAGGGGTCAAAGGTCAAGGTCACATTGACCTTGAAAGCAAAAACGGTTTCCGATCAATAACTAAAGAACCTTAAGGCCTAGGAACTTCAAACTTGGTATGGTGATTGGTCATGACCAGTAGATGACCCCTATTGATTTTGGGGTCAAGGGGTCAAAGGTCAAGGTCACATTGACCTTGAAAGCAAAAACGGTTTCCGATCAATAACTAAAGAACCTTAAGGCCTAGGAACTTCAAACTTGGTATGGTGATTGGTCATGACCAGTAGATGACCCCTATTGATTTTGGGGTCAAGGGGTCAAAGGTCAAGGTCACATTGACCTTGAAAGCAAAAACGGTTTCCGATCAATAACTAAAGAACCTTAAGGCCTAGGAACTTCAAACTTGGTATGTTGATTGGTCATGACCAGTAGATGACCCCTATTGATTTTGGGGTCAAGGGGTCAAAGGTCAAGGTCACATTGACCTTGAAAGCAAAAACGGTTTCCGATCAATAACTAAAGAACCTTAAGGCCTAGGAACTTCAAACTTGGTATGGTGATTGGTCATGACCAGTAGATGACCCCTATTGATTTTGGAGTCAAGGGGTCAAAGGTCAAGGTCACATTGACCTTGAAAGCAAAAACAGTTTCCGATCAATAACTAAAGAACCTTAATGCCTAGGAACTTCAAACTTGGTATGGTGATTAGTCATGACCAGTAGATGACCCCTATTGATTTTGGGGTCAAGGGGTCAAAGGTCAAGGTCACATTGACCTTAAAAGCAAAAACGGTTTCCGATCAATAACTAAAGAACCTTAAGGCCTAGGAACTTCAAACTTGGTATGGTGATTGGTCATGATCAGTAGATGACCCCTATTGATTTTGGGGTCAAGGGGTCAAAGGTCAAGGTCACATTGACCTTGTAGGTAAAAACGGTTTCCGATCAATACCTAAAGAACCTTAAGGCTTAGGAACATTAAACTTGGTATGGTGATTGGTCATGATCAGTAGATGACCCCTATTGATTTTGGGGTCAAGGGGTCAAAGGTCAAGGTCACATTGACCTTGTAGGTAAAAACGGTTTCCGATAAATAACTAAAGAACCTTAAGGCCTAGGAACTTCAAACTTGGTATGGTGATTGGTCATGATCAGTAGATGACCCGTATAGATTTTGGGGTCAAGGGGTCAAAGGTCAAGGTCACATTGACCTTTTAATTAAAAACGGTTTCTGATCAATAACAAAAGAACCCTTAGGCCTAGGAACTTCAAACTTGGTAATGGTGATTGGTTATGACCAATCAGATGACCCCTATTGATTTTGGCGTTAAGGGTCAAAGGTCAAGGTCACATTGACCTTGTAGGTAAAAACGGTTTCCGATCAATAATGAAAGAACCCTTAGGCCTAGGGACTTCAAACTTGAGATGGTGATTGGTCATGATCAGTAGATGACCCCTATTGATTTTGGGGTCTAGGGGTCAAAGGTCAAGGTCACATTGACCTTGTAGGTAAAAAATGCTTTCGGATCAATACCTTAAGAACCCTTATGCCTAGGAACTTCAAACTTGGTATGGTGATTGGTCATGACCAGCAGATGACCTATTGATTTTGGGGTCAAGGGGTCAAAGGTCAAGGTCACATTGACCTTGTAGGTAAAAACGGTTTCCGATCAATTAACTAAAAACGCTTAGGCCTAGGAACTTCAAACTTTGTGTGATGATTGTCATGACCAGCAGATGACCCCTATTGAGTTTTAGGTGAAGGGGTCAAAGGTCAAGGTCACATTGACCTTTTAAGTAAAAACAGTTTCTGATCAATAACTCAAGAACGCTTAGGCCTAGGAACTTCAAACTTGGTATGGTGATTTGTCATGACCAGCAGATTACTCCTATTGATTTTGGGATCAAGGGGTCAAAGGTCAAGGTCACAATGACCTTGTAAGTAAAAACGGTTTCTGATCAATAACTAAAGAACGCTTCGGCCTAGAAACTTCAAACTTGGCATGGTGATTGGTCATGACCAGCAGATGACCCCTATTGATTTTGGGGTCAAAGGTCAAGGTCACATTGACCTTTTAAGTTAAAATGCTTTCTGATCAATAACTCAAGAACGCTTAGGCCTAGGAACTTCAAACTTGGTATGGTGATTTGTCATGACCAGCAGATTACTCCTATTGATTTTGGGATCAAGGGGTCAAAGGTCAAGGTCACAATCACCTTGTAAGTAAAAACGGTTTCTGATCAATAACTAAAGAACGCTTCGGCCTAGAAACTTCAAACTTGGCATGGTGATTGGTCATGACCAGCAGATGACCCCTATTGATTTTGGGGTCAAAGGTCAAGGTCACATTGACCTTGTATGTTAAAAACGGTTTCCTATCAATAATAAGAGAACCCTTAGGCCTAAGAACTTCAAACTTGGCATGGTGATTGGTCATGACCAGCAGATGACCCCTATTGATTTTGGGGTCAAGGGGTCAAAGGTCAAGGTCACATTGACCTTGTAGGTAAAAACGGTTTCTGATCAATTTACTAAAAACGCCTAGGCCTAGGAACTTCAAACTTTGTATGATGATTGGTCGTGACCAGCAGATGACCCCTATTGAGTTTTGGTTTAAGGGGTCAAAGGTCAAGGTCATGACCAGTAGATACTTTATAACCCTTATTAATTGTTTGATCACTGGGTCAGACGTCATGCATAATAACCTTATCACATGACTAATTGGCTGCTGATAGGGGGCATACATGTTTTACAAACATATCTTGTTCAATACTGAAATTTGTAAACTTTCATGATCTGTTCCAAATACAAGGCAAGTAAAAATATTAAAGAGAAATTTAGAGACATCCATCAATCATTCAGGGAATTGAACATATAAACAATTTCCAAGTAAATGAAGTACAGAACCCAATCGTACAGGAAGAAATTGGACATAAATAATTGACATGTATTTCAGGTGAGGAAGAAGATGATATATTTTCCCCGTTAGTTTTATCGCAGTTTGCGAGATCAGTGAATGTATCCCCTCAGTATGCAAAAGGACGACATTTTGTTACAGCTTATTGTACAAAGAATTCAACATATCAGGTATTGTAGTGTTCATGATTTCTATATAAGTATGACATGATTTAATATTCTCTAAGGACTGTTTGAATTTTATAATTATGCAATTTTAAGTTATGCATTGTTTAGAGATTTATGGAATGAATGTTAGAGAAATCTTGAGCTGGCGTAAACATGGATAATAATGTTCAAACAAATAAAACATTGTTTTTCTTACCAAGTTCATGAACATTGTACACGCATTACATAATCATGTTCTCTACAACATATACTATAGTTTTGCTTCACTTGTTTCTTATGGCATTTTACTGTCTTACAATTTTTTGATAACTGTATTTGCTATTCTAGGTATTTGACAGCAACTTGGAACACAATCCATTGTTTGTGTATAGACTTCCTGTTGGTTCCCTGCACACAGTACTTACTGACAGGATCATGTTCATGGCTACAAAACTTGCTGGGGACCAGAAACTTATTGTATTATCCAACCAGAAAGCAGAAATTTCAGAAGATTCAGACCAGGTCTGTTATTATACTGTTTTAAATTACATATATTTACTGGGGTGGGAAAATCAATTGTCGGTATTACTCAAGTTATTCCACAGCCGGGGCAGACAAGTGAAATATTTCTAAAATTTACTTTATAAATATCATACCAACAAGTAAAGAAATGCTTAAGATAAAATGGACAAGTAAGTCACAATCAGATTTTGTAGGGCCTGAAATTTAACTTTAAATCTGCAGGAATATAGTAATTTGCTTTTTCCAGCAGTTTAGAGCACATCTGTAAAGCCTGAACAGGTTGAGTAATTTCAAAGTTTCATCTTGATATCCAAGAAAGTGATAAAAAAAATGAAGCTTGAAAAATTCAGCAGGTTATTCCTTATTTAGGATTAAAAAATCAGCCTGTGGAAGAAAACATATAAGATTTGTTTATGTTTTTAACTGCTTAGGAATTATCAGAATTTTTTATTGCTGTAACAATATTAAAGCCGGTCATTTTATGTTTTAAGGTCCCACACTAACAAATATTTCATGCATGATTGAAATAAGATGTATAAGAGGAATTGTATAAGAATAACTTTTTCAACTAAAATCTAAAATGTTTCAATTTCAAAAATTTGCTGGCCCTCACTTAACCCTTTACCTCGTATAGAGGTGTTTTGACGGAAGAGTGAAAAACTAACCTATTTAGGCCCCAAACACTGATTACGTCTGAGTAATGTTGATAAAAAAGCGATTACTTTTTGGCACTGCCCCCCATCAAAAAGGTACATCAAGGGGTTGCCAGAAGGGGGATATGCCCCCTTCTGTTTGGGGAGTTTGACAGGGGGGCAGCAGTCCCCCTTATCGCCAAGAAAATTTTGAACATGTGACAGGCTAAAAATGGCCTCCGGTCGATCATATGGTAACGTGTAACCAATGCTGAAAAGCCTTTTACTCTATCTCAATCCATTGAGAAGTTGCAGCACTTTGAAATCAGTTTTGATGGAAAAAAACAATGCAAAATAGTGATTTGGCAATTTTGAGACGTCCCCAATTTGCCATGATAACAGGAAATTAAGATTGAGCATGCTGTTACAGAGACTATGGTCGGGTCAACATTTATGCCAAGTTTCATCAGTATTGAAGCATTTTTCAAAATTTCATATCAGTTTGAACTTGTAACAGGAGGCTTTTCATTGAAAACGGCCATTTTTCACAATATGCTCATGAGGTAAAGGGTTAAATAATGAAACAGCAAAATTAAACATATTTATGCATGACAAACGAAACTTGTCCATTCACTCGAATACTTTGTATAAAGCTTAGATTTTGTGTTAATATTTAATAATCTTATGAAGGGAGTTTGCCTGTGCATTTATTCAGTTTTTGTAGAGTTATTGCCCTTGACTTGGTAAAAATGTTCCATAATGTTATGTCATGTGTAGCTCTAAAGTGCTTGAGCTAGAGTCAACAAACTGTACAGGATTGTTGATCAACAACTGGGGGTGTGGATTAATTCAGGTTTTTAGAGTTAATGCCCTTGACTTAGTAAAAATTTGCAATTTTCAACTTTTGTCGCCCTTACGTCAAAAAATATTTGACCTTGAGTCATGAAACTTTACAGGAATGTTGGTCAGCATGTGTAGTTGTGCATTTGCATTCTATTTTTTTTTAACGTACTTAAGGATATAAAATTGAGATTTGGAATTCTTGCAGCTCAATATTGGAAAAAATCAACATGTTGACATTGGAAAAATTGGAGGTCAATTTTATGCCTTAACCACTTAAAGGGGTAGGGGGAGGTCATGTTAAATTTTCTTTGTCTGTCCGTCTGTCATACTGTCGTAGATTGACAAGACATTGAAATATAGAATTTCCTTTTTTTTGTTTGTCTGTTATAATGTCCTGCTGTATGTCAGTAGACTGACAAAACATTGAAATGTGGGGGCATCCAAGTCCTTTGAACACATTTCTAGATTTAAGAAAATTTAGTATTTTTTGGAGTTACTTACAAATCTATAAGAATTTAATCTAAATATAACATTTGTTACAGGAATTTAACAGAGAAGCAACTCTGCAACAGTTTGATCTTCCCTCAGATGAGAAACTGCTATCAGTCATGCAGAAGACTTTTCCATTCTACTGGCATGAGAAGCTTGAAGAAGACCAAATAAAGCTTCTTCATGACCAAGATGTACAAAAGTTGACTGGTTCTAATTCTTCCAAAAGATTGTCAGCTATAGAAATTCCCTTGAGTTTACACACAGTATTAGACGGATGCATCATTATTACAGACTGTACAGTCTATGAATGTAAACCAAGGGCATCCCCAGAGAGGTTATTTTTAGAACTTTGTGTGAATCAGACTGATTCTAAACTTATAGAGCAATTAGGTATCAGTCTAGGTTTAGACTTAAATTACCTTTTTGAAGCTGCTGCAGATTTTCTACTTTGCCATGGCAACAGCAAACAAGCAACTCGACTTTTTCATATGTCAAAAGGTAATCCTATAAATAGAATATCAAGTTTTGCCAAATATGGCTATATTCTTGATATAATGCCTTTTCTGCAGCAGTTGTTACAGAAGGAAAGTAAAGAATGGAGAGAAGAAGACAGAAAGAAGTTGATAGAGCTGGGTCTTCATGGACTAGTACTCAAACTCTCTCAGGATCCTGCCAATGAAGAGATCATAGAAATATTTAGGTAAATTTTCTTATTGTTTGTTTTGTTTTGTTTTGTTTTTCCCAACAAGTTTTCATCATATAAAGGCGGCTAGTTTTCCAAAACCCTTGTTCCTGGGAAAAGTTTACCAGTACTAAAATTTTTTTTATACCCCCTTTAAAAATTTTTATCTTTTTTTAAAAAAATTTTAAGAATTATTTTGGGTTTAAAATTTTGGGTCTCTTTGGGGGAAACAAACTAAGTAAATGACCTTGAGTAACTTGCTCTGTTGTTGGTTCATATCTTGATTCAGACAATGGCTTCTTTCATATCAGGAACCCATTTTGGGCCTGGGACAAAGCATAGGTTGCTGACCTGTTTTTGCAGTGGCTTTTACTTAAGGGCCATTGAACTGTTTCATGTGTTGAAGTCCGACATTTAACTTTCAATAGAAAAAAATCCCAAATGACCTTCAGGTTATGAATGAATGAAGTTAGATCAAATTTTCAGAAAACCTTTATTTTATATTCAACCTACTATTTACAATTACAGTAGACTATATGCAATGTAGATATATACAAAGTTACAGTTCCTTTAACATTTCAATCATTACATTTATATAATACATGTACATGTGTATTTCTTTCCCAACATGTTATTTTTGCTTGGCAAGAATTTTGTAGTCTCTGTTACAGTGTTTGTATAGTCCATTTTACCTAACTTTATACATATATATGTATAAAGTTAGATAATATATATAGTTAGGTATATATATATTTTTACTTTTTTGTTTTAATGGTAGGTTTTGCTGTCTTATTTCTCAAAAACTTTTTATTTTTTGATATCTTGTTACAGTTTCCAAAAAATATTCATTTGCCATATCATTGAACTATCTTTGCTCTTTGGCGTTGTTTGCATTTGGTATAATTATACTGAATAAGTAATTTGTATGGACAACTTTGTGTACATTTTGCTACATTTACAACAAATTCCTGCACATTCAGCACTACTTTCACCAGCTGTTGAACATTAAATACTCTAAATCCTAAAACATTACTATAATGTATTAAATATTGATTCCTGAGGCATAATGTGCCTTTAAATGTAGATACATTCGCTACATGAAGTAGAATCATGGCATTGATTAACATGCAAATTCAGAGAGCATCCACTACCTTAAGCGATATGTTTTGATATATGCTTGTTTGAAGAGACAAAAAAGACTGACATGGAAAACTAATTATTTGAAAATACACAAACTTTATCTGAATATCTGAGATTTTGTAAGGTTGTTTGAATGTTCAAATTTCCAGGTTTGTTTGGTTGTTTGGATATTCCAAGTTTTGTTTTGTTGCTTGAATATTTCCAGCAATTGTATGTTAGACTGTTTGATACTAGTTTTCAAAATGTTTCAGACTTTGTTTGTCTGAATATTTCAGACATTGTTATTTCTGAAATTTGGTTGTCTGTATATATTAAACTATTAGTTGAAGTACTTAGTAATACTGAATAATCTTGACTTTTTTGATGTCTGAATGTTTCTATTTTTACTAGTTGTCTGAATATTCAAGATTTTGATTTGCTGTCTCACATTTTAACTGCATAAGATAATGTCCAAAAATATATATTGTCAACATATTCAAAACCTTGTCCATGTGTTCCCAATTTTTCTGTCTTGACATATACAACATATACATTTTGCCTTCCCTAGAGTTACAGGAGAACACAGCTTTGCTCCTGATTTGTTCCAGCACAGAAGGCGAAGAGTTCTGCATCAGTTATAAAATTGAGCTCATTGAAGAAGTCATAGGGGTTCTGCTCTCGAATGTAAGGGAAAACGTCCTTTGAAATAATGTAAATGATTTCTCTTTGTTGTTTCGCCTCAAAAACTTGTTTTAAAATAATAGCTATCTGTTTAGGAGACAGAGCAAAAATTGCAAGTACGAACTGTTCTCTGAGCTTTCTTTTTGGAATCACCTGTAATATCCTTTCTTCTTCTGTTGACAAAACATGATCATGTATTTGACAGGTATCCTGTACCTTTTGTTCACCATCATTTACTCCCTCAGCAGATTTACTTAATTCTCCTTCTTCTTCTTGAAGATCTTTCTCTTGATCAATTTTCATTTTTTCTTTAACTTCCTGCGATATAATGCCATCAATATCTGTTTCAACGATTTCCTTTAATACGCTATCTTTGATCAATGTAAATGGGCAGGTGTTAATCAAGATTTCAAGTTTCTTCATAAGCTTTCCTTGTTCTGATTTTGATATTTTATCTTGGAACATATTCCTCTGGGGAATCATATAATTTGGGAGTTCCTCTTTCTCTATACAAGTTTTCAGGTACTTTAAAGAGTCTTTGAGAATATCATTAAAGTTCTCTCTATTCCATTCATTACAGTTTTTCTGCTCCATTTGCCAGAAAAGAATAGTTTTGATAATATATGATGTAATTTTACTACATATTGGATTAAGGTGATGTTTTGTAATTAATTTCAGTGCCCCTAATAGCTTTATTTGGGCATCATTGAATGATTGAACTAATGCTAGTTCCGCTTTGGTAAGACAAATCCTCCATTGTAGATGCTCATTTTGACTTCCTTTCAAGGCAACAGGCACAACATAAACATCCAGATTTCTTATCAATTCTATCATTTCTGTTGATGGCCAGTGTTTTGATCTTTTACGACTACACCAAGCATCTTTAACTGATGGAAAATCACACCGGAATGCTAAAACATCATCCAATATAATGTAGCTAGGTAAAAATGGTGTTTGAATCTTGTATGGTTTGGAAGGACCAGTTTTCGATTTGGAATGGACAAGGTTTTTTTCAATCCAGCCACAGTCAGCTGATGTGTATTCTCTACCAATTGCTGGACTTAATATGCAGTCATTTCTTACATATTGTTTACCATTCATGTCTTCAATTGCACCCAGTATATTTGTGTGAAGTTTGTCTGTTTGATTATCTGCATTTCTAATGAACTGAAGATAGGTATATCCACTTGGGGCATCTTCTGTGTCTAAACTTAACACAGTGTAATTCTGTTTTGGTGTTGAAGCCTCAAGCCCCTTTTCAATACATTCTAAATTATTTTGAACCAGGAGTTTGTCAACATCACTGTCAATATATATTCCAGTTCCATCACCTCGGCTTCCTGCAATCAGAACTTCATAATCTACTTCAAATTTATTTGTTTCATATAAACCAACTCCTTTACTGGTATTTCTATAAATCTGAACTCTCTTTTCAGTAAGATCTTTGAAATATCCAAGCTCGTCTAAAATATCATATCCACCTGTTAGGTCAGTTTTTGAATAACCTTTTCTTTGGTACAGAATTTCCTCCATCAGCAGTTTTAGCACTTTTTTTTTATCTAATCCTTTCTTTTTTATGATATTATTAGTTATATTTAAGCCTTTTCTTATAATTACAAAATGTGTTAACTTTGTGCACACTATATTTCTCTGAATACATTGCATATGACCAGCTGTTACAGTTAAATTTAGACTTTGTTACAAGGTATACAAATGAATATAGATTTATGGTGATAAAGCAACAAAATCTTTAATGCATAACATTAAATACTGTATAATTAGTTATGTTTGTGTGTTCAAATATATCTTTCAAGCAGACTGATTTAAAAGTAGGAGAAACTCTATGCAGCACTTTATCAACCTTCTGACTAATTGGGGATAAAGGACTGGTCTATGCCATATTGAACTAGGCCAGCAGATATTTCTGTGTTGTCTGATTATATATTGTTGGCTGCTTTATTATTTTGAATATGAATTCCCTAAAATTAACAAAGGAAATATCCAAATTCAAAGCAGGATGAGTCCATTTTACAAATTTAGTGTGGTAAAAGTTTAAATACATGTATATGTCATGAAAGAATCCATGATATTGTGATGTGAAGAATTATCACATACATAATTTAGAAGACAGATGTTTAAACTTTCAATCAGAAAGTTGGTTAATATGCACTATTTTGATATTGCAAATGATTGAAATTTATTCATGTTTATCTACTTTTGAGATATGAGCTGCGCCACGACAAAACCAACATAATGGGTTTGCAACCAGCATGGATCCAGTCAACTTATTCTGTATGAAATATTTTCTAGGAAGTGTCTACCAAGTTTGTTCAAATAAAAGCCCTAGAGTCAAAATTGGCCCTGCCTCTTTGGGGGGGGGGGGGTCATTAATTTTTCCTAATATGTTTATTTAATAAAAACTTTAAAAAATCTTCTTTTAAAAAACTGAAAGAGCTAGAGCTGAGATATTTGGCATAAATTATTTTCTAATGAGTATCTACCAAGCTTGTTCAAATTAAAGCCCAGGGGTCAAAATTAGCCATGACCCTGAGGGTCATTGATTTTCCTTTTATATACATAGTAAAAACAAAAATATATCTTCTTTTAAAACACCCAAAAAGCTAGAGCTTAGACATTTAGCATGACACATCTTCTAATGGGTGTTTATCAAGTTTGTTCAAATAAAAGCCCTGGGGTCAAAATTATTCTTGTTCATGGAGTGTTTTTATATTCAGGTGAGTGATTTCAGGGCCATCATGGCCCTCTTGTCTGAATATATCCAGTTTTGTTTGGTGTCTAAATATTCACAGCTTTGTTTTTTTTTTTAATATTCCCAGTTTTTTGTTTTATTCTCTGAATATTCCCAGTTTTGTTTGGTTGTTTGGATATTTCCAGTTTTATTTGGTTGTTTGGATATTTCCAGTTTTATTTGGTTGTTTGGATATTACCAGTTTTGTTTGGTTGGTTGGATATTTCCAGTTATTTTTGGTTGTTAAAAGTTTGGATATTTCCAGGTTTGTTTGGACCTTTGAATACTCACAGTTTTTTTTTGGTTGTTTGGATATTACCAGTTTCGTTTGGTTTGGATATTTCCAGTTTTATTTGGTTGTTTGGATATTTCAAAATTTGTTTGGTTGTTTGGATATTTCCAGGTTTGTTTGATTATTTGGATATTTCCAGGTTTTTTTGTTGCTTGAATATTTCCAGCATTGTATATT